TCTCGAATGGCCCCTCAAGGTCTATGGGCAGGACCACGTGCATCGCAGGGACCATATACACCCCACGAACGGTCCCACAGAGGATCTCAACCTGGTTCACAGGATAGTTTTGGACGCGATGGAGCAGGGTACAGTGTTAGATGATTCTCTCTAGAAGAGATTGTTGCGTTGTGGATCATTTTGATATTTTCATTCGACCTTCTTGGGGCGAATCGGAGATAGTCTGGCAGGTACTTTTGAATTTGTCGGGTTTGTGCTTAGGAAGTTAGTTGCAAGCTTTTGGATGGGCTCATAATGACTCATATCAGTCTACGGTGCCTTTTACCTTTTTTTTTCCCCATTATGATAGAACTGGTTTCGCTTCTATTCCGCATACGGCCGAGGACATATACGGCGCCATTATAAGAGGAAGAATTCTATAAAGTAAGACTCAGCCAAGAACCTTAGCTCTTCCACATCAACACATTCGTCACACAGTCAACTAAAACTATCCTTTCCAAGTAAGCCGAGCAATTGTTGATTCCGTGCTCGATATACGAGCCGACGGGCAGTCTAAAAGGCGAGGAGACGCCGAACAGACAATGAGTTGAAGAAAAATACAATGTGGCCGAAGCCAGGTAGGGCCAACAACTTTAACATCAAGTTGTGTGGCTCTTAGTTTATAAGGCATGACAGAACCTTAGAACTTCTCGAAATCCTATTAAGAGGTACGTGTCAAACTTCTGCGAATCAGCCTCCAGCCGCTCGCTACCTGTCCACTTAGTACCTAGGTGGCACCGTACCCTAAGTATTATAACCCACTAAAACGCCACTACTTCACCAGGATTATAGCTTCTAGTCTGTCCTCCTTCAAGCCACAACCAGTTCATAACTATGACCAACCTTCCAGCCATGTGACAAATATAAATTAAAAACAAGACCCCCCTTAACCTTATCTTCATATCTTAAGGCTAAGGCTATAAGCACCTATCGTATTATAACTACCATTATCAACATTGTATTCTTTCTAGGCGCTAGGTCTTGAGTGCTTACAACTATATGAAGGCGCTATATATGTCCTCGGACGTATACGGAATAGAAGCGAGACCACAAAACGAGACCACTTGGTTTGTCCCTATGATGAAATGGACACAATCGGTAGATTGCTAAGGCTGCTACCTAACATTTAAGTTCGCAAGGCACACATGCACTTTGCAAGTTCGACCCGGCTGAGCACCGCTAGCCTTAGTTTCACGCCGTCGGGAAGCACTTGAGGTCGTCTGTTAAATCGGGTCCCCCCGTCCCTGATGACCATCAAGACAACAGACCACCCTAGGCTAACACATATACTTTTATTTAGTATATAAAGACAAATACCCTGTCCTTCCCCTGGCACTATGGCGAAAACCTTGCACCACTTTCATTCCATTTTTTTTTATTCTTAACTTTCACTACTACTTCACACATCTTAATGCCACAAGCACTCAAACAGTATGGCCCAGTCAGTCACTGAACTCGTCAAGGGGACCTCCACAGAGCCCGGGGCTCCCCGGCCCACCTTAAACGCCTCGCCTGGGTACAACGATCCTCGGGGACCTCCACGGAATTACTGGCCTCCTGCCATTGCTTACCAGGGTCAAGCCCAAGCATCCGGGCCACCGGACACTAGCAGCACGAGGTACGGCGATATACCTGTGCCGCCTCCTGTCTCGGTACCAGATCTCAGGGCAGGGCGGACGATCGGGTTCGAGTGGGCTTTGACGCAGCTTCAAGCAGAGCTACACCGAGCCGACGCAGAAGTATTACGATACGTATCGAATATGAGGCAGGCTGAGGTGGATGCGTGCCGAATAGGAGCAAATTTACATCAAATCGAACAACAAGTACGGCAAATGAAGACAGACCACATGCGCAGCTTCCCTCACCATGGGCCGCCACCGTTCTCCACGCCGAAGGGCACTCCCGAAGAACATGGTGTTGTCGGGGCCGGTCCATCACAGGGCCCAAACAACCGGTTCGAGAGTCACGGGCAAACATATGGGCCAATTCCAGGATCGACTGGTAGTTTGGAGCAGGGTGGGGAGCACGGTGATACCAAAAAGAGAAGACCGAATCCACTATAGGATTAGGACCCGTAGGTCAGTTCTTAGATATTTGCACCGTCGTGACCGTGGAGTGGAAGCGACTAGTTGATAATGTTGTTCACTTCATGCTGATGAAGCTTAGCAGATCCCAGACAAGAATAATAGAAGAAGGGGGTGGGGGTCGGGGGTGGAATAATAATTACACACGCACACAAAAATAAAAATAAAAAAAGATTGAAAATAAATTTAAAAGAATTTATTAGTACATGCCCTTAGCCTCTTTAGGGTATGCGTAGATTAGGTGAGCAAATACAACACTCGACTTTATTACTGAATAGATTAGTTGATACTAGTAGCCGTAGTGCTAAAAGCCCGTGTAGAAGATCAAGGCGGATGAACTTCGATAGAATATGGGCATTCCATGCAGTATTTTCCTATGCCCTCCTAATCTACTCGTACGAGTGCATCCCTAGCTGCTGTTATTATGGAATTGTGCATGCGTGAGAACATGAAACCGCCGCCAGAATCGACTCTCTGTGACCTTGTCTCTGCACCGACCGCACGGTCATCCATCAGTGTTCCCTAGCCCTGGAGGTCACCTGGCAGAGTCAGACACCTGAATGAAAAACGGAGTCATCCTGACAGCAACCGGCGAGTTCCGTCAGCATCAAGATGGATGGCGTGCCGTGGCTGGCCGCGGCATAGCAGACACCTTGGGGGCGATGAGTCGATCTCTAGTGAAAATTTCAAGCTTTGCACGCTCGATTGTTTGTTGGGTCGTCCTTAGTACTGCGCAAGTGCTACTAGTATGTGAATGAACATAATTAGCCCTCGTTGATGCATTAGAGGAGGATGTTCAAGGCACCTGGGTGTTGGCCGACTTGGCCACCGTCTGCCTCCTGGAGCTTTGTGTGTGTCGGTGGCAAAGTGGCATAGTGTTCTGTTGGTTGTGACCTTTCCAATTGGAGGGAACCCATGCGAAATTCACGACACTGATTCAAACATCACCCTATAATAGTTGGTCCCTGTACCATTCTGGCAACGAGCCTAGTCGAAGGCGCGGGCGCGGCACGCCATCAATGATTACTTAAGTACATAGTCCGGTATGGTTAGTTCGGATCCAAATCGACGTTACCCACCCCGGGCCGTTTACTAATTGTGCTCTAAGCCATGTACTCCTCTGTATCAAGTTACCACATATGTCTCCGGGACGACGATAAATGAAGATACCTGGAAGGGTATTCGGTCCCTCCCCAATGCAACGGTACGAGCTACCGGCCGTTTCTTCCACAGAGCCTACAGAACCCTGGAACCACTTCAGCGGTTCCACATGATATGTAAATAAAGTTATAGAGGCCGTAAATCAGACTGAGAGTGGTTGGACGTGGTCTAAAAAGTAGTTTCGTGTATAATGCCCATCAATGATACAATTTTGGACTATATACGAAGTCTGCGTATTTTAGCAAGGGCTCAAGTCCTGGCGCTACTAATGAGTAGTCTTACAGTAGTGAAGAAAAACGCAATGCTGTTTTCGAGGCAACAGTATAGAGACAATACAATGCGTAGGCCGTGACCTTACATACCTAGGTATGTAGCCTCGTGCCGCACAGACAAGGCTGAGGTATCGCCACCTCACTCGCCACATCCAATCTTTTATACCTAGGTAGGGCACAATGTATCAAGACCTATCATCTCAGTGATAGAGACCCAAGAACCTGGGAAGGTCTCCAGGCACCTAAGTAAGTATCTAAAGGCAGGAGGACGGCGGTAGGACAGCGGAGGTGACCTACCTAGGTAGGCAAAGTGCCGATCCGCTCCTCCTCTAACAGTGCCAGCACCCGGGCCGGCTGATTTACCAGAACCACGAGTTGACTTATGCCCCACGAGGCTGAGGCCGCACACAGACATATTGCATTCTCTCAATACTGTACTATGGGGACTAGGAATGGAACTACCAAGTATCTTCTCCCCTCACCAAAAGGGTCCGTCACCCACGGCCAAGCGGGCACCTGCCGCAAAGATCATGCGCTTGAATGACTACTTAAGTAGCTTTGTTAATGTCCTGCCGTCTGATTTAGATCGCAGGCTGTCGGCAAGATAGGGGCTCCCGAGCGTAGCCTCCGGGTCCGTCGGGCGGCCGCGCTGTGCCGTCTCAAGGCTGACACAACTGATCTTCTTGGCTTCTTGCTTCCCGGGGCACGTCCTGTGAAATCACGACTTCCAATCATGTGGTTAAGTTAATTAAGCGAGATCCATGTCTTCCAAGCCGAAATTTTCCGCAACCCCCGCACCTTAGCTACGAAACCCGACTAAACTAACTATCTAGGGGTGACTTGAAATCTTCTACATACCATAACACTCCCCTAGGGGTTTTTAAATATAGTTTCTAAACTATCCTTTTTACTTTAAGATAATATCTTAAATAATTCTTAATACTTTAAAACTATTTTCTTATTAATACTTTTTAATAATAATTATAAGATATATTAATATTTCTTTTTAAAATTAGATTTTCTTTAAAATTAAAAAGTTCTTTAAAAGTCTTTTTTTTTCTTTTAAAGAATTTAAAAAACTTCTTTCTTTAAAAGAGAAGAAACTTAACTAAAGATTATAATATATAAATAAATAAGTAAAGAGTTAATTAAAGGTTATTTTAAAAAGAAGACTATTAAAGGAATAAAAAAAAACCTTTTTTTAATTAGTTTTTATATTAAAATAAAAAAGTAATATTAAGGAATTCTAAAGATTAATACCTTTTAAAGACTTAATCTCTCTTAAAGACCTTCTTATTACTTAAAGGTTAATTAAAGAAGGAAGGACTATTAGTAGTTATAGCTGTCGCAAGATTGTAATTAAGTGGAGATGATTTTTAAAAACCCCTAGGGGCGCGGTACGGTAGGTATTTAATTCTGGTTTCGCTTCTACTCCGCATACATCTGAGGACATAAATGGCCCCTTCATGCAGTGGTAAACGCTGAAGACCCAGCGCAAGTACTTGCCTGGGCAAGAAGATTGCGTGTGGAGTGCCACCGCCGGGACAGCTTCTGCCTACACCATGCCTAATACCGTACAAGACAAGTCCACGAATCCATCAAACATCTACCAGAGACCTTCAAACCAATCAAATGTCGATAAGCCAATCCTCCTTGTTATCAATATTGGGTGGCTGAGCTCGCTTTGTTGGGGAGGAAGTACCATCTACGCCGAATGACATCAGTGATTCGACATCGAGATCCATGTGCTGCTGAAGCTTTGGTGAAGCTTTGGTGTCGGCTGGGCTTGGCTCGTCACGGTGTCGTCCCCGTCGAATCCCTAGCACTTCCGCCTCGAACCCGAGGTCAGATTCACCCATCAATGACATCAAGTCGGCGGTGGCTTCGCTTGGGGCGCACCTAACTCCCCCCAAGGGCTGTGCCGGAGAATTAATCACATGTAGGGAGTCATCTCCATGGTCTTTTCGAGATACAAAGGTTTCTTCCTTGCGTGTCAAATGTCGCTTGCTCTTCTGCGGACTCCGAGACAATTGGGCCTGATTGCGCTGGGAATTCATCGGCTTTCCTCCGTGGGATCGTGATGTGGCTTGGGAACGGTTGTTACCAGATGGAGCACGAGCTTGCATGTGTGGCTGGGGGCTCTGTTTCTGGTTGGCAGCTCCGCGGCGGTTACCGACAGCCTGGTTGTTAGCCCTCGGGAAAGGCTGGTGTCCAGCTGTACCACGACTCTGAGTCCGCTGCTGTCCAATCACTCGGAATCCATCTCGATTGACAGTGACCGGTGTGAAAAGCTCATTGATCCCCCCTCGTTGGCCGGCATTGGGTGGAGGCGCTGAATCCAATTCAATCTCGGGCGAGGGGTTGAGCGCCTGGAGGCGAGCTTCGCGGATGACTTCGTCGTGGATGGCGGGGTTCTTGCTGAAGTCAATCCACTTCTCCGGGCTGCTGTCACGGATTTGATCCGGAGCTGCTGAGGGTATCGCTGAAGAGGACAAGGGAGAAGACTCAAGTTGAAGCTGGGCCATCTGCTGCTCGACCTTCAGAGTCTTGAACTGTTCGCAATTCTCACAGCATCGGCATTGGTCGGTGCAAACGCCTGAGCATTTGTGGCCGCAGGGGAGAATTTGGGTGCAGGGATTCAGGCACGTGAGCTTGTCGTGAGAAATCCTGTTCACAATAGTCAGCACCCAGGGCCGTGAAGGTATTAAACATGAATCTTACACATGACAGCTGAGAACGCAATCGTGCCCACATGGAAGCTTGCCGTCACATTTGATCCAGCACCCACCAGCATTCCCGACAAAGCTCTCCGGGGACTTCATCCAGATCTCATTTGTGCCCTGCTTGTCATTATGGTTCTGGCAAACTAATGGCAGCCCCTTGTCCATAGCAACGCGCTGCTGTTCCGCAAAGCCGTTCCAGATAGGAGCCCATGTGTCGAAGGACTGCTTGGTAGATTGGAAAAGATTGTTCTTGTTTCCGAACATGAAGAAACCACGACGGGCTCTGCTCACCGCGACTGTTGCGCGATTCCGACTCTCGACGAAACCGACACGCTTGGGCTCATTTGGCGCCGGGGGGCTCCGCACAAGAGATAGCAGAACGATCTCGTTTTCCTCGCCCTGGTATGAGTCCACCGTCGCGACGTTGAAGCGACATGCCCCGAGTGATAATGCGTCACGCGCACGCCTCAGAAGGCTCTGAATCTTCTTCCGCTGCCCTCGGTAGTACGTGAGGACAGTGATATCCGTTGGTTTGACACCATTCTGAACCAGGTAAATCATGAATGCAACGATCATCTCAGCCTCCTTGTGGTTGAATTTGCTGTTGTCGGGATCTGTCTCCTCTGGCCACTCGTGTGTGAAAAACCAGCTTCGACGGGAGCCCATGCCTTGAACCGGAGGACGCTCGGCTTGGTCCAGCACTAGAGGGTGGTCCTTCAGACCGGGGTAGCACTTTTGCACAATGTACCGAAGCTCAGGAGCCATGCGTCGTTGCTGATTCAACATGGTGTAAGGAACATTGTTGCGGACCAAACGCTCAAACAGAGAAACATTGAGGTTGAATGGCTCATCACCAAGTCGGGCAATGTCGCACTGAGGCGGAAGTTGCTGATGGTCGCCGACGAGAATCAGCTGCTCCAGGCTGGGGAACAACGCAGAGGAAACGTTTGGTTCCCTGGTCTCCGCTGCCTCTTCAATCAGAAGCACTCGTGCGCCAGTCGCGGCCAGAAACCCACGATATTTGGTTAGTCCAGTCGTGGTGCATCCGATGATGTTGATGCAGTGCTTTTCAAGAACCTTGAGATCGCTGTACCATTTGTTGACCTTTTGTTGCTTTGCGTGACTGACAGCCTGTTGGATTATCTCTCGAAGCCGGGCTGTCGAGGCTTCACGCAATTTGGCCTGAAGGATTTGGTAGACACCCCCACGTAAGGGTATTGGAATTTTGTACATGTCATCGGACTGGGAAAGCAGAGCTTCACAACGAGGCTTCCAGCCTGGGACTCGCGGAGTGTTCCCAGTGTAGTAGCTGGTGAATGGGATCCAAATGCCATGAAGAGGATCGTCTTGGTCGTCGGCTGTGTCGTCGTCCAGTTCAGGATCTTCGCTCTCAACAAATTGCTCGTCGACGGCTTCTTCATCGGGGAACTCGACGTCATCTAGCGACTGTCGTAGGCGTTCGATTCGCTCCTCACTCAGCCAGGCCTGCATCCCCGGCTCATCATCATCTTCCCATCCCTCATTCGATAGGGAGTTGAACTGGGCCTCGTTGATGACACCTGCATCAAGCAGTGCCTGGGGATCCAGAAGCTCTTGGCCACCAAAGACCCCATCTACGACGGTCTTAAGCTCCTCGATGATTTGCAGCCGCTGCTTTTCAAGTGATTTGTACTTGAGCCTGCCATCAATGCCACCCTTACCGAGCGACTGGCGAAGGTTGTAGACGGTGCGCTCCTTAATGATCTCGTTTCCAGTACGACCCCCCACACGCAAAATCTTGGCGCCCGCCTCATGGCAGTAGATAAGCAGCTGGTCAAGGGCGTGATTCGTCTGGGCGGCGATGATGACGGGAGGATCGCCGAGCTGCCGGTTGCTGAGAATGACGTTTAGGGCTTGAACTGAGGTAAATGTCTTTCCCGTGCCAGGAGGGCCCTGGACCACTGCCAGCTCCTTAGATACCATCCGTTGTAGGGCCTGGAGTTGGGATGCGTCAAGGCTTGTTTGCGGTTGGATGCCCTGCTTTGACAGAGGACGGCTCATGTCACACTCTTGGTACTTCTCGGCGACCTGCTGGTAGACAACGCGCTCGAGATCCTGGCTGCCTAAGGCTCGCTGCTGCTGCGCCTGCGTGAGCTGTGTTACGAGGCAGGATAGGTCGAGATGAGGTTCTTGGGAAATATGTCGGGCAAGGGAGTCGTGGGTGTCGAGACGAAGAAGATATTTGTCGAGGGGGGAGGTTTCTCCGGCAGCCATCTGGAGCCCAATCATGGCGTGGCGAGCGGCCTCGTAGAAGCCGTTGCGGGACTCGATCATTACCAACTCTTGGTCGGGGTCGACGACCGCTTCTTCGGCACAGGCCCATATTATATCGACGGTTGGGGGGTTTTGATCGAGGCCGCCCTCGATGGGGCGTTGAGCAACGATAGCGACACGGCAGTCGGTCTGGAAACTGTCGGTTGAGAGAGCGACGATACGGCCTGGGGTAAGACGCTTGGCCTGCTTCCACTGGATTCTACGGCCAGCCCTCTGGGTCGAGAAGCTGACGCGGCAGAATGGACTCATCTTCGTCATCAGGTATCCTTTGACGAGCACCTGTTGACGTTAGCCTGGTGGAGCAGATTCCTCTCCAAGCCACTGTACTGACCTTGGTGTACACACAGGTGTTCTCGTCGTCACCCATGGACGGTGATGACTTGAACTCATTGATCGAGAAACGCAGCCCCTCAACAGCTTCAAATCGGAGGATCTTGTAAAGAGCCTCAAGGTAGCAGGCCTTGGACTCGAAGGGAGCATCTACGGGGAATGACGGGAGGTCGTTGGTGGTAGCAGCAGGGTTCATGACCTCTGTAGAGGTAGGAAACTCTGGTAGCTGTTGCCACAGTGGTCCCTTGTCGGGGGCGTTGAGCGGGTTGTGTTGGACATGATCACGGATTGCGGTGATCATTTCCTCGTTGGTCGCCATGGCTGGCGACGAAGGCGGTTGTCTGCGCTTGACGATGGCAAAGTGGTCAGCTCCAGGGTGAGTTGGGTTGTGAGTTGGGTTGGGTTGGGATGGATTGGGTTGGTGGTGGATGTCTGCTCTGGGGAAAGCTGAGGGAAGGTAGGTAAGTGGTGGGTAAGAAGGAAAGGTGGGGCTTGAGAGCAAGAGGAAAGCTGGAAAGACCAGAGCAGGGAGAAGGAAAGTACCAGGTACCGACGGAAATTCAAGATCTTCTTTCTGTTGACTAACCTTTGTTTCTCGCAGTTGGCAGACTGCTGGTGAAGTTCGAGGATTCTCGGCGCAACAGAATTGAGAACTGGTGCAAGGGTTTAAATACGTAGCCAGAGGCGACCAGAAGATTCCGTCTTCTCCATTCAGACCAGAAAACATGCGTCCAATTGTTTGTGGTCAATCGCATCGGATGGGTACAGCGCTGATGGAGATCTGTTTGCTGCGGGCCAATCAACCCTCCCAATGCTAAGCAGTGGCTATTGTTTCAGCATATTGTTGACAGTCACCGGCTGGCCCCTCGATCACTTGCCCATTGAATAGGAGTAGAAGGCAACATTCGTTGGAAAAAGATTTGCGGGTCTCTGGAGATGGGACGTTTGCAATGGAAAAGAGTGGTGCCCAGCAGGTATTGTTGGGGGATGGGTGAAAATCTCTTGGCCCCTTCGAGGAAAGCAGCTTCCCAATGCCTTGGGGGAAAACAACCTGACAACGGAGGGGAGGAAGCCGCACTTGGTTCGCAGGCACCTGCCCAGGTTCAAGTTTCCTTCTCAGACATGCTTTGGAACTCAAGCCAGCACTTGACAGTTGCCATTGCTTGCAGATGTCTTACAGCGCATCAATCAGGTTGACAAGGCCTTAGAAAGAGGACCCAGACTCTACGTGGCGTGCATTGTTTTTTCGAAGTCTTCATAGAACAATGTGCACTGTCTTCGTATTTGCAGCCTTCCTCGGCTTCCACATGTTTGTGTGTCTTATCATGTGCCAATTCTGAAATAGAGTCAACCTGCAAAGGCCAGTCAAAGGTACCTGGGTATCTACCCAGGTGCCTGGGTAGACAGCCCTCGTAGCAAACCAGACCAGATGCACGGGCAGAGCCAGAACCTTTGCGATTGTGGTTCCTGAGTCAGGAAGAGCTTCAGTGGTGCTTGAAAGCCCAGGCCGGGGGCACTGGACGGGCCTTCCAAAACAGTCATGTTGTGCTGGTACTGAACAAATGCTCGTCTACGGGCTATTGATCAAAGTCTACATATGTAGCTGGGTGCTCACTTCCAAGGCTCCCAGGCCTTCCTGGCTGAAGCACCTAGGTATTCTTTGTATGCATTGTCTGGAAGGGAGTAGCTTCCTTGGCCTTGCCATTTTCGAGGCTTGGAGTTGAGACTCGGGAGATCCCTTCTCAATACCCAACTTGGGCAGAATGTGCAGAAAGCCCTGAAGACCTGGCGGGGACTGTCTGAGTCTCTGTTACCAATATTGTAGCTTGTCAAATGTTGGTCATTCTGGTGGTGGAAACGGCGAACACACTGAGGACACAAGCTGAAAATTGGATCTCTTCAAGGTTGGGTGATTCATAGCGGAACCAACATAAAGGTACCATCAGATGCCTCACCCGCACCTGACCTTGAGCGAGCAAGAGTTGGGCAGGACAGAAACCATTGTGATGACTTGCCAGGTTTAAAGGACTTGGAGACCGGAATTTGGAAGTCAAAATCAACAAAAATACCTAAATATTTGTCAAATCGCCCTGAGTGTGTGTGTGGCAGGTTCCCCCGTCAATTAGCTGGCCAAGGCACGCTCTGCCCGAGGTCGAGTGGTGTCGTTTGCAATCCCCATACATATAAAATGTAGGTGGTGCCTTCATAGAGCGGTAAACGCTCGAGACTGTCTGAGGTCGAAAAACCCGAGCTCGGTGGCGATGCTGACACCAGAGACGTGTTGGTCCATCACACATGGATGTCATGCACACCCCCATAATTCAAAAACCTCAATTTTGAAATTTAATAAACTGAGTTGTTGGTGGCAAGCCACCGTTGCGTGGTGGCGGCACTTGGGCTCCAGGGCTGAGTGCCGTGGGCGGGTGTCAGCCATCTTGCCACGCCCGTCAGCTAGTCAGCCACCAAGGCGCCACCAAAGCTGGCTGGCAGGTTGCCGAGCTTTGCACAACACCACGGCCCCAGAATTGTGCAGCGACAGTTGGGTGAACATGCGTCTGTTGGGACAGCAACGTGATTGACTCCACTAAAGATCGGCAGTCATCGAGTTGCTCGTCATGGCCGTGATCCTTGATGATTAACTCCCTGAATATAGGAGGAAATATAGGAGGAGAGAACAATAAATCAAACCTCACACAAGGCAAGGACAATAGCTATGAGTACTTAACGGCATCCAGAGTCCTTTCCATGGACTTCTCGGACTCTAATCTCGGACTTGAACATCTTCGTATAATCCTACAAACGGCGCAATCCAGCCATACTGCATGGTTCCAAAACCCCATGCCCACCTAAAGAGAGCTCCCACACGCAACATGACAGACGCCACAACCACCAAGGCCCTCAGGGTGGCCATCGTAGGCGCCGGCATCGCAGGCCTGACAACAGCCAAGGCCCTGCGCCACTTCTACCCCAAGGAGGCAGTTGACATCAAGGTCTACGACAAGGCAAAAGCGCTTAGCGAGGTCGGCGCCAGCATCGGCGTCCACACGAGCGGCCTCAGGATTCTCGACAGACTCGGCGTCCACGCCGCCCTCGACGATTCCATCTGCATCCGCCAGTCCAGCGGCTCGCCCATAGCCTTCAGGCACTGGTCCACCGATGAGGTCCTGGGGATGCAGGACAGCAAGGTGGAGGGCGGCATCGAGGAGAAGTATCGCCCTGCTAGGTTCCACCGTGCTCACCTGCAGCAGGTATTGGTCGAGGCGCTCCCCGAGGATGTCGAGTTGAGGCTGGCGACCAAGCTGTCTGCGACTCGTGTCAGCCCAGGCAGTGCTGACCCAGTCACCTTGTCCTTTGAGGACGGGAGCAGCGAGGCTGCGGACTTGCTGATTGCGGGTGATGGCGTCTACTCCAAGATCAGGGCCAGCTACGTCCCCGATGCTGAGGTCAAGTGGCTGGGCATGATCGCCTTCCGCGCTGCCTTCGATGCTGCCCTGGTTCAGGGGATAGAAGGGCTCCCTGCAGACGCTGTACGCTGGAGTGGTCCTGACGACAGGAATTTTGTGTCTGGACGACTAGGCAAGATTGCAACACCACAGGATGTTTTGGCCTGAGGCTGCTAATCACTCTTTCCAGGCAAGGGCAAATACGCCATCGTAGCCCTCCACAACGCCGACCCCAACGACCCAAGAGACCCCTTCTGCAGCGCCGAGTGGGACCAGACGACCAGCCTGGAGCTCTTCAGGAGCCTCTACGGGGTGAGCACATGCCACACACAACCTTGCTATCGAGAGCCTGACTGACGCTTGACCAAAGGACTGGAACCCCATCGTCCGAGGCGTGGCCAACGCAGCCCCTTACATCAAGACCTACCCCATGTGCGCCGTCACCCCGCTCGACACCTTCGTCTTCGACAGCCACGTCGCCCTCCTCGGCGACGCGGCCCACGCCCACGGCGGCGGCGTGGCCATCGGCGGCTCCCTCGCCATCAACGACGCCTACGCCCTCGCGCTGGCCCTGACGCACGTCTGGCCCCCTTCCTCCTCCTCCTCCGCGTCCCCGTCGCCAAAGCCCGCCCAGCAGCAGCTGGAAAGGGTCCTGAGGCTGTACGACGAGACCCGCCGCCCGCTCGTCAACCGGCTGCTGGCGGGCGTCCACGCCCTCGCGCAGAAGAGGCGGTGGATGGCCGAGAAGAAGACGGTCGACGGCGCGGGGGAGACGGACGAGCAGCTCCGGGCGAGGATTGCCAACAGGCCCGACCTGAGCTGGTTGACGGAGCATGATGTCGAGGCCGAGTTTGAGAAGGTCGTCGCCCGGGTTGAGGCTGTTTGAGTGTGAGGTTTGCTCGTGCCGCGTGGACTGAATACCAATTCGAGAGCAGTGTGGAAAATCTAAGAAGCCATCGTTTCCGAGCGAGTCCTGCTACTGGACTTTGAAATGACCCGCAATCTCTACAAGTGATACTGCAGAACGTCGCTACAGACCGTCAGCCACCGTTTATATTACGGCATGCTCGACGTGTGCTACTGCGATGTGAACATTAAGCGCCATCTCCGCATGGCCCTCATCAACGGCAAGGTGTGTGGAAATGCGTGTATGTGAGATGGGGTTACAATGTCTTACGTGCAGTCTACCTGGGTAACCCCATTGGTGTTGCCGCAATCGAAGCTCTCTCCAACCTGCAGTGTGACGTTGATGAGCGGCAACTACAAGCAGACGCCGGACGGGCCCTTATCAGTCCGCCGTCCTATGTGGTGGTACTGAAGCTGATCGTGCTTACAGGTGCGTCTAGTGCCGCATGCAATCTTGGCACTTTGGCTATCATATTGGATCAAGAACATTAGGCGGTGGTCTTGAGCGGGGCCTCTTATCCAGACCCTAGGAATCCCACTGTTCTTGTGGCTCTTGACGTTCGAGTATATGATCCAACTGCATCCCGCTTAGCACTTAAGGGCACCTGGGCAAGTAAGAATCGTTGAGAGCATCAAAATGTCTCGTAACGAAGACCTCGAATGGACGTCACCACCTTTGAGACTGCTTCTGGGCGGACTTTTATGCTTCACGTTGTGGGTACGTCTAACGAACACAAAGAATGAATGCCGCCTCTTCGGTAGAACACATCTGACTCGAAGTTTGCATCCAAGACCGCTGGCCTGGTAACATACCGGCTCTTCTTCCATCCCCTCGCCAGAATTCCCGGGCCACTGCTTCAACGAATATCAGGTCTGCCAAGAATCTGGCAGTGTTATGTTGGCAACAGGTATCTGTGTGAGATCCAAGCTCACGAGAAGTATGGTAAGAACCACTCGTCCAACTTCTGGACCGCGACGTGTGACTAAGAGCCCTTCCTAGGACCGGTCGTTCGTACAGGTCCGAACTCGGTAAGCAGACAGGTTTCTCTGTCTCCAATAACAAGATCATGGCCAAGCCCACGCGCGCCTGCGATTAGCTAACGAGCATCAGGTCATCTTCAACACACTCTCGTCCCTACAGGCCCTCCACCTCAAGAAATCGGCGAATGTGTTCAAGGGCGAAGAGTTCTACGGCCTGTTAGACGGCGGCCCAGCCGGAGGCAAGAGCGTGCAGATGATCGCCGATCACGAAGCCCATTCCGCGCGGCGCAGGCTGCTGGACAAGGCCCTGCCCCCGCGGGACCAGGTCTTCCAGGACATCAACGCGCTCTCGCGCGACCTCGTCGCCGTCATGGAAGACGAGGCCAGCACCAACGGCGGCATCGTGGACATCGCAAGGGTGACCTCATGGTACAGCTTCGACGTCATCAGCACCATCGCCTTCGGGCAGGCCTTCGACATGATGCACACCACCACGTGGCGGTGGCTGCCCCTCTGCCTCCAGCAGATGAGCGCCTTCCTCTACGCCGCGGGCTTCGCCTCGGGCCACGTGCCGGTCCTGCGCTTCTTCCAGTGGCTCCTCCGCACGGGCTGGCCGTCCCGCCTGGGGTGGACCACCGCCGTCCAGGCGCAGAACTACGCGGACCTCGCGGCGGAGCGGGTGCTGGACCGCGGCCGGCGCCTGAAGGGCGAGGCGGGCCTGGAGGCGCCGGGGCGCAAGGATATCTTCGGGTACCTCATGCAGGCCAGGTTCCACGACAGCGCCGACCTGGCGTCGGAGAGCTCGCTGTTGATCGCTGCCGGGAGCGACGCCGTGCGGTTCGCGGTCGCCGCGACGATGTTCTACCTGCTGCAGAACCAAGATGCAAAGGCGAAGGTGACAGCGGAAGTCAGGAGTCTCGACTTGGGAGAGGATGGCCTAAGTGAGTCCAAGATAGCCTCGCTGAAATATCTCCGAGCTTGCCTTGACGAAGGGATGCGCCTGAGTCCCCCAAAGGCGGGAAGCATTCCCAGGGAAACCGGAGCAGGGGGCATCGTCATCGACGGGGTCTCTATCCCGGAGGGCATGACGGTTGCAACCACAACCTACGCCCTCCACCGGGATCCTGAGATCTACAAGGAGCCTTTCCAATACAATCCCGACCGCTGGCTGGAAAGACCGCATGATCCACGGCTGTATGCGGCGTTCACCCCGTTTATGAAGGGGCCGCGGGCTTGCCCTGGCAAGGCTATTGCGTATGTTGCCATGCAGACAGTTTTATTCCACATCTTTCGGGAGCTTGACGTCGAGGTCGTGACGGAAGAGAGTCAGGGGGCGGAGCGGGTCAAAATTGGGACCAAATCGTGGCGTTATCAGAATGATTATCCTTTTAATGACTGGGTTATTGGGTATACAAAGGGTCCATTCGTCCACATCGGACAGGCTTGAATGAGTTGGTCAGGTGATTTCTTCCGCAACTTTAGAACATAGGATGTTATCTACAAATAAGGTATGGAAGTTTAAGCGAATCCCTCATTTGTTTTACAATTGTCCTAGTATTAGACAGATCTTACCGTTAGTAGTGTATATAAGTGAGAAAGATTATAGCGAGAAATTACTTTCAATGCCGCCTATACATTAATAGACTTAGATAGATAATACCTATCTTTTATTAAAGAATAAAAAATAATATATAATTAATATACTTAAATATTTATTAAATTAAAGAAAGAGATTAATACTTTATATTATATTATATATTAATAAATATTAAAAATAGTTATTATAACTTTTATTTATTTATTTAATTATTATTTTTTTAATATTAACTTTAAAAAAATTTAAAATAATTAATAGTTTTATAATATAAGTAATTTATTAATTATTTAATAATTCTTTTATAATAAAATAATTTTATAAAAGAATAATTATTAAAAATAAAAGTTATTAAAATAAAAAAGTTATTAAAAATTTATAAAAGGTTTTATATCTTTTTTATATAAAAAAATAGAAATACTTTTTTTCTTTCTTTCTTTCTTTCTTTCTTTCTTTCTTTCTTTCTTTCTTTCTTTCTTTCTTTCTTTTAATTTAATATTAAATTTTTATATTTTATTATTAAATTAATTAATTTATTAAATTAATTAATTAAATTAATTATATTTAAAAATTTTAAAATAAAATTATTAAAGATATTTAATTTAAAAATCTTTTAATAAAAAAGAAAAAAGAAGTTTTTCTTTAATTAATTAATATATTTAAATAAAATTTATTTTAAAAATTAAAAGTTATTTAAAAAAGAAATTTTTAAATAAATTTATATTTATTTTATAATTATTTATTTTATAATTATTTTTATTAATAATTATTTTTAAATATTGAAATAATTTTATAATTATTTAAAGGTTTTTTAAAAATAATAATATATATTATTAAAATTATTAAATAAAAACTAAATATTATAATATTAATTTTTTTAAAAAAATAATATAATTATTAAAAGTTATTAATAAATTATAAATATTTATAATAACTCTTTTAATATATATTAATATATAATATATTAATTTTATTTTTAAAAGTAATTCTATTTTTAATTCCTATATATATAAAATATATATAATACCTTTATATAATGATAAATACTTAAGATTTAATGTTCTTTAAAAAAAAATAGGGTTAATAATAGTAGAAAGAGAATATAGTATGTTTGTGGGCATGTGGCTCAGCCTTGTGCCGCGCAGACAGACTAGAAGGCATCGCTCCCGACGGCTCAGCGCCGCTCACTAGACAGCCAGCAAAGCCAGTGCCTAGGGGTTGTGGCTGCTGGGTGTGTGGGATTCCTTTGGATTCACTATCTAAGTGAGTAGGAACCGGCCCCTCGTCATCGGCTCCTTTTTCGGGACATTAAGCTACAACGCCACGTGCGCCTGCTCGGGAACCACCAACACCGGCACCACTTAGCATACCTTGGTCCTCGACAAGGCGTTCGTCCGCGGCCTCCGGCTTACCGACGAGGAGGGCTCTTAATAAGTGCTTCCCGGGCCACTGCGCTGGCCACGCCGTCGAAATCCACGCCATCCTCCACAAGAACGCGATGGTCCGCAAGAACGGCGCCGTCTACGACCTACCTAGGTAACCGCTTCGCACATGGGCCCGATCCTCTGGGACCTATCCGTCCACGACGCCGTTGAGCTGCTCTACCCCTGGTGTATAATTGAACAGGTACATCATGATATGTAGTCCAACACCGCCACCGCTAACTACAGCGTTATCGCCTGCAAGACCGACACCAACGGCACCAACGACCGCTTCTTCACCATCCTGGACAACTTGCTGGCCTGGATCGTCCTTGGTATCAACACTAGCTTGAGTACCTCCAATATCTCCACCGCTGCGGAGTACTATGCCTCCCAAGGTTTAGTAGTCCCGATGATTCGGTTGCCGGTGTGTGGGATGGACCGGACGATTTTACAGGAAGCACGTGGAGATCTAATCTAGTGTGCCTCAGAGAGTCAGTATAGTACTTTGTTCACTAAGTGATTGCTGCTGTACCTAGGTAGTTTGTTATCAATTAGGTACATGTGAAGTCAATTTAGTGTCATTGGAAAACACCGCTAGCACGTCTCCTACTTGTTGAGAGTATTTGGTGCCAATCCTTCATGTATATGCTATCCGCTTGTCTGATTTTCCCAAACCACGTCTTTCTCTGCCCTCCAACCCTACATCGAAGTTGTTCAGCTTGGTCGATTTGCGACTAATTTTCGAATTGTGAAAAGTTGTTCCCGCATTTTCCAGTCATGCAAGTTTGACATGCTGCGTCTAATCCGGATGTCAGAGTCACCAGAGCTGGCGAGACACCCACTGTCACATTCCAACCCTACATATATCCACACGACCTCTCTCAAATCAAATCCATGATCCCAGATTTGAAAATATCGGAAGCTAGCGTTGATTGCCATTTGCCTTCCTGCAACAGTCCATTTCGCCAAGACACCTTCCTTCCAAGTCGGCCATGCAGAAAAAAGATACACCCGAGTCACCGCTTCCAAAAGCCCCAGGCGGGCGTTTTCCCCATCTGTATCCCGCGGCATTTTCTACTATTGGTAATGTCATCTTTGTCATCGGTCCGCCAGGAAGTGGCAAGGGCACGTTGTGCTCTCGCATATGCGCAGAGTATCCTCGCCGCTTCAAGCACCTGTCAGTCGGAGATTACCTCCGGGAGCTTGTCGGCTCCAACGCATCGGGTGGTGCCTCATCCCCGCCTAACATCCCAGCTCTTCGTCCTGGTGCCCTCCGGCCGGAAGAAATCGCAAGATACGTGCGAGAGAGCAAGCTCCTTCCGCCGAACACCCTCATACAACTGATCAAGGCAAAACTACTCGCTGAGTTTACTCCGTCCGACACCTTCTGGCTGATTGATGGGTTCCCTCGTGACGAAAAGTCCGCTGAGGAATTTGAGATGCATGTAAGTATCCCCCACTTACCTGGTGCCACACCCCCCCCCCCCCCGGGGGGCTCTTTGGCCTTTTCAGATGTGCGACACTAATATGCGATCCGCGTCACAAGTTCGGTGCGCCAAAGGGCCTGATCCAGCTCACTTGCGACGAGTCAATCGCCCGTCAGAGGTTTCTCGATCGCCGGCGAGCTCCTTCAGACAACGAAGAGGCCTTCGAGAGGCGACTGAAACAGCACTATGACAGCTTGGACTGGATTGCCATTCGTTACTGTCTACTGGAGTACCGAGTGAGTCTACATTAGTAGTATCCCACGCCACTCTTCCAATAAACGCGACTCCTAGATATTAAGTGTAAATGTTAACGTAATCACAGATGCGTGTCAATTCCGGCGTAGTGGGCTGGGTCAGTCAGGCTCTGGACGCTATCAGGCAAGATTGCGCCGAAATTGTTGACAAACCTGACACGGCTGCGGCACGGGAAGAAAATAAACTGTAACACATGCCGGATGAGGTGTCTTGCGATGCCATTTGGCATGATGGGGGAGGCGCAGAACATGGAGAGAGGTCAATCAGGGTGGACGTAAATCGAAACAATTGTATCTTGCCTGCGGGTCCCACATGCAGTCTCCCCCTCAAATATGATAGATTACGATGTCTGCCATTGTGATTTCCCTTGGAACTGGATAATATTTCAAAGAAAAGAGGGAAAACATAGCTGACCCCTCGGCTTTCATGGTTCAGTTAGAAGCATTGATGGGGTATCGAGATATGAAGTTGTAGAACAGGAGTGAGACCTGAGTGTTGATAAACTCTAGCCGAGTGTCCTCACCATGGATAATCAACATTGAAAGTGCTGCATTATTTTTCCTGCAAACTCCAAGAGGCGTAGCTGGGGCCTTAGCAATTGAAGCCCCGAGCTCGAGTTCGCTACTTTATCTGTCCTCTTTGGGGTGTTGAAAGCTACCTACCACTGAGATGTTATAACCTTGTAACTCTGGTACTACTGTTTCTAGAGGAGCACACATTGTATCAAACCCGAACATGATTTCAGCCCGCAATACTAGTAGAGGGAGGAGCATGCAGTCAAGGCATATCAGTCCAGGCCAGCTCGAAACTACAACTTGAATATAGAAAGTGGTGGGGTTAAGGTCCTGATTGAAGTCATCCACGTGACCGCTTCAAAAATGTATCGCAATAACTACTAGATACATATGTTCCGCCGCGTTCGTAACGTAACGCCGTGTCTCACTGCTGTGGTCCAACTCATGTCCTGAGTGACGTGGCCTCGTCGCACAACCGTCACCAGTCACTCATCAGCCGCTCCCAGTCCCCAGCAGGGTCAAGCCGACGGTATCCTTCGCGGTGCAAGGACCAGGGTGCAGGATCGAGTGGTCGGGTATGTCGCCGTCCTCGGTGGGGATCTGGATGGCAATCGTCTCCGTGATACCCGGGTACGACGTGGCGTGGCCCTTTGCGCTGACATCGGCGGTGTCTGCCGCGAAGATGAGGCCGAACTGGCCCCCGGACACGTACGCGCTGGTGGTCTCGTCCTCTGGGAGGGTGATGTGGGCCAGCCCCGAGAGAAAGATGACCCATCTGGGAGGGGAGTGATCAGCATTACATTACAGCCTGCATGTGATGTCGGGACATAGATTGGACCGGAATGTCCTTGCAAGACCAAACCTGAAGGCCCTCGGCCAACCTTGATGCATGCATATGTTACGCAGCACCCAATTACCGGTAACCTTATCCCAGGCTCGATACACACACCCCTGATAAAGCTTGAACCAGCCCGCTGTGACCGAACATGCAGGGCAAAATACACACTTCTAATAAACTGCTCGTGGCACCCCGACGTGTAACATATCTATCTACACAAGGCAACGCAACACAACGACGTAAACCAAAAGAATACTGCAACTTACTGGTTCGCAGGCGCGTTGTGCACGCCAGCGTCAAACTGCGCCGGCAGCACGCTGTACGAGACGGCGCTCGCGTTGCCCAGCTGGAGCTGCGCGCTGCCGGCGGTGCCCTGCTGCGTCGAGATGGCGAACGGCGTGTCGATCTCCCAGCACTCGAGGGTCGACGCGTTATTGGCCGCGCCCAGGGCCGTGATGTTCAGGTGCAGCCCGAGGACCGCTGCAGGCAGCAGCAGCAGCAGCAGCAGCGCGGCCTTGTTGGTGGTGGTGGAGATGGGGCCCATATTGATTGTGATGTTGGGGGGGGGGGGTGTAGCGTCGTACTGCTGTGCTGCTGGTAATTAGATGATACTTTGGCAGGGTAGGAATGAGGGTAAGCTGAAATGCAGGTGAGGAGGCAGCGGGTTACGAGCAGAACTGGCAACCGCGGTAGACACGTATGTGGGCTGACGAGAGATGAGGAGGGAGAGGTGCTCGACCGACGGACTGGCTCGGTAAGATGCAGCTTCTGGATGTGCTTACTGTGTAGATGGGCAGAGGGCGGGAAAGTCAAGTGCCGATCGTGTAGAGTGCAGTACTACGGGTGATCAGAGAACCGTGATGTGAGGATGCATTTAAGGGGAAGGGGTTACATGCATAATATTGTGGGCCGGAAGGATTCCGCAAGGCCCAGAGTTCTGTTGGTGGATGATCTGAATTACTTGATCTTCTGTATTCACCTCGAACCAACACTGGCAGACGCCCCACGGCGATTCATCGATGACACTGCTTTTTTTTCCATATCACGAGAAACGCGCAGTAATAGTTGAGAAGACTATCCACAGACTTGCAGAAACATTGCATCAAAGGATTGGGGAGCGTCCCGTCCCGTAGGCTAGCTCCTTGGAAGGCTTCCGAGCTGCCGGGTTTGGTGCCGTATTAGTACATGGCCCATGAGGTTGCATATACCGAGGAAGATTGGGCCATGGGTAAGTAGGGTGGGCTGTGTTACACTGCATCGCGACCGGTGAGAAACCACACCCACACTTCAGCCAATCCGTCAACTCAGCTTTGGAAGAGCACTCCCAATTGGCAACAGGCAGCAGCTGAACAAAGCCGAGGTTGGGTGGAATGGTGGGGGGTGGGAGTGTTTCCCAAGGGTGGGAGAATCCCATCCCGGAGAGATGACAGCTCGCATGCAGCAACCAACGTTGCATTGTTGCGCAGCCTCTGCGATACTCCGGTGCAAATGTGGATTTCCGACGACTCTGATCCTTCGTCCTTCATACCGAGCAAGACTTTTTCTCAGGGGAATCTCTGCTAATTCTTTTCCAAAGATGTCTGCCTGGACTTGGACATGAGTTTTGCAGACGGTAAACCTCGCAGCAGGCGGCCTGCAAAGCTTCGGACAAAGACCCACCTTGCAGGATTGGGGGCCGGAGGCGTTGATTTGAGAGCACAGTCACCCCTTGGGGCGTGGAACCCGACTGGACCGGGAAAATGCAACAAGTGTGGATTATCATTACTGATATTCAACGGCCGGTGTGCAGTAGGAATGCCCGGCCGAACATGTGTTCCCAGCCGCACACCACAAGCCCCGAGGAGGTGCTGCGGGTGACGAGGTCAGCGCCTGTTGTGGGCTAGTGTTCTAATAGAGCCGACCAAGGTGCTGATCTCGAGATCTCGAGATAATCATCTATTATCTCCCCGGTCAAGCCCGCACCTTGTCGTTTCGATCCTGGGTCTCGGGGCGCAATGAGGTCCGACTGACTATGTTTCAATCATGGCTGAAGACTTCCCCAGCACTATCACTGATGAGGCGAGGGCGCGGGCGCCCATCAGCAGCGAGACGGTCGTAGGAGTCAGTGTGTTGTTCCTTGTACTGTCGACATTGTTCACCGGGACTCGTCTTTACACCAGGTTTACTGTTTATCAGCAATTCTGGTGGGATGACTGTAAGTTTGTTGCCTTGAATTAACCCGGACGTCTGTTTTCTTCTTTCTCTTTTTTTTCCAAAAAAAAAAAAAAAAAAAGATCCTCCGAACTGACAGACGCCTTTGCGACAACAGGGTCGATGCTTGTTGCGTGTATGGGCACGGTCGCCCTCTGCACGCTGTTCATGTTGATGTGGCAGCACGGCGGTGGAAGTGAGTCTGCAATACTCCGTAGATCCCCTTGGCCCCACTCGGTACACATGTAAGGTGTAAATTCATCTGGCCAGGGCTAACAGCAGCAACCGCAGTGCACCACCAAGACACGCCCCCCGACGAGTACAAGCGCTACGTCGAGATCTTCCAGGACCTCCAGATGGTCGCGCGCACGAGCATGTTCTTCGCCAAGCTGTCCATCCTGCTGCTGTACGTGCGGCTCTTCTTCCCCAAGGGCGTGGGCCGCAGCGCGCTGTGGTGGATCATCCAGGTCGTCGTGTGGCTCAACCTCCTCTACACGGTGGGCCTGATCCTCGCCCTCGCGCTGCAGTGCGTGCCGTACGGCAGGGCCTACGGCAGCAGCTGCGTCGACCAGTACATGGTCCTGATCTCGGCGTCCATCATCAACATCGTCAGCGACATACTCGTGCTCATCATCCCCATGGCCTCGCTCTGGAGGCTGAACATGAGCCGCCGGCGGAAGTGGGCTGTGTGGGCCCTGTTCGCGTTCGGGTGAGTCACTCGAGATAGACATCCATCCATCCATTCATCCATTCATCCATCGCATGATCTTTCGCCCACCCACTCACTCACACCCCCGACTCCCGCAGCACACTCGCCCCCCTCTCCAGCATCGCCCGCCTCGCCTACCAGGTCCCCATGGCCAACGGCAGGGACACCACGGTGATCTACATGGTGGTTGTCCTCCTCGCGCTGGCAGAGCAGGTCATCGGCATCGTGGCGGGCTGCGCGCCCGTGGTGAGCACGTGGTTCGTCCGCCTCGTGCTCAACAGGGGCCCCTCCCGAAATGCCGCCAACAAGATCAGCCCCGGCGCGGCGGCAAACGCCCCGCGCACGCGCACGCTGACGCAGCGCTTCTGGCCCGACCGCGAGGACGGCCACCAGGGCGGGCCCGAGACGCCGCAGGAGCGCCGCCGGAGGAGGTGGAAGCGGTCTGCCGCGTCGGACCCGTACCCGCTGACCACGACGACGGGCGTGCAGACGACGACGGCAAGCGAGGAGGCGCTCCACCCTGGCTGCGGCTTTGAGGCGCTTGGGCGTGCCGAGTCTGGGTCGGGGCGCGGGCCTGATGGGATTGAGATGGGGGATGTCAGCCCTGTGACTCCTGTCATGGTGAGGGGGGGATTTGATAATGCCCGGGTCCCGTAGCATGGATGTATTTTCATATAATATATGTACATGGTCGCTTCCAGATATCTATCCGCTTGAGAGCAATGTCGCACCGCACGAACAAGAGCAAGCAAGAGGAGCTCCCGGTGATCATCATCAACCCTCCACCTTCTTCAGGTCCTCATGGGCCCCCCGCAGCTCCGCCCCGTCAAAGTCCCCGTCGCCCCTGGGCAGCTCCAGCGTCATCGTGTACATCTGCGCCGCCCTGACCTCCACCTCGCCCTCGCTCTGCAGCGCCAGGACGTGCCCGCCGCGCCGCCGGTCCTCGGTGATGAAGTGGAGGTGGTCGCCGTGGACGCCGATCCCCTGCAGGTAGTGCGGCTGCCGGAAGCCGATCAGGGTGCCGCGGACGTCCTCGAAGGTGAACGAGACCTGGTTCTTGCCGACCTCGATCAGGCGCTGGTGTGGGTATTCCTGTCCTGCCGCCGTCCTGACCGTGACGGACTTGAACACGCCGTCTAGTCGCATGGCCAGTAGGTGGTTTTTCGAGTTTGGGCTGGAGGCAGGTTAGTACTTGTCCCTAACATGAGAGGATTGACCGCCAGAGGCACAAATCAGGAGCAGAAACGGCAAGGAACAGCATCTGACCTACACCAACCCAGTGACAATCCCATTGAGCTCCTCCTTGCTCGGTATCACGGCCTTGGCGGTAACCTCGGGTCTGAAGCGTGTAATCTGGGCGAAGGGGTGGATGGCGTCGCCGTTCGGGTCCAGGTCCACGATCGAGCCGTCCGCAAGCATCTGGTATGCCTTCCCATCAACCACGATCATCTCGCCGTTCATGTGCCGGAACGTCCCGAGCCCGTGGTCCCCGTGCCTGAGGAACTCTGCGATGGGCATGCCCTTGTCCGCGACGCCGTCCATGAGGCCGAGCGCCAGGGAGTACTGGAACATCTGGTTGTGCGCCATGGTCGTGCTGGCTGGCTGTGTCGTTGGAAATCATGTGTGGCCGTTTCATGCTGACCTAGGTATTTTCATGTGTGAGCAGTAGGTAGGTAGGTAGGCAACTTTAAATAAGCGAGCGGGAGCCCGGACGGAGTACAAGCACCTGGGCAAGGTCGGGCCAACAGCCTGCAGCTGGCCGGGCTCGGGGCTGACTAAGAGTGAGTGGGTGGGTATTGGTGCAACCAACCCATAACAACACTCTTGCATCATAGGCCGCTGGGAGGAGTCGGTGGAACCGGTAATACCGCTTCTGTGCGTGTGTGTTGGGAGATAAGTTGCTGGCGAAAGAGGTGGAGCGACGATGGATGGCATGTCTCCGTTCGGGAAACCCTGCACGGGCCTGGTCTGTTGCATGGTTACAGTCGGGCATAGGTACCCCTCCAATTATGACCTCCACCTGAAGAGCAGCATCTTTGTGTTTCAATACCACGAGGCAGATTCAAAAGTTGTGTTCTGGAGTCGGGTTGATTGGCTACCCAGGTACTCTGCATGTGGTGTTGGTGATTCTCAAAGGCCTGATTTCCATCAATGTTTGTCCCCTGCATTGTGACCCGTGTGCCTCTTCCAGGAATCCAGGTGCCTAGGTAGTCTTTGTAGATATCAAAGACTTTCTGCCTCCTCCTTTCGGGTTGCCAAACAAGATAAACTCTTGCAGATTCAGTGCTGGTGGGGTGGGGTATCTGTCCTCCATGTCCATGTCCTCGGGGTGATGCAGCAATGCTATGATGCTCCTAGTAGGTTCAACCATCTTCAGAACCCGGAAAGATGTTGTTGTGCTCAGACCTCACAGTCCTCCTCAATCTTGATCTTAACCTTGGGGTCCCTGAACACCTCGCACCACGTCTTGAAGCAGGCGGCCGAGTGGTGTCGAACAAAGCCGTTGACCGTGAACTCCTGTTCATTTTGTTTATTAGAGCTCTGTAAGAATGAAGGGATAGATTTCTTATAACTATAGACCTATTTAGAAGGGAGAGGACCACCCTTTTTATAGATAAAGGTAGGTACTCTAAACATCTATTAGAATACTATAGAAATTAAGAGAAATAGCTATTCTTTATATAAATTAGTACCTTATATTTAAAAGATTAAAATAATAATTATATTAAGTTATAAATAAATATAAAGCTATTAATAAATAGAGTATTTTAATAATCCTTTAAAAATTAAATATATAAAATAAATTATTTAAATAACTTTTTATAAAATATAAGTATTATTTAGTTTAATTTTAAAAAATATATATTATTATTATTAAAAACTTTTAAAAAAATAAAAACTTAATAAATAATATAAATATTATAATTAAATAAAACCTTTATAAAAAAGTTTAATTTTATAAATATAATATATAAATTATAATATAAGTTAATAATTTTAAAGTTTAATTTATTAAATAAAATAAAAATTAAAAGTTTAAAAGTTTAATTATATTAATAATTAAATTTAAAACTTTTAATATATAATTATAATTATTTTATTAAAAGATTTTATAATTATATTTATATATTATTATATTTATTTATATATAAATATATTTTTATATAATTTAATTATTATATTAAAATTATTATATTATATATATTATAAATAATAAAATATATATAAATTTATAAGTTTATAAATATAAATTAAATATAATAATTATAATAATATATAGTATATTATGTTATAAGTTAAGAAAGTTATTTTAAACTTTTATTTTAAGTTATTTTAAACTTTTATTTAAAAGTATTTTTAAGATTTATTTAATATATTTTTAATATATTTTTAATAATTTATAAAATTTAAAAAATTATTTTTAATAAAACTTTTAATAATTAAAACCTTTTATTATATAGAGTTAATTATTATTTTAAAAGAAAATAATTTATTTATAAAAGTAAAAATTAAATATTTTTATTAAAAGTTTATTATTTTTAAAAATACTTTTTTATTAAATATATTATAATAAATATTATAATATAATTTATTATTTTAAAATATTTTTTTATTTTAAACTTTTATATATATATAGAATATTTTATATTTATTTTTATATAAATTATATATTTTTAATTAATTTAAATTTTTATTTAATTATAAGTTTTATTAATTAATTTATAAAGTTATTTTTATATTTATTTTAATAATTTTAATTAAATCTTTTAATTATATATTTATTAAAATAATATATAATATTTATATATTTAATTTATTTATAAAATATTTAATTTTTAATTAATTTTAAAATAATATTATTATTTTTATATATTTTATTTTAAGAATATTATACTTTAATTTTAAGAAATTATTAAAATAAATTAATAAATTATATAAATAAATTCCTTTTAATAACTTTTTAAAATTATATATTTAATTTTATAATTATTTAATATAAATATTTTTATTATTGAAAATTAATTAATAGAATTAAATATTTTTTATTTTCTATAAATAAAAGAATATATAGTTTAAAGTAGATTTTCTATTATTTATATTATTACTTTAATTTAAGTTATAATAATTTATTAAATATAAAATATTTTTTAAATATAAAATTTTTATATATATTAAAGAATTTTAATAAATATTTTTATAATTTATTTAATTTTTAAAATATTTTATATTAAAGTTAAATATATATTTAATTAATTTAAATATTAAAAGTATATATTTAATTTAATTTTTAAATTAATATATAAAAAAGTTTATTTATTATTAAAAGTTTTATTTCTTTTAAAAGTTTAATTTATATTTCTTTTAAAACTCTTTTAAAGGTTTAAAGTATTAATTTTAATTTTATTTTAATATTATTAATATAATTATTTTTAAAGATATTAAATTTTTAAAGAATTTTAAAAGTATATTAATTTTAATTTATAATAATATTTTTATTTATTTTATTAATTTTAATATTATTTTTAAAAATTATTTAATTCTTTTAGAAATTAAGATTTATATCTTTAAATATTAAGAAACTTAAATTATTTATAATATTTAAATTAAACTTTAAGATTATTATATTATTTATATAATATATAAATATTATTTATAAATTTATATTTATAAATATATTTTTATTATAAAGATATATTTTAAATTTAATTTTATTAAAATATTAATTAAATATTTATATTATAATAAAAGTATTTATTTAAAATTATATATAGCTTTTAATAATAAAGTAATTTTATTTTTATATTTTTTTTTATTATATATAAGGTTAAAAGTTTAATATATCTTTTATAATTTATATTAAAATATAAAAGATATTTTTATATTATAACTTAATATATATTAGTTTTTATTAATTATTATAATTAATAGTATATTATAAATCTTTAACTTATAAATAGTTAAAAAGTTTTTAAAAATTTATTTTAAATTATTATTTATAATTATAAATAATTTATTTAACTTTATATTTAATAATTTTTTATTAATTATTTAATTAGATTTTATTATATTAGATTATTTATATATATTTTTAATATTTATTTATTAAATAATATTATTTTATCTTTAAATAATATAGTTATTTTATAAAAATTTTATTCTTTTAAATTATTCTTTTATTTATTATAAATTTAAATTATAGATTTTTTTAAAAGAATTTAATAATTCTTTTATATTAAAAAGTTTAATTATAATATTAATTATTATAATAAAAATTATTAAAATTATTTATAATAATATTTATATAAATATTTTTAGTAAAATATATCTTTATACTTTTATTATTATTTTATTTTTATAAGTATTTCTTCCTTTATAAAATTTTTTTAAATTTTATTTTTTTATGTATTTTTCGTTAATAGAATTTTTAATATTATTTTTATTTTTAAATTTATTAAATTTATTAGGAATTTTCTTTTAAAATTTATATATTCTATATTAATATAGGCTTATTAGTTTCTATATTTTAAATTTTATATATATATATTTTAGAAATATAACCTATTAAAAGACCCTTTTATTTTTATTTTAATTTAGTTTTATATTTATTATTATTATAATAAATTATAAAACTTTAAGTTTTTATATTATTAATATTAAATATTTTATTATTTTTATTTTATAAAACTTTTAAAATTTAAAAGATATATAAAGTTATATTATATAAATATATAATAATTTTAAAAGTATTTTTATAATATATATAATAAATTAAAGGTTACTATTAAACTTTAAACTTTATTTATTATAATAAAATTTAATTTTCTTATAACTTTATTAGTTTTTATATATATATAGAAATAATAAAGTAATATATATTATTTTTATTAAAGGAAGATTTAAATTTTTATTAATAAATTTAGTTTTATTATTAAAGAAGAATTTTAATAAATTTATTATTATTATTTTCTTTTTTAAAGTTTTAAAGGTTTTAAAATTTTATTTTTCTTTTAATAAATATCTATATAAATATTTACTTTTTTATTAAAAATAAAATATAATATTTATATTTATTATATATAAATATAAATAGTTTATTTATATTATTATATATTCTTTTAGAATATTATATTTTTATTATTTAAACTTTTTTATTATATTTAGTTATATATTTAATTTATAAATAAATATTATATTTAAAAGTTTATAGAGTTTTAATAGAAATTTTAATATTTATTTTATTATTTTAAGTATTTATATAAATAGAATAAAATCTATATAATTTAAATAATAATATTAATAATATATATTATTTAGTTTATTTATTTTATATATTATTAAAATTATTATTAAATATTTTAATTTTAATATAATATAAACTTTTATATTTTTATTTATAAGTTTATTAAATTTAATAAAATAAAGTTTAATTATATTTTTAATATAATTTATATAATATAATTTATAATATTATAATTAAATATATTTAAATTTAATAAAATATATAATATATATTTAATATTTTAAGTTTATAATTATTATTTAAAATAATATATTATTCTTTTAATATATTTAATATTTATTATATTTATTTTATTTTATTTAATTTTTATTTATAAATTTTAATATTTTAAATAATTTTTATTATAAAGATTAATTATATTTATTTTATTATTTAATATAAATTTTATAAATATAGTTTTTATATAATCTTTATATTTTATATTAATTATTATATTTATTATAAATATATAAAGGTATAAATAGTATTTACTTTTATTTAAAATTTAATAAATTAATATTTTTAAGGTTATTAATTATTTTATTTATATTTATTTTATTTATAAATAATTTATTATATATAATAATAATTTTTAAATTTTTAATAAATTTCTTATCCTTTAATATATTAAAAGAATTAATATTTTACCTTTTAATTTAATAATTATAAAAATAATTTATTAATTTTTTATTTTATTTTAATTTATTAAAATTTAATTTATATATATAAGTATTTTCTTTTTTTCTTTTTTAAAACTTTTAATATTTTATTAAAGTTAAAGAAATAATAATTTTCTTTAATATACCCTTTTAAGTTATAATAAAAGTACTTTATTTTTTTATTATTATTATTATTATTATTTTTATAAATAAAGTTTTTATAAAAGAGTTTTTTTAAAATTTATTTATTAAATTAATATATAAAATATTAATTATATAACTTTTAAAATCTTTTTTAAATTTTATATAATATTTTATATAAACTTTATAATTATTATTAAATAAATTTAATATTTAAGTAATAATTATTATTTAAAAGTTAATATTATTTATTTTTAAATTTTTAATTAATTATTTAATTTTATTTAAATATTTTTTATAATATTAAATTTTTTAAAAGATATTTTATAATTTTAAAATTAAATATTCTATAATAAATTTATTAAATTTATAAAGATTTTTAAAGGTATTTTAAAACTTTATAATAATATTTTTATACTTTATATATATAGAAAGTTATTTTTATATATTAAATAAATTAAAATATTAATTTTATAATTTTTATTAATTAAAGGATTTTATAAATTATTATTATTTTTAATTAAATCTTTTATAAAAAGTTATAACTTTTATACTTTAATATAAATAATTTTTATATTAAATAATTAAAAATATTATATTTATTATATAAAGTTATAAAATTTTATAAAGAATTCTTTAAATTAAAAAGACTTTTTTATTAAAGAAAAAGATTTATGTTATAAAAGTAAATTAAAAGTTTTATATAATAATATTTTAAATATATTTTTATTATATTTAATATATTTTTAACTTTTTTATAGTTTTTAAAACTTTATTTTTTTAAAAAATTAAAAATATTTTATAATTTTAATTATATTAAATATAATATAATAAAATAAAGAATTATATTTAATAATAATATTATAAATTTTAAAAATATTTTATAAAATTATAATAATAATAATTTTTATAATAATATTAAAATATTTTTAAATATTTTCTTATAAATTAAATATTAAATATAATATATATTAACTTTATTAAAATATTAAAACTAATTAAAATAATTAATTTTAAATAAATTATAAAATTTAAATATTAAAATATTATTAATAAGTATTTTAAAAGATTTAAAGTTTTATTAATTAATTAAAATAATAATATAAATATTATTTAAAAATGAAGGAAAATTTAAGATTTTAAATAATATTTTTATAAAAATTTAATTAAAGATTTATAAAAATAAAAATTTAAAAATAAGATTAAAAAGAATTTTTAATAAATATTTAAAAATTTTAATAAAAATTAATTTAAAGATTTTTAAGGAAAATTAAAAGTTATATAATAATTTATTAAAATTAAAAATTTAAATAATTAAAAATAATATAATTAAAATTTATTTATTAAAATAAATTAAATAATATACTTTATAATAAAATAAGTTTTATAATAATAAAATAATTAAAAATATTTAAAATTAATAATATTAAAAATAAATATAAATAATTTAAAATATTTATTAATTTTAATTTAAAACAAATAAAGTTTAATTAATTTAATTAAAAATAATTAAAGAAAATAATTTAATTAAATATAAACTTAATAAATTTAATATAAAATATTAATTTTTAAAATAAATAAATAAAGTTTATTATAATTTAATTAATTAAATATTAAAAATATAATTTATAAAAATAAAAGATAAATTTTTATAATTATAAGTTTATTTAAAAAAAAGAAAACTACTTTTTTATAAATAAAGATAAATATTCTAAATATCTATTAGAATATTATAGAAATTAAAAGAAATAATTATTTTTTATATAAGTTAATACTTTATATTTAAAGGATTAAAATAATAGTTATATTAGATTATAAATAGATATAGAGCTATTAATAAATAGGGTATTTTAATAAGCTTATCTAGAGACTAGAGAAGGAGGTCCCATCCAAAAGATGGGACGGGAAGACAGGAAGTTACTAACCTTTGTGATGATAGGCCAGGGATTACCCGGCCTACGCTTAAGCAGCTCATACTGGACGTGTAGGGTCTCCAGCTCTTCCTTGGTCCAGGGGCAGCGGCCCTTGCGGTGCTGCACGGCAGACAGAGGTCAGCAAGATACTGCGGAGAAGAACATAGGACGGGAGGGGGGCCTTGGGATGGACCTATAGAGTCCGGACGACGCACATTGGTATAAGGGCACCCACACCGTCTATTGTGGCGGCAAGATGAGCCGGAAGCCATAATGCTCACTCTAGACGCTTTGCTTGCTGAGGTCGAAGTCTGAGATTGTAGTTACGGGGGAACGGTCGAAATGGTCGAATACCTAGGTAAAGATTCAACCAGTCTGCGCGTGGTTGTTATTGGAAAATGGCAGAGATACGGTCTCTCCTCTCCGGGGTTTTATGTTGCGCGGCAGGGGCGATGGTTGCCGATTCCATACCGCCTACTCACTGCCAGTTGTGACTGCGACTTTATGGTCCAATATCAGTAACTGTTTCCTGTTTTCCAAACGGTAGAGAAACAGGAGACGCGTTGCCTGGGCAGTGGGATGGGCGGAGCATTCACTGGGGACGCTATCATCTAGTCACGGCCTCATGTCCCAGCTTTCAAAGACCCGGGCTTAAAATGGGGTTCGCTTTAATTCAGCAGTAGCAACAGACGAATAACAGAAGTTACTTAGATGTGCCGCAGAATCGCACAGGAATCGTAGCTTGGCCCTGATGAGACCAACAAAGTTTGAACACGGCTACGGGCAACTTCTCGTCGAGCACGAAACCAATAAGCATCACAAGTCGTAATTTCAATTGAATGGATCATCTGTCACAGAACTTGTGAGCTGCTTTCTTGAATCACTATCTTTTCTTACATGAATTAAGAGAAAAATGGACCATAGGTGCTTCAGTAGAACGTCCACTTGACGACCTCGGGAGCTTCTAGATCGTAACCCCAGGGTACTACAAGACATTCATATCGAGTATTATAGTATTAAAAACGTCATTAAGTGCATGCCAGATGCCAGAGCCCATTGTAGCCTCCTCACTCCAAAACAGCCACCCCCATCGCATTCCCATCCAGCCCAAGCGCCGCCATGTCAAGATGCTGCATCTGCACCTTGGACGCCGCATCCACGACAGTCACGGCAGCATTCGTCGTGCCGTTGCCCGGGCTCAGCGCGTAGACCATGCCGCCCGCGGCCCGCAGGTCGATCAGGCCCGGGTCCCCGTTGGCGCTGAGGTCCGTCTGCGACAGGATGGCGGCGTCCGCCAGGGACATCTCGACGAGCCCGTTGACCCCGACGTCCGTGACAAAGGCCGTGTTGGTGGCGGGGCTGATGGCCGCCCAGCACGTGGCCTTCTGGCCGTCCACGACCCCCTTCCCGACGACCTGGGCGCCCGAGGCCTGCCTGCGGCGAGCCTGCCCCTGCCCCTGCGCCTCCGCGGACCCGTTGCCTCCTCCTGCTGCTGCCTGTGCCTGCGTGCTCAGCACGGCGGCGCCGAACGAGGCGTCCGTCACGAAGAGGTCCGACGACCCCGGGATGGCCGCCGAGCCGAACAGCACCGCCGTCCCCTCGGGCGAGGACTGCTCGCCCCGCGCGGCGACGGACGCCGCCTGGGCCCCGCAGGCGGCGGTTACGGGGAACGAGGCCAGGAAGCCCGTGTTGTTCCTGGCCGGGTCGCCCTTGACCGTCGCGAACACCGTGTCCTGGTCGTCGGAGAAGAAGACCTGCGACACCGTGTTGGTGGGGCCGACGGGCGGCGTGGACTGGCCGAGGTCGAAGGCGCGGAGGGCGTCCATGGCGCCGAGCCCCTGCGCGCCGTCAAAGGCCGCGCACGAGATGCCCGCCGTGCTGCCCGTCATGCCGACGCAGGCGACGCCGTGCCTGGCCGAGGCGCCGACCGTCACGGGGAACTCGCCCGGCAGCTGGGCGGGCTGGCCCACCATGGTGAGCCTGGCCGGGTCCTGGGCGTCGATGGCGAACATGGTGAGGGTGTTGGAGCCGGCATTGACTGCGAACAGGTTCTGGAATTGTGTGTTAGATGAGGAGTCTCTCCCATGAGCCATCCCAGAGAGGAAGACACAAACAAAGAGAGTGGTTTGACTTACGTTGCCCGCCACAGTCAGGGCAGACTGGCTGAACAGCGCATCCGGGTTCGAGGGCGCGTTCGTCGAGCCGTCGATGCCAGCTGCGCCCGCACCACCTGTGCTCGTTGACGAGCCGCCGGCCTCGTCGAGTGTCCCGTCCTGGGCGATTGGCACGGCAACCACGGCGTTGTCTGCCTGGTTGCTCAGCACGTAGACGGCCTTTCCGTTGGCGACTTTCGCAGCGCCGGCGTTGGAACCGCAGGACCTCCTGGCAGGCCGCGCTGAGACCTGTATGGCTGAGGGCGCCAGCGCGATCAGAGAAACGAGGGCGGAGATGTACATGTTGGGGGTAGTCTATCCAGTAGAGTACTATAAGTAACAATGAGTAAGAATGAGTGTGGGATGGAAGGGTGATGCTGATTGGAAGCCGAACTCGAATGACCTGCAATGAGGATAAATGTAGATCGTGGGAAGGAGCAAGACATTGTTCGTCTTTATAGAATGTGAATCTCGTTTGTTGCTTGGGATGGCATCTATCCACCTTGAAATCCCTCGAGCGTGCCTGCGACGAGGCCGCGGCGGATCCTCCCGAGTCCTTGTTGTTCCATCATCCACATTTCCCTTTGCGGACATGAGAGGCCTTCGCGATGGGCCATGCCCAGCACTGCTGTGACCTAATCCCCTGGGAGAAATAAACATCGTGGGCTGAGGAGGAAATCTAGACGCTAGGCTCCCGAGGGTTGACAACACCAAGCCTGCCTCGAATCACTGCGAGGTGTCACAGAAGCTTACATACAGCCCGCCAGAGGGCCCAGGATGATCAGGATTTCCTAATCGGGGTGGCGTCTTGGCACGTCTTCAAGGCATCAAGGATCAGGGGGGTTTCAGGCTAACCCCCCCAAGGCCCGACATTGACCGCAAGGACGATGAGTTGATCATGGAGGGGTAGTTGTTGCTCCCATTGGCAGATCTCCCCGAAACGTTGACTTTGATGATCATACACGGCTTTTGTAGCCCTGATTTGATGCTTTGTCGTGTTAGTAGGCGGCCACTTAAGCAGAGGCTAAGCTGAAAGTGAACTTATCGCTCTCAGGTCTCTGCTTCACACCACACCACATACTGCTGTGGTCACATGGCCTCCTTGTGGCCGGCCTCTAGTGTCCTATTCCAACACTGCCGTCTTGCCGTCTTGCCGTCTTACGGTCTTGCGCCGTCTCTTGTCATCCCTCTCTCTCGATCTTTTCCGCGAGTTGCGCCAAACCAGCCAGCCCAAGCGTTGCTCCAGCCATCCACAACCTCGAAAGCACAGACTTTATTGCTATCAACCTTTCACGAGACCGGGCGAACGAGCGCTAGCGAGATGACAAATAATAACATCTTCCGCATGTTCAACCCGCAGGGTATGTGACGCAAGCTTGCTTGCTTGCTTACCCAACTGCCGCGATCCAACCTGCTGACACTTGTCGCCGACTTGCCAGCTCCCAAGGTGGACCGCGTGGAGAAGCGCCGCGCCCAGGTCAGGCAGGCCCAGCAGTAAGAGTAGTTCTCCATAACAAGCGACTTTTTCCCTCAACAAGTCTCGCTGACGCATGTTCCCACAAGGACCTACCGTGAGCGCAAGGAGGCGTACACAAAGGCCCTCGAGACCGAGCTCGCCAGGAGCAAGGCGCGCGAGGCCGAGCTGCTGCGCGAGAACGAGCGGCTCCGCGACACCGTGCGCAAGCTGTCTGGGAGGCTTGAGCAGCTCGGCGGTGGTGGCAGCGGGCTGGGTGGTGATGATGTTGGTGGTGGTGATGCCGCCGAGCCAGCCCCCAGGGAGGCCGTGACGAGGACCATGGCCGACAACATGTCCAGCATGGCGCCTCCTCTCGCCCGGCTGGGCGACATCGACCCCGTCGGCCTGGGCGTGGACTTTGTGCTTGCGTGAGTCCTTGTCTGCTTGGCCAACGTCCTACCTACCCACCTCTACCACGCTGACCACATCATCACAACAGCCTCGAGAAGCCCTGCCTCGAACACCTGCACGGCGACCCGGACAGGCCGGACGAGCCCTCGGGCCACGCGCTCACCCTCTCGGCCCAGGCGTGCGCCGTGTCGTGCCCGGAGGTCACCACCTCCCCCGTGGCGCGGGAGGCCATCGACCCGCACGCGATGCCCGCCGCCATGCTCGAGAACCTGCTGGCCCTCTCGGCGGACGTGTTGCCCCCCGCCGGCGGCAGTGGCGGCGGCGGCGGGGATGACGACCGCATCACGCCCGTGCAGGCGTGGAACCTCATCCGGTCGCAGCCCCACTTTGGCGGCTTCGAGCTCGAGGGGCTGCGGACGCTGGCGGTGGTCCTGAGGGACGTGGTCAAGTGTCACGGGTACGTTGGCCATGCACTGTGCTGTGCTCGAGTGCTGGGAGGAAATGCGTGGCGTTGAATCTCTACTGACAGTCGTTATTATGGTGGTGCTAGGTTCGGCGCCGTGCTGCCGCAGTCTGTGTTCAAGCGGCTGCTCTTCGAGTTCTTGCTCAAGGGGAGGCCGCTCTGAAAGGGCACGGGGCCACTCTCGGTTCTCCGACTGTGAGGCCCGGCTCGGCGATGGCTCTGCCATCGCACTGATTGGAAGCTGGAGCTGCCTGTGTCCGAATTTACGGTGAGTTGACCGCGATGAGAAGAACCCCCTGGGAAGAGAGCAACCAAACTCATGACATGATGCAGTCAGTCTCTGCTGTTGACGCATGCGAGCTGCCCACTTCCACTTCATGAAAGCCAACGGCTCCCAAAAGGCTCCGCGAACAAGGCATCGCACCACAAGTGCCGGCAACCCCATGATGGCGACCGCCGTGGGGACTGGAAGCGTCGAAAGCGGGCCTCTTGAACCCCGCTGCCTCGGAGGCAAACCCGTCCGCGATATCGCCGCCTGGGCGTTGGAAGCTAGTAAGACCGCCCCCCCCTGGCCTCCAAGCACCGCGCGCCAGCAAGAGACGGCTCGGACGCTGCTCGCAGCACGAAGGTGGCCGAGGTCGTCTCTCCCGGAGGGCGGACGGTCTGTTTCGAATACACTCGCCGCCCGCTTTACGGCCGAGGATATCCGACGCCTTCCACTCAAGAAGGACAAAAAGCCCATTTCTGCAACGAAAGGCCTCAGTCTGCGTCGAGAACCGGCCGCGTCACAGATGCCTCTTTGCTGTTCGTTTCTGGGGGGCCAAGGTCCAGACGCCCGGATCCATCCGACGGCAGCCACAATCGGCTCGCACCATGTGCCCGTTCGTTATGGTAGGAGTGCCGGCACCAGGGGAGAATAGGAGGGAGTGACAGACGTAGTAGGGGGGGGGGGGGGAGTCTCGTAGATGTGGCTGCTGGGGGGAGGTCGCGGTATAAGAATTTGATGCTAGCATTGCTGAAAAGGGGAGGAATGTTGCTTGAGGAGTACACAGTCTGTAGCGAGGATTGGTGCTCAAGTGATTTCGTTTCTATCCCCGGGATCTGGGGTATGACGACCCTTTGCGAATGGTGGTGTGCTTGCATATCGACCACTGATTCAATCATGTTGGTAAGAGACAGTCTTGAGCATTTACCACTGTATGAAGGCGCCGCACACGTTTTGTATGTTTGGGGATTCGAAACGAAACCACCTCGTAAAAGACAGTTTGAGAGATGAATACCTATCTAGGTAGATCGAAACAAGGATCCACAGTGATACCAGAGTATGATCTCTCCTGTTCCTTTCCTGTACAGGGTCCGTGACATCAATACTACTTCGGTACGATTAACAAGGCCGGGCACATGCAAGGGGGCCGCAGTGTGGAAAACAAGACGCCCATCACCACACCCAGCAGATTTTGAACAATATTAACATTTTTATCTAACTTTTTTAAAAATATTTTTACGGATTTGACCCGACCCGGGACGACCGATCGGCCTACTACTACTCCAACCGATCATCGCAGATGAGCCTCACATCCCCCCTCGCATCGCCCTTCCACACGGCGCCGGCGGCATTACACCCCGCGACCGCCCGCCTCAGGTCCCCGACCATGCCGCCGGGCCCGCTCGCGTACACGGTCGTCGGCCCGCGGCCCACGGCCCCGACGAACCGCCGCACGATGTCGTCGAGGTGCGGCCGCCGCACCGAAGGGATCTCGGTGTTGTCGGGGTGGTGGTGCGTGACATCATTACAATCGCAGCCCCCGCCGCCCGTCGCGGAGGACGCCGAGGAGGACCCGGCCGCCTTTTCGTTGGTGTTGTTGTTGTTGTTGTTGGCACCCCGCTGGTGCTGGTGCTCCTTCTCCCGCGTCACGTAGACGTCGACGTCCAGGCCGTGCGAGCACCCCGCCTCCCGGATGTGGTCGAGCTCCTCGGCGACCCAGGCCGCGTCGGCGTCGCGGCGCACCGCCCACACCAGGGCGGCCTTGCGGCCCGGCGCGGGCCTCTCGCGCACCAGGCCCAGCAGCACGGGGAGGACAAAGGTGATGCCCGTGCCGCCGGCCACGCAGAGGACGTTGGTCTCGGGCGTCACGCCGGCGACCATGTCGACGCCGTAGGGGCCCTGCATGACGACGGAGGTGGTCGGCTGGTCTGTTTTTGATGTTGATGAGGACGATGCTGCTGCGGCCTTCCTGGCCGCGATCTCGGCGAGCTTCCTGGTCTCGCCGCCCTTGGCGCGGATCACGTACGAGTGCCTCACCGCGCCGGTGGCGCCGCCGGGCACGGGCAGGCTGAGCGGCGTCATCGGGTGGGACTGCCAGACCGAGGACTCGGTGAAGCAGAGGTAGAAGTGCTGGCCCACCCGCCACGGCCTCTGGGCGTGGTCGAAGTCGAGCCGGACCACGTCGCCGCCCTCGGCGTCCTCGAAGCGCGTGATCCTCGCCGCCGCCGACCCGAAGCCCCAGCTGTTCCGCGCGGGGACCCAGCGGTAGTGCAGCAAGCCCGTGCGGACGGCGCGGCCGACGCGGTCGAGGAACCACAGCAGGATGCCCGGGATGAGGAAGCACTGCAGCTGCGCCCAGTGGCCGATGATGGCGCCGATGTACACCACGGCCAGGACGTAGTGGGCCTTGCGGAAGAACTCGTAGCCCGTCAGGCGGATGCCCCAGGGCGTGGCCAGCGCCCACAGCAGCACCAGCAGCGCCAGCGCCGCGAACCCCCACTGGATGTACGCCTGGCCGGCGAACTCGTCCCACACGGCCGGCTGCGGCTGGTACAGGCGCGCCTCGACGACGACCCAGGCGATGGTGTGCACGGTGGACTGCACCAGGATCACGTAGCCGACCCAGCGGTGCAGGAACATGAAGCTCTGGTAGGGGATGCCCGTGATTGCGCTGAGCAGCGACTCGCGGCTGGCCAGCAGGACCGAGAGCGGCGTCAGCGCGTACGCCAGCACGCCGATGCGGTCCGAGAAGGGCCCCAGCGTCGTGCGCGTGTTGCTGAGGCCCGGCGACGACTTGACCGGCGTCACCCACGTCTGGTACGTCATGCCGACGAAGGAGAAGACGGTGAGGTAGCCCGCGAGGACCAGCAGGATCAGCACCTGCAGCCGCGTGACGTGGCCGAGGACGCGCGGCGCAAGGTCCGGGAGGAGGTACGCCCGGCGGAGGCTCGACACGGTCCGTCTTATCCTTTCGATGCCGCCGATGGTCCTGGGCCCTTGCGACTCGGCCTTGCCGGCTGAGGCGATGAGGGCCTCGTCTGCGGTTGGTGACGGGAAGATGCGGCGGCCGACGGCCCAGAGCAGGAATATCCCGGCGAGGGCGGCCCAGAAGATGCCCGAGTAGAGCATGGACAGGTCGTGGGCGCCGTAGACGAGGTCGAGGTAGGCGCAGGAGCCGGCGTCGTTCTTGCAGGGGATTATGCGGTCGGCATAGCCCCAGTGAGGCTCGAGTGTTGAGCCCTCGGTGTCGGAGAAGTTCTGGACATGCCTGGCGGCGATTAACCTTGTGGAGGCGTCCATCCTGTATGTGAGTCTGTATCCGCCCCGTCCGTTTAGCCTCTGGAGGCGTCCCTGGCCCGGTGAACGAGCGAAGGAGGTCTAGCTGTGCCCACGGTTCCTGTGATGAGAAACACTCCTGTTTGGTGTGGACAGATGCAGATGTCAATAGACTGTTTCGGCGGGATCTGCAAATGGTGAAGGACACAGACACTGCATGACACAGAAAGAAAGGATTAGGAATATGGTTATAACGTTATGGGGGCAAACATTATTACCTATTCGAAACGGACCCCCCTTTCCCGACAATTCGGATCCAGATATGGCTCCACTGGCACCGGCCGCCCAGGCGCCGCCAATGTTTGGACAGATCCCAAAAGGTGAGCACGTTTCCACGTCAAGGTCCTCTAGGGGTCTGGGCAAGCTGGCAAGGAGCAGGAAATCCGGAGCTGGGAGGTGGGAGCTGGGAGGTGGGAGCTGGGAGCTGGTTCCTACTGTAGTACTCCGTACTAACCGCGGACCGTCGAGCCCCACCGGTGGGAGCACCTCTGCAGCAGCGGCCGAGGCGTGTCTGAGCAAGTTTCCCGAGCTCCAGAGCTCCAGCAGGGCTCGTGCGCGACTCGTCACAGCGCGGAGACGGAGATGGGAGAAGAATCGGTCATCATCTGAGCAGATTTGTCCAACATGCTCCAGCTTGGCCCTTCTTGTGTGCTCATCAGGGTGCATGAGGAGCCGAAAGGGACCAGCTTGGCCTACCTGGCCCGGGCTTCTCTTCCATAGTATTGCTGCTTGGAAGATGCAGTACATTCGGATGGAAACAACAGACAGTCAGACAGTTCGTCCGCCTGGTAGGGCCACGATATGCGGCCGGGGCCAGGAGGGGAGAATCCCGGGCGCCACTCCCGAGGCCGGGATGAAGGAGCAGAGAAGGAGCAGTCCGTGAAACGTGAGCAAATCCCAGGTGGCATTGGGCAAGATTCCAGAGTGAGCGGGTGGGTCCAGCGTGAGGTGCACTGAGGCTTAAGTTGAGCAAGTTTCTCGTCACGGCACCTCCCGCCCCCGGCCTGTGGCCCTGCCATTGGTGAGAAATGTCCTAGCCGGCCCCCACCCTTGCCCGTTTCGAGTCGCTGTGGGAATTCCCCACGTCCACCTTTGTTTAGCTCAGGGATGGCCGCGGCCGTGGTCCAGCCTGCTGCCAGCTTGGGACCTTGGGTTGAGCACGTTTACGGCTTGGCATCAGCCATTCTGCTCACCGGGTCGGGGGGAGGGGGAGGTCGTTGGCGGTGGCAACTTGGTCTGAAGTGCCGCCATTTTCACTCCGTCGTCGCGAGTATTCATCCCGGGTACTATTTCCTGAAAAATATCCTCAATCCTCAGTAGTCGTCGTCCTGGCCGCAGTGTAAACTTGCTCAATAATCACTCCATCGGCGCACAGCTCACATCTCACAGCTCACAAGGGTCCAGCGTGCCATAAACTGAGGGGCCTCTTTCTTGGTGAGGGACTCGGCAATAAAGACAGCCCACACGGACGACACACATACAACCTTCACTCGGATCAATTGATCGGGGGCCACAACGTCCAACTTCTGTCACACAAGAGGATCCCGGGCGAGCTCATCCTCCGTCACCCAAGCAGCAGTTCACTATATGATCTGACCCGCGATCCGCCGTGCCGGCAGTCCACTTCATCTATCCAGATTCACCCGTTTACCCATCAGGTCAAACCCGTCCGTTTCGAGACGACCGCACCGCACCGCCAGAGCCGATCACCACAGTACCTGCAGGTCCAAGCTGCCGCTCACTGCAGGACCGGCACTCTCGCCCACGGAACCGAACCCGCTGCCCAGGTCACGGTGTTGATCTTTTTGCCTGCCATCCAGCAGAGGCCACTCAAAAAAACAACCACACACAAGATGGATCACATGAGCATGTCCGGCAGCACGACGTGTAACTCGTCGGTAAGCCAGCCACCCCCCCCCCGCCCCCCCGGCCCTCATTTGTGGTACGGCAATATGGACCTGCATCAAACACACACACCTCAACGCCGAATCCAAAAACCACCCACCCTATCAACTCATGACTAACAGCCTCCCACAGATGCTCTGGAACTGGTACACAATAGACTCGTGCTTCCTCGCCGAGTCGTGGCACGTCGGCAGCAACGGCGCCTTCGCCGCCTCGTGCATCGGCACCATCCTGCTCGTCATCATCCTCGAGGCGCTCCGCCGCGCAGGCAAGGAGTACGACGACTGGATCCTGCGCGGGTTCCAGGCGCGCGCGGCGCAGGCCAGGCTCGGGCTGTCTTCTCCCCCTCCCCCTCCGCAGCCGGCCGCCTCGTCGTCGTCGTCGTCGTCCGCGAGCGGGAACAACCCCAAGGCCGCCGCCACGGCGAGGGTGACGCCCGCCTCGGCGGCGTGGAGACGGCTCGGTGCTGGTGGTGCTGGTGGTGCTGGTGGTGCTGGTGCTGGTGGCGGCAGGGCGGTCGTGTTCCGCGCGAGCCCGCTGCAGCAGGTGCTCCGGGCCGTGATCCACGCCGCGGCGCTGGGGCTGGCGTACATTGTCATGCTGCTGGTCATGTCGTACAACGGGTACATCATCATCTGCGTCATCATCGGCGGCGGGCTGGGCAAGTTCTTCTGCGACTGGATGACGCGGCAGTACATCATCGACGGCGACGGGCTGGGCGAGGAGGAGGACGGCGCCGCGGGCATCGAGGAGCCGAGCGTGTGCTGCAGCTGAGGGGGGGGGGCACCTCTTTGTTTGTCTTCTTTTTTGGTCACTGCGGCAGTGTGATGGAGGAGACTGATGAGCGATTGATTGATTGATTATTCCTTGACAGGCTAATGTTTAAAAATGATGATACACCTCACAACTTCCAACAGGAAGACAAGCTGCGGCTGTCCCCTGGCCTCCCCCCTTTGTTCCGCCGCCCGTGTCATATCTTCGCATGCTTGCCCGCAAGGCCGACCTTCTGCATCTGCTCGGCCAGCGACACGCTGCTGTGGAAATACCTCACGGCCTTGGGCCCGCCGGGGGCGGCGGGCGCCGCCCGCGCCGCGTGCTCGTCCTGCTCGCGGTTCCAGTCCACCAGCTCCTGGCACATGCCCTCGAGCGTCGTCAGCACGCCGCGGTAGCCCAGCCCCCCCTCGCCCACGGCCCGTCCGGCGTCGGCGTTGTCCGCCACCAGGTGCGTGCAGATGGAGAACAGCCCCGGCTGCAGGTGCTTGATGTCGCCCCTCAGCGGCGGGACGAGCCTCGCCAGGTATCCGGGCAGCCTGTGCGGCAGGAGGGAGTAGGACTCGACCAGGTACGAGAGCAGCACGAAGGGGACCGGGGGCAGCGGGACGAGCCTGAACGGGGTCGCCGCCAGCTTGGACAGCAGGTTGTACAGGTCGCCGTAGAAGATGGGCGGGTTGGGGTCTGTGATGCAGTACGGGCGGCCTGCCTGGGGCGACGAGTGGGAGCCCGCCTCGGCGAGGATGGACTCGAGCTGCAGGTGGGCCAGGGCGCAGTTGATGCCGTGGACGAAGCTCTGGACCACGTGGGACGTCCAGCTGTGGGTGTGTTGTGCTGTCAGCCCAGAGCTCGCGACTCCTAACAAGATGGCCATATATATATATATATATAGCCACATATATATAGCCACATATATATAGCCACGTATATACAGCCACGTATATACAGCCATATATATGTAGCCACAAACACCCGAGCGAGAGCAGACACAACAACAACTCACCTCGGCGTGACCTGGCTGTTCAGCGGGCCCCCGACGGTATTGTCAGTCGGGTGGCCGTACACCCCGTTCGCAGGCCGGACGCACCCCGTCCTCAGCCCCCTGCAGTTGGCACCGCACACGATCCTCTCCGCCCGCGCCTTGGACGCCGGGTAGTTTCCAAAGAACTCGCCGTGGCGCCTCAGCGGCCGGAAGAAGTCGGACTCCTCCAGCACCTGGCAGTAGCCCCGCGGGAACGCGCCCCACCGCTCCCACGGCCACGGCGCCACCCACAGCCCCACGGGCCGGATGCTGATGGACGCGCTCGACGTGCTGACGAGGACGTCGGCGCCCGCGCGCCGCGCCGCCGCCAGCACGTTCTCCGTCCCGCCCACGTTGACGGCGTCGCAGAACCCGCCCACCAGCCGCGACCGCGCCGACGGGACGATGACGGCCGCGGTGTGGAACACGGTCAGGGGCAGCCTCGCCACGGAGTCGTCGTCACCACCGCCCCAGGGCCGGAGGAAGGCGGCGTCGGTCGACTCCCGCGACGAGATGTCCGCCCTGCAGAATCCCACCCCGCCGAAGAGCGGGTGCTCCAGCATGTCGCGCCTGTGCGGCGCGTGGAAGTCGACGATGCGGATCGTGTGGGGCGGCTGCCCGCGCTCCAGCAGCTGCAGCACGATGTACCCGCCGACCAGGCCAGAGCCGCCCGTCACGAGGTAGCGCCTGCTGAGCCTCGGCGGGAGCTGGGCCGCGTACGAGGCGGTGGTGATTGGGTCCTGGCGCAGGCGCTCGTAGGTCTTTTTGATTTGCTCGTCTGTCCACCTGTCCCCGGCTAGGTTCTTCACCTCGCCTGGGGTGGTGCTGAGGAGGCGGTTGAGGTTGATGAGGTACGCCAGCGCCAGGAGCAGGAGGGTGCCGGCGGCGGCTGCGAGGAGGCCTGGCATTGTGTGTATGGGGTTGGCCATGGATTATTATGCTTCGATTTAAACAGGGTACAGTAGCATCTGAGTGCTATGATTTTTATCCTTCATGTCGATGGTTTTCAGATGACTTCGAAAAATAGTTGGGCAGTCATCCGTCGTGGAGTCCCGCACGGGTGTTTCGCTTTGGAGATTCCGGAGAAATGGAGGGTTGCAGTCGTCCTGTCGTCAACGTCAGCCCATCCTGCCCATCCCAACTGCGGATAGAGTTGGCTCGTCCCAGGGCCAGGGGCTCGGATCCCGCGGCTTCTTCTCGATTATGCGCCTCGCCGCACTTCCCACTTCATCTGGGCGCTTATAGGGATCACAATCGTGGTCCAGGGCTGAAGAGTGGCGCATCCAGTTCTCCAGCAGGCATCTCAAAAAGCAAGCGTACTGTGGAGTCTTGGGCCCAGGGTTCATTTTGGTATACCAGGTACATATGCAGGCGACATTTGCGGGGAGCATGCAGTGTAGTCTGATGGTTGGAGAGCTGGCTGTCGGCAATGTAATCCGTACGGGGGAGCGTATGTCCTCGACCACGAGAGAACCGGTGGGGCCGGCTCCGACTCGGTGCGGGGCTCTCTCGGCTCCGGGCGCCGCGCCGCGCCGTTGTAGCTTGTGTCTTGGGCGGTCCGATGTAAGTCATCCTCGCAAAAAGGTTTTCTCATAATCTTCGTGAGGAAATTTGCTGTCTTGGAGCCCAGATATCATCGCACAAGAATAATTTGGCTCAGTGTAACTTTGCGTCTTGGGTATGAACAAGAGGCGAGATGACTGCAACGATTTGGTGGAGACAGACTAAACGAAACAACCGCACCACCTGTACAGGTTGCAGCTCGGAAATGCCAGCATTGATTCGAGGATCTCGTTGGCATTGCATACGCCTCTACTGCCCTGTGCGTCATCTATGGCCCGGAAGGAAGTGGCAGCGTGCAGATTTAATAGGTATGCCATAACATCCACGTCATGTCAACGTCCACGGGGCGAATCTGCAGGCAAGTCGGCCATTCAGCAATGTCAAGACCCATCACTCCCTTTGCATTTTCCTCTCACCATAGCTACCTAGATAGGTACTTACCGAATCACTCCCCGTCTTCGTCAACTACAAGACCATTGAAATCTACACCCCTCTCCGGTTTTGAATCGATCCATCCCAATCAACTCCGTCCGTCTGGTTACGAACTAGACGACAAACAATACCAAATCAGACCCACAGCAACATAAGTCCAGAAAAAGATGTCTTGCACACGTGCCCTGCTACCCAAATCTCTGGCCACGCGCCCCAGCCTCTCCGCCACACACAAAGCCCAGGCCCACGCCGCACGACCTGCAGCCCTCATCCAAAGCCGCCACTACGCCGCCAAGGGCAGGGACAAGAAGGACGACCTCGGCGGCCCAGGCGGGCAGGAGCCCGCTGACCCCGAGGCCCGCGCCCAGCAGAACGCGTAAGAAGCGCCCCGTGTTTTCCTCCCTTGAGCTACTATTCCCACGTGCTTGCGGGTGAGGTTGGCCACCGGCATGCTGATCAGCGACAACCTGCAGGAGCATGCGCAACAAGACGATGCTGGGCATGGCCCTCGCCCTGGGCATCCCGCTCTTCTACATGGTCGGGCGGCCGGGCAGGATCGCCGAGAGGGAGCTCGACACCAACTCCTCCGCGGGCACCCTGGCCGGGAATAACCCGGGGGAGAAGCTGGGCGAGGTGCAGGGCGGCATGCCGGGTGGCCGACAGGAGCAGCGGAATCAGTGGCAGGGCAGTCCGGAGCAGGGCGCGAAGGCTACTAGGTAGAGAGGTGGGTGCGTCTTTTTTGGCGGCGACGACCAGTTGACGGAGACTGGTGGGTCGGGAGAACCGGATTATAATTGAGTCGGCATTGACGGAATCAGTGATCAGTTAGTTCTCTAACTGGGGTGGACGCAGGATGAACCGAATAGAAGGATCAGACTCGAGCGACTGTCTATCGGCATGTCTTTCAACGCAAGCCCGTTTGTCTTATACTTTGGAATGACTTGTCTTGACCACTTCCAAAAGCTTCAAGCCTCGAGGTGGTGTTCCTCGGATTGATGTCATATCCATGCGCATTCCCTAGTACTGACAGCGTTTTGAAGAGTGGCAAACCAGCTATCCCCAGATTTGAGAGCCAGGAGAAGTGCCTATGACCAAGAATTTGATTTGAGTATGATGTGCGCAGGATTGAATTCCTTAGACCATGCCAACAGATAGCTTCTGCATGGATATCCATAAAGTGATTGCTTTCGTCTTCAAGTCTGCCTTCTCAAGTCGTGTTTGTTGGATCTAGCATTGACGATTTGCATGCTGGTATGATTTTGAAACATGATTGAGTACATACCAGTTGACCTGCATGCTTAACACTACTTGATAAGCAAGGAGTATGACGAATTTTCAAGCTCCTATATCTCGGCGTGTGCCACTTGGCTTATTTGAAAGCCGTTGTGAAATTATCTAACCCCGTCCAGATACACTTTGTCTTCTCCGAGCACGAGCATTTCGGCGGAGTGATATGCCCCCGTATAAAATCACCGTATGGCTATTCTATATTAGTCCCGCCGGTCTCTATGACAAAATAGCGCATATGTATAGCCCTGGCAGTATGCCGTGGAGCAATCCTTGCCGGCCCACGCAGTGAGTTCAAGAGGCAGCCAACCACGGGAGGGGAGTCGGTAGTCTCAGGGCAAGCATCCAGCGCGCATAATTACAATCGCCAGGGCACCTAGAGTTCTCAGCACGTTCATCCTGTAATTCAGGGAACTTGGGGATACCTAGGTAGGATATATGCGCCACGCCTGGTTGGAGCTCACGAGGGGGCCGTCGGGACAACGCAATTCGCTACACCCGTCTGCACAGAGATACTTCAATTTACTATTTCATCTATAGGTAACTTTGGCTGAGCCGGTCCAGCCTCTTCTCGCACTGGTGGTCAAACCTCTTTTGCAACCAAAAGCCTAAGTGCCGTCCTTGGGACTGTGTAGTGATCAAAAATCGGTCAAGGGGTCTGTCATTTGATAAAATCGACTTATAGTCTCGCTGCATCACTGCTTTGCCGGCTTTCTAATCAGCGGCGACGTCGGGGGCCTCCTAGCATTGTCTGTGCGGCACGAGGCTGAGTCCACGCACCCATAGACTTATTGCATTCTCTCTGCATTGTTATTGGTATTTTTTCCTTAAAAAAACAAGAAACACTGTGTCTTGACAGGTTACCTTTTACTGTATGTATGAACATTCCACATACGAGGCTACCAGATAAAATTGATTCAGAATCATGTTATCAAAGAACCTTGGAACTCAAAGTGAGCAGCAGCCGATGAAGAAATAATTCTCGAGGGCGATACCGTCGCGGTGGCTCTTAAGAATGGCTATCTTGGCCTTAAAGCCACCCCGTTCTAGCTATTATATAATTTGAGAAGGTTGAATACGGCATTGATTAGCCGAGCACGTTGAGTACAACATTTGAACTACACATAGTATGCTATGGGACGACTGGGCACCTCAGAGAAGCTGGCCCGGGTCGTTAAATCAAGTGCATGGATGATATCTGAGACAGACGAATCGAGCCCTCCGAAACCGAGGCAGCCTTTGCACCTCAGCATGGCGTCGCTGAATTCGGCCACACAGTGCATAAAATACCCAGAATCTCATAAGAATCCTCCTTTTGTACTCAACCTAGCTCTCAATGGTTTGTTTCCAGATTTGTGTCATGAGGAGTGTGGGTCAAGGTTCCCGAGACTGTAGGGGATAACTGAAAACTTGAGAAGCTGCTTGCCGCAGGTGGTGGGTGTTACGGGTCGCAGGGATGAATGAGCTGAAGCCTATTTTGAAAAGGAAGAAATTCTGGTGTTACGCAGGAATCAAAAGTGAGCCGTGGAGATAGCAGCAGCCTGCAGCAAAGGTCGAAGCCCGAGGTTGGGTGGGCAGCTGCGCACGGTGTGAGCGAGCTAAGGTGGCACGGTCCATGCATGCGTGGTCAGCTAGGATACCGCCAGTGCTGGGTGAGAGCTCTGTGGGAACTGGCGGCCCAGGACGGTGGGACAACCACACCCTTGCACCTTCCAGACCGCAACCAACATAAAACCACCACTCCTCATCGCTCTGAAGTCGAGGCCCTACGAAGGTACGTACCGTTTCTTTACTACGGTTACTGATTCCTGCAAATCATACTAGTGGAGGCAGCATGTCTCTAGAGCTGAATGTGCTATCTCTGTCAATCACGGGCGGGCGTGTGAGACGGCCAGCTCGTCCTCTCACACAAAATTTCTTCATGCCGACCTGATCTACCATCCAACGCACATCTTCACCGCCCTACACCAGACTCACAAAGTAGAACAGCAACAACTTTAGCACTTTGGCATGTTCTTGTTGACTAAATTGTCGGTTCCTGAGGCCTTCTCAACAAAGCATGTCAGCTAACCGTTGGCCAGCCGCAAGGCCCTACCTATAGCACGGATTGTGGTCAAGCATCCTCGGTTCTGCCCACCAAGCTTATCAAGCGCTCCTCGCAAGCTTTCTTAGCGGCCCTGAGGTGCTGCGTGGCCCCATCATGGGTGACCGTGATGACTGGGAGGACATCGACGATGATGTCGAAATGGAGCTGCAGCCAGACGAGTCGGAGCCAGGCGAGGACGACTCGCAGAGCTCCGTCTCCGAGGACGACGACGTACCGATGACCGTCCAACCAGGGCTCGTCCGCAACATCCTGCAGACCATCGCCGACAGTGTACGTCCAAGCGGGCATGAGTCCCAGGCGGAGGACGTGGAGATGAACCCAAACTGCTCCTGGGACCGCCTCCCCTACGAGCTCTCCCACAAGATCCTGCAGACCCTCGCCGAGGATGAGGCGAGGTCACACCTGATGGCCGAGTACGCCGTCGTCTGCAAGGCGTGGCAGGCTGAGATCGAGGAGGTCAACTTCCGCACCCTCGCCGTGAAGCAGTCCGACCTGCAACAGCTCGACGAGTACGTGACCGGCCGCCGCAGGGCCCTGCTCAGGCACCTGTGGCTCCAGGTCGAGCTGTCCGAGTACTCGCGGAGGTCGCGCCTGGTCCCGGAGAACGAGCAGGACCAGGAGGAGAACAACGTCAAGTACTCCATGGCCCTCGCCGACCTCTTCAAGCTGCTCGAGTCGTGGAACACCCCCGAGTTCTGGTCGTCCAGGAACGGCCGCGGCATCAACCTCGAGCTCAGTGCCTTCTCCCCAAGGTGAGCTCCCTTGCCCGGGCCTTGCCCTCCGGCTACTATGCCTTGTTACTCTAGTCACTTTTTCACATGCTGACACGAATGGTCGAGTGAAGCGACAAGAGAAACTTGTTTGGCGAGGCGGGATTGGACGCGGACGGGAACTCGAGATACTTTGACTCGCTACTGGACTTTATGCTCCTGGTGGTCCCTGACCCCCAAGGCATTCACGGCCTGCACATGGTCGAGGTGGTCACTAGCTTCTCTATACTCCGGCGAAACTTCCGCAATGTCTCGGCTACGTCACTCACACCAATCTTGCGGTCGCTCCCCCGCCTGCAGGAGGTGCGCTTCGAGCCGTGGCAGCAGGTGGACCAGGCAGCCCAAGAAGACGTTGACAGCGGTAAGCAAGCAAGCCTGGGCCCATCCATACTGGTTGGCCACTACGCCATGTCCGCCCGCTGTGGTCAGTCACAAACATCCGCTAACAACATAACCCCCTAATCACCCAGAACTCGCCGGCCAGCTCCCCTTCTGGCCAACCACGCTGAAGCGGATCAGCATCTTCGAGCACTTTGGCGCCTTCGACCAGAACGACCTGTGGGACACCAGGATCAGGTTCCCCTTCCTCGCCCACGGCCTCCGGCGCCTCAGCACCCACCTCCAGGACCTGAGCGTCTCGTTCGCGGTGGACGCCAAGGACTTCTTCCAGCCCTGGGCGGCGGCGGCGTGCGCCCCCGCCCCAACCGCGGGCCCGTCCCAGCCGTGCCGGTGGGAGCACCTCCGGTGGCTGACGCTGACGTCGCGGATGATCGCCGAGGTGGCGTTCCCGGACGAGATCAACAGCCTCCTCCGGGCGGCAGGCCTAGCGGCGGCGTCGTCGATGCCGGCGCTGCAGGCGATGGAGCTGTACAACGCGACGCGGTGGGACGCGGGCGTGTTCCGGTTCCTGGTGGTGGACAACACGGCCGTGGTCAGCTGGACGAGCACGTGGGAGTTCCGGGTGGCGGCGGCCGTGCGGAGGGTGTGGCGGGAGGTGGCGCTGGCACGCACGCGGCGCGAGCCGGTGGTCTTTGACGAGGTGCGCATGGCGGACTACAAGGGCGGGCCCGAGGGGTTCGTCCACTCGGAGCTCGCCACGCGCGAGCTGGTGCTGCACCCGAGCTCATCGGGGGACATGATGGGGGACAGGCCGTTCCCGGAGCCGGTACTGCGGCTGCCGGCCATCTAGTTGGGTTTAATTTTGTGTTTCTTCTTTGGCTTGGGACGGTGTGTCTGTGGCAGCAGCGGCGGTAGCAGCTGTGGGCATGAGGCGCCAAACGGTCATGATCCGGGCATTCCTAGAAGAAGAAGCTCAATTCTGATCGAGCCTCGGGGTGCCAGTCGAGGCAATCAAGGTCGCATCGTGCCTCCCACATGCTACCCACCGTATCCTGGGCCTCCTTCCCGTCGTGAAGCTTCTTCATCAGAACCTTCCCACGAGCCATCCATCTACACTATCTGTCTCGGGCTCGGAACTTTGCGGGCTGGTGGGGATCGATCAGAACTATAAAGGATGGATGGGCCATCTGCCTCGGACTCGGAAGTTTGCGGGCTCGTGGAGGGGGCCAAGGCCCACGGCTGCGACTCTGGAGCAGTGGGCTAGGTAACTAACTACCTACCCAGGTAGCAGTTCATCCCGTGAGTGAGTGAACGGTCGGTCGAGCTGCTCTGACTGACTGGCATGCTACTGTGGCAGGTGCGGGCGTGCGTAAAACCGTAGCGACGCAAAGTAGCAGAGTAGAGCAGGACAAAGCAGGATTTTGGGATGCAGCACCGAACACGAGACCCGTGAGGCATATACCGTACAGCACGATGATGATGAGACGTCGGCAGTCCTAGCAGTGTGTGATGATACTGTTATTCACGCAGGTGTCTGTCCCGCAGGCCCAAGAGGGTCCGTGAAAGGCCTACTAGCATCTGTGGCTGGTGCGATATCTGGTTCGCCCCTGCGTTTGGCCCCCCTCCCCACCAGCCACGGATGCTATATTCCTGGTACGTGTGTGCAGCTCTTGGGTGTTTGATGTTCATGTATGTCCTGTATATCATCCGCGGGGCGAGCTGGCCTGGGCTGCCTGGGCTGCCTATGTATGTATATATGCCGATCTTATCGCGTCCAGACACGTCTAATCGGCGAGGCAAGACCGTCCGTCGGGGGCACTACAGTACAGGCCTGTCGGATCGGTTGCCCGTTTGTGTTGTTGTTTTTTTTTTCTCTTCTCTTCAAAAGCCCCTCCCCCTGCCAGCCGAGGGACACGGACCACCTTTTTCAGGGGTACCCCTTTTTCCCCCTTCTCGAAGGTCCCGGGGAAGACGGACTGGATGTAACCCTTTCCCAGGGTCGGGGCGAATCCCTGGGCGGGTACACGTTCGCTTTGGGCGGTGCAAAGCGAAATGGGCTGGTCATGCTGTTGAGATGTGCGATTTCTGGTAGCGTGTGTTGATGAGGCTATTCCGAGCCAGAGGGGGAGGCCCGAGATGGGAGGTGCGAAGTACATACCGCAGTACCAAGCCAAGCATAAAGTACATACGTACCTCGTACCGTGTAAGGTTTTACAGCAGATGTCAGATGCAGGGTCTTGATGCCGTCATTCCTGTCTGGCCGGGCTTCCCCATAGATACCTAGGTCAGTACGTGCAGTACTTTAGCAGGCTGACTGACAGACCGACCAAAAATTAGGTTGCAACCGTCGTGTCAGTGGCCGTAGTCGGAAACGTTTGCAACGGGCTGCATTATTAGGGCATGGGGCATAGCAGAAGTTAATCCTGCCCATGGCGCCTGGCCTAGCTTATTATTATTAGCTGCATGCTGGCTGGTGTCCTGTGGCTTGTGCTTGTTGCGTGTTGTGGTCCGGGCGCAGGTACCTAGGTGAAGTACTCGGTAGGCAGGTCTGGACTGGACTGCTTGGCTGGATCCTCTTTCCCGTTCAGTCCGCCCTGTTTCCCACGGCCATTTGAGCCAATCTCTTGTCGGCGGCCGGATTCATCTCAGCAATCAATGCGTATGCGTGAGTGCGTCAGTTGTTGGCCACACGGTCAGCCAGATTGATCCCAGAACCCAGGAAAGACGCAAAGACGGGCCAAGAGGAGTTGAATCATCATCACCGGCTGCCATTTGCTCGTAAATGCCGTTGGGTGCAGTGCAACAGGCAGCGCAGATCAAAGATCAGAGCACGGATCAGCTTCAACCTGGGCCAGGTCGAAACCTGGACAAGACATTTATCTTTCTTCTCTCGTTCCTGGCAGCATCACGAGAGGCATTTGAGACAGACGGGTTTACAGACGGGCAAGACGGGTTAACAGACGAAAGGGCTGATGAGAGACTGTTCCTCGCTTTTCCCTTTCGCTTTGACTGGCTGCTTGTCGTGTCGTCTCGATTCTCGAAACAATCAACCTCAGCCTCTCAGCAGCCATCCAACCGATCCGGTCCGATCAGCACTGCAGCCCGCCAGCCCGTCCACTGTCACGGGTCCGTCACTTCAGTTCACACGGCTCGCCTGCTGCATGTTGCTTGTTGCTTGTTGCTTGTTGCTTGGGCTTTGCTAGAGCAGCGTTGCAGTCGCAATTCGACGAGATCCGGATCAATCGCCCCCATTGATTTCGCCCAATCTAACCAATCTCCCCTCCAGCCAACTGCCACCCACACCACACCCTCGTCTATCTCGTCTCACCTTGTCCGCCTGCTTCCTTCCCATTTGTGACCACAGCCGCCGTTTTCCTCTCCCCCCTCTGGTCTTCTAGTCTTGTTCTGGCCGTCTCCTGTCTCGTCACTTCTCACCCAATCCACCACCTCTCCACCTCCCCCCCTCCCCACCCACATACATAGCACGACAGGATAGCGGGTGCCGCTGCGCTGTACATGCATTGCAGTGCAGTGCCAGAGACAAGTCGACAGAGCACCACCCTAGCCCCTAGCACGCGGGGAAGGCCGACCGCCCTCCGCCCTCCGCCCGCCTACCGCTTTCACCGTTACTCCGTGCACCTCTCACCACTGACCTGGCATTAGCAGCCTGGCACCTGGCACCTGGCAACCCTGGGCGGTGGGAACTGGCTCCAGAACCAGCCGATGCGAGTCTACCTTTGCTCGGTGCGGGCCCCAGCAACAGATTGATTGGCCCAAAACCTGCAATAATATCGGCAGTACCGACCACTTTCACCTCTTCCCACACCACCCTGCCCTGCCCTGCCCTGCCCTGCCGCCAACCAAGTCCCGATCTTCACGCCTTGCTGCTGGACTGAAGCTTCGACACTGCTGCACTCCGGTTTTCCCATCTGACGACACCTCCGTCCGACAACGTCGCTCATTCGGCCATCCCACACCACTGCCGCTGTGTCAATTGACGTCTGCGCCTGTTCTCCTTGCTGGCCCAACGGCCGCACAAAGGGGTCCAGTCTCAATTGTCTCAGCGGCACGAGGAGCCGATCTGACGGGCCCATTCTCCTCGCCCCCTACCGCCGCCGCCGCCCTGCCTAATTTCCACGTGCAGAGGCCCCCAAGCCCAAGTCACCCGCGAAAACATGTCCGCTTTGTCCGCCGTCCAGACGGCCACCACCCTGACTCCCCCCAGCAGCTCTCATGGCGATGGCAATGGTAATGGCAATGGCTTCTCGTGGGATTTCGCATCTGCCAAACATGACGTGAGTTTTCCTCTCCCTCTTCACCCCTCCCCTCCCCCGTGGCGTCCCGAGATCTGCACCTGATCTGTCGGTGAGGGGTTCCTTCACACACACACACTGACCTGGTCCACCAATGCACCCAGAACCGTCCCTACCACGACAAGACCGCCCTAAAGACCGATGCAACAAACGGAAACTACAGGTCACATCACCTCCAGAGGGACGACAATGGCTCGGCGTTGGATCCGGACTCGTCATCTAAGGCCTCGAGTGGTGTAGATCGGGTGAACGGACCAGGTCCAGTCTCGCGGTCCTACAGCAACGACGACGAAGACGACTCCGACGACAGGCCCGACAATGTGGTCGACGTGCCCTTCGACGAGGAATACCGGCGCAGTGGTCGCACGCAGACGAGGAGCAAGGACCATCTGGACATGTCCGATGAGGACTCGAAATGGATTCACAGGGATCTACTGGCCAAGATTGAGAGCCAGGAGCTGCAAGCTGCCGGCATCACCCTGCCTCAATCGCGATCTCGGAGCAGGCCAAGGCGGGACAGGAGCCACAGCAGCGTGAGGAAACCCATGCAGGACAGTTCGTCGAGGTCTAGGAAAAACTCGTCGCACGCCATGGAGCCCAAGACGCCCGACACGTCCGAGGCAATCAACGGGTGGGACTCGAGGCCGATTGAGGAGGCCGAGGCTGAGGGCGACGCACCTGCCAAACATACCGGAGGCTCGCGCATACCCCTGCCCAAGAAGAGCCCGCTGCCTATGCCCACAACACACCTGGAGAGGGACAGGTTGATGAAGAGGGAAAACAGCCCCGAGGATCTGGAGAAGAAGATCGAGATGCCCAAGGCTCGCTCAAGATCGAACAGCACCACCTTGAAGAACCTTGAGCCATCGCCGACTTTCAAGGCAACCCCCGCGAAACGGGCTGCGACCACGGACCTATCTCCAAAGAAGCAGACCCCCGCCGCTGCCCGAAAGGGCTCGGCACCGTCCAAGTCGATACCTCCGGAGGCGCGAGGCAAGGTCAAGCCGAAGCCCAAGAATGCGGCCAACAACGGACGACCCTCGACTAGATCAGGCGAGCGTGAGCTGTCTGGAGGAGGATCCAAGCCGATGGAGGGTGACCCGCCATGGTTGGTGTCGGCGTACAAGCCGGACCCTCGGCTCCCGCCAGACCAACAGCTCCTGCCCACCGTCGCTCGGAGATTGCAACAGGAGAAGTGGGAGCAGGAGGGCAAATTCGGAAGTGTCTATGACAAGGATTTCAGGCCCCTTACGGGAGAGGGCTTCCTGTCGCCTCCGGAGAACATGCCATCCTCGTCTTCTGATGACATCGTAAAGCAGGAGGTGGAGAAGCCGGCCGAGGATTGGCCCTTGAAGTCGCCAGACGTTCCGAAGAGCCCTGCATCGCCTGGCCGATCCAGTTCCTACTCCACCATGCCCAAGATCCAGGATAAGCCGCCTGCCAGCCCACTAGCGAGCCCGCAGCAGCCCCAGCGAGTCGAGTCTCCGGAGCCAATGCAGATCACGAGGGTACCGGACATCCCGGAGAAAGAGCCGGAGCAGGCAGGCAAGAAGGAGAAGGGTGGCTGTGGCTGCTGTATCGTGATGTAATACGTGTTCACTTGCGGCGGAAGCATTCCGACTCGGAGTTTTGGTCCGAGGTCTGAGCCGACACGACATGGACCACAACCTTGGCGAAGCTGCAGCTCAGCCTTGTGAGCATCTCACACCGACCTCGATAAGACCGAAACCCACTCCCCGACTCCTCCACCATACCACCCACACCAACCGCAATTTTCCAATATCAGACCCATATAGAGCAACGAGACTGCTCAGTCAATGACGATATAACGATTTCCTTTTACACTATTTTCGACACCGCAAAGATTGTCTATACCTCTTCAGTCGACCCCAGGCCGTCATACACACCCGGAAAGCGATTCCTTTTGTAGCCTTTTTAATTTTACTACTGCCACCTTTCCAGGACTCTTGCTTGGGCCTAACCTTCGGTCCTGTGTCTTTGCACTTTCCCTTTCTTGTCTTATTCTTTCTCTGTGCGTGGGAGTTTCGGCCTTTTGGGAACGAGTTGCTTTTCTTTTTCTTTTTCTGGTTTACAGCTGCATGTTATGGGCGGTTCTGTGTTTTTGCTTTGACTACATTTCTTCCTGGCATTGCATCTCCTCCAAACAGCGACTTGTGCCTTGTTGGTGCCTGGCCGGACTACCATACAACCCCAAGACACTCCAACCCGGGAAGCAAACTTTATGAGAAGAGGCGGCTGCTACCACGACGTCTGCCACGGCGGCCCTATTTCCCCTCATCACTGGAGAGCTCCCGGCCCGCACAGGGTCGCTTCGATACGTCATAAGCCACGAGCAAGGTCGAATCGGATGCGTCCCGTACAATATTCGATAAAGGTCACACACACAAACACACAAGCCAAGTTCAGGATGGAGGCGGTCACCAGAAAGAAATTGGGCAACTTGTTTTGTCCGGGAAGTGGGGTCTGTTGTGCGCTCTGATACCCTCTGTATTTTCGTCGCCCCCACCGGTACCGATCGATGCAAAGATTCGTGGGAGAATAACTGGGGAGGGGAAAACCACACCACACACGCACGCACGCGCACGCACGCCGAATCACACACATAGCCGCCACACACACACACACACACACACACACACACACACACACACATACACACACGCGCGAATACAAAACGCAAATTCACCACCAAACCACAAACTCTTACGATGCAGGAATAGGGTTAGAGCTGGAGTGACGGGGCACAGGTTGCGGCTCGGTGTGGGGATTGACTCTCGGGGACGAGACGAGCGCGAGGTTTTTTCTTTGCTCAAAATCAGGGGAAAACCGTGAAGCTGCTCTACTGCTATTACCACGCAAAAGATACAGCAGCAGGCTGCGAGCAGCAGTGGGTGTGGTTTGCGCAGAGGATGGAGGGGGCCGGGGGCTCGGGGCCGGGTGGCAGTAAGCGGCGGACACGGCAGGAAAACAAAATTAAACATTATTCTCGAAACCATCGTGATTCACTTGCCGTGCCACGTGTTGTCTTGGGTACCTACTCACCGTCCATCATCCAACCTTTATTTAGAGTTTTTTTTTGCGCCTCCCCCCCCCCCCCTTTTTCGTTATCCGGTATCCGTTATCGGTTACCAGTTACCAAGAGAAATAGGCGGTGGGGTATGGGGTGCGCTTTGATCTCTCCCTCTTACGCCGGGCCCAAGTCACAACCCAGATGTGTGCGTCTGAATCCCCTCGGCTGGGTTCGGGGGAGGGGGGGGGCGCTGTGGCCGCGTGGGGTGGTGCCAGTGCTGCTGGTGGTGGTTCATCCAAGAGGCCATGGTTGAGGTTGCGATTCGATGCGATTCGATGTGTTGGCACATGCCCGACGCAGGGGCGGCGGACGGACGTGTACTCTCTGCCTGGGTTGACCTCGACCTAGCGTAGGTACGGGCCCGGCCTCTCGGGTTCAACGTCAGGCTTGATTGGGATTTTTCGGGGTTTTGTTGTTTTTAAGGTTTGTTGTTTGTCACGTCACGTCGCGTTCTTGTCATGGTCCGAGGTCACTTCTGGTCTTGCCCGGCGGATACGTGTAGGTACTTGGGTAGGTAGGTATTTTGAATGGAAGTATTGGCGAGTTGTCTTTTTGTTGGTGGGGGTGGGTTGAGTTTCTGTTTGCATGCGTGTGCGTGTGTGTGTGTGTGAAAGGTACAACAGTCTGGTTGTCAGTGAGGTGCACACATTACCACCACTTTCGGCGAATCCTCGCCGGAGCAATGAATGCATACCAAAATGAACATACAGCCCATAATTCTCCCGAAGAGCCCGACACGCGGAGATCCTATCATCTCCCTCTCCCTCCCTCTGATCGCACGGCTGGTGATGATGCGGACCAGGCGCCTCGGATACCGAGCGCGAACATCCCCCATCCCTCGTCCGCCCCCTGCGTCATCCCGCCTCGTCGACGGGATGAACTGGCCAACAGCCCTCTACCACTGCAGTGCAGGCCAGACGAGACGGTGAAACGGACAAGGTCCCGTGTGGAAACATTGCAGAGCTCCTGCAGCACCCTTGATCAGGCCACCCACCGGCCAGGCTTGAACACATACCCTTGACCCCCCCCTGGGCCCCTGGGGTTCGGGCCGCTCGGCGCAGGGGAATGACTCGCAGGGCGACGAAAATCTCCGAGGTGTGGCGTGCGTGCGTGTGCCATGGATGAGGGAGGGGGATCATGACCTCTTGCCTCGTCGGAACGGGTTGATGGGCTATGGTTGGATCGGCCTCGGGTGTGGGATCGGTGCCGATGCAGGTGTATAGTGTAACTTCATGGCATCAATGGCACGGCCGCCTGCGGGAATGAGGCGGGGATCGAGAACACGCCTGGGCAGTTACTTGGACGAGGTCAGCTGGAATTGATGTTCACACTATCACAGTGGTTTGTTGTATGCGTGTGAGCCCAGTAACAATATCACTGGCAGGTATTCTGAGCAGGGAAGGGTGAGGTGTAAAGTGTGGGGCGCGGGTGATGTGGTGACGGGGATGGTGTCATGCCTGACTTGACTTGACTTGACGGCTTGTCAGAAAAAGGGTAAAAGACAACCTGTCACTTAGTGATTTAGTAATCAGTCATGGCCTTGCAACCTTGTACTTCTTGAACCGGGGTTGGTCAAGCCACTTTCATGAATGCTCATGGTCTGTGTTCGAAGACCTCTGGTGCGAGTTGTAATTAATCTTATTTCCCGCGCCATGTGTATTGACTTGCGTCCCAACACATTTCCATCGTCGGGTATGGCCGATGACGCGTTTTTGCTGCCGGAACATGACATATGTAGTGGAATATAGGCATGTCTTCAAGGGTGCCTTTCCTTTGGGAATTGTCCCGCCCCAGACTTCCGTGCCCTGCTATCGTAATTCAAGTACTCGCTGTCTAACATCCTTCATGCGGTGAAGATTTCTCTCCTGTATTAATTGTTTGTAAATATGCATTGTCTAACCCTTGCCTCTCTACTCAAGAGCGAGGCTCGATAGGTGACTTATAAGGCTAAGACCACATGCCACTTATCGAATTATACCACTGTTATCCACACTAAATGTTCCTTAAATGCTGGGCCTCGAGCGTTTACTACTCTATGAAAGCGCCATGTATGTCTTGAGACGGATAAAGATTAGAAGCGAAAACAATTAGTAGATGACTGTGAAGTAGAAAGAAAAACAATTCCATCCGTCCATACAACATCTCCGTAGTCTTGGCCGCCCAGATACATATGAATACATACCTATCTCAGGCATGCGGTGGTTGCCTACAGAGTGAGGAGACTTTTTCACCCTCTGATCGTAAACCGTCTTTTGACCAGTAACATGTGATGAAAAATTGAAAGAGTAAAATAGAAAGTAAGAATACACAGTCCTGGTTTGATAAGATCCAGCCCCTCTTCATTAAAACCAGCTTCCACGGCATCAAACATAGAGTTATAAGTTGAAAGAACAGGCATACAGAATATGTATGATTGTATTGTTGTGGAAATCTAGTCTTAATACATAAATGATATAGCACCAAAAATCACTGCATTGGCAATCTCATCCCGCGCCGCTCGGCTCACATGCAAACAGGAAACGCCAAACATTCATTATAAAAATAAGTCATCAATACTCTCACCCACCTGCCATCTAGAGCCAATGAAGCGCAAATATAATACTGATGTAGGAAAAGACTGTCGTATAAATCTATAAGGGTGGTGTTTTGTCCGCAGAATCTCCTGGAGGTCCCATCAATCAGCATGGACTCAGTTGGATCCCCGTGAGCGATACTCACCTCTTTCCAGCTTCCGTGCCCATGAATCTACGGAGTTCTCCAATGCCGAGCAGCTTGATAAAAAGCCCCAGTTCCTGCAACAGTTGTACAACGCGCTGTGTTGAGCATACTCAGGGCTGTCTGTGGCGGAACCATCTCTCAGCAGTATTGTATCGAATCCTTGGGCATGCGCATCCTGAAGGGTGGCCATGACACACTGGTCCGTGTTTACACCCGCAAACAAGAGTGTTCGAATACCCTTATTTCTCAGAAATTCAACACACTCGCCGGTCTTGTCAGACATTCCTGAGTTTTTGTTCTTGTGGAATAGGACATCTGGCCGAGAACTCCTTCTGCCCACTTCGAACGCGTCTGCTAGAGGGCCATGCAATGCGGCGTTCCAGGAGTCCCTCATGAGAGCCCGACCCGCATCCAGTTCGGTACCGTCGTCAAGTATGATTGTGTTGAGAGGGTCACCTGGCCCGGGTGTGTCTCTTTTGCTCTCGCCGCATTGCACCACTTTGGAGCCCAGGGAGAGAGAAAGCCCGTAGTCGGCCGAGTCACTGTTAGCCCTCCATGTAAACACACGCAGCATAGCCGAGGATAGCTCCTGTAGATCATCCTCCGTGAGGCCCCAGTTCAGCCACACCACTTGTATCCCGGCCTTTCGTGCTGCAGGCAGGCCAACATGCAACAGGGTGTCTTCAACCTGCTTCATGGACGGAGGCACATCTCTGCCTAGAGCATGGTGCATCGAGAAGTTCTGCATGTCGATGATTACCAAAGCGGTTTTGTCCGGATCGAGAACCACGTTGCTGATCTCGCATTCGAGGTGAAGCCGACGACCTGGCCATGTAGAGTCCCGGTTTGCACGATGCGTCAAGTCCCATTCGCCGTCGGGCAGCCAGATCCAAAAGTTGCTTGGAGGGCCAACGATCACTCCTCCCTCTTCAGAATCAGATTTTCTTGTTCCGTTTTCCATTGGAAGCTAACACAGCAGCCGATGCTTCGATTTGTAATTGTGGTATTTATTAGACAAATAATACGCTGAGCAGACAAGCCTCACGTTTGCTAGGAAACAGGTTCGCAAAAACACATTTCTAGCAACCGGTAGCAATCGCTCTTTTAGTAGGAATTCTTTCCCATGCTCTGCAGCTGTGAGTCCCGTTGACTGAGCATGGTCGTAATTCCGGGCCAAAAAAGACGCCCTGCGGGTGGCGCTGCATCATCACGGGTCTATTTTCCAAGGTTCACACTCCAGCTTGTCCCGTGTCAAGTCATCCGCGCAATGAAAAAGGCCTTGCGCCCGGGTTTGCAATAGCAACGCCTAAAAGAAAGTGAGAAACCTTCGGCGCCTATCTTCATCTGACATAGCCACGAAGTTCCGCACTTCCATTTCCTTGATCTCAACATACCGGGAGTGAATCGGCCCCATCCACTGTTTCACATCATCATCCCGCGACAGAGCGTCTAGCGATTCCTGGAGACAAGAGGGCATCCTCCTTGAGATTCCAAAACCGCGCAGGTCTTCGGGGTTTAGACTTGCGGGGAACCTTCTCAAGTCTTTGAATGCCAGGTCTAGTTGCCTGTCAACGCCACCACCACCCGCTGCGAGGGCAACGGCCAGGAAGATGTACAGATTGGCAGTGGCGTCAGCAAAACGTAATTCCCAGTGGTTTGGTTCGATCCCACGTACAGCAAGGTCACGGTTCTCGGTGCCCCAACCTACCCACAGCCCTGCACCGTCCTTGACAATTCTGGCATAACTGTCAAAGCTGGCCAGGCCTAGAGCGCATAACTGCGGCACCTTCTGCAACACACCGGCAAGGAAGCTCTCAGGCCTTCTTGGAGGGTTTAGGGATATGTGGACGTGGCAGCCATTCTGGGACCCATTCTGGGCCGCGTCCAGCGTAGGCCGCGGGGCCAGAGTGGCCTTGAGGCCGCGGCGCAGGGCCAGTGCCCGGATGGTCTCGTGCAGGCACATGAGCGCGTCGACGCTTGCCACGGGGCTCAGTGGGGACAGCGCAATTTCGAAGTGTCCCACGCCTTCGGTATGATAGTTGTAGACATTAATACCAGCCATCTCTACTGCCTCCACAATCTCCTCTAGGAGGTCAAGATTGGTGCCCCGGAGGCCGGACATGGTTGAGTCCCCTGTCACGGGGTCTAGGGGCTGAGACGGAGGGTTCAGGGTGTCATCGAGCAGGACAAACTCAGCTTCAAACCCCACCAGGAGTCTTGTTGAGAGCCGCTCCTCGACCTCCCCCACCGTCCTGCACAGCAACGTCCTGGGGCACGCCCCGAATGGCTCTGCGGCGTCCCTCTGGTACATGAAACACATGACACTGCAATGCTTCGGGGTGCAACCACAGAGCCGAAGTGATGTCCAGTCAGGCCGTAGCTCCCACGCTTCTGGTTTGACGGGGAACGACTTGGGTGCCGTGGATATGGGTATGATCATGCAATTCTGTGCTACTGTGAAGGAGCCCATCACCCCGGCGGCCAGTTGCATGGCGACGCGTGTTGTGACCATCTGCGCATGTTGGACGCCGGAAAAGTCCAGCCATTGGAGACGAAGATATCTGACGGATGGATGGCTGTGGAGGAAAGAGACGAGCAAATCATGCTGTGGCCGAGGGTCGACGGCGTCGTTGTTCATCATGACACAGAGATTGTGATATAGAGCCTTGGATCTCATAAGGCACAAGAAGGAGGAGTGGCACAGCCCGTAAGATGACCTCTTTTTGAATCGTCGATCGGGGGCAGTTGGGTGTGCAGTGGTAGCACCACCAACGCTGCGAGGGTGTGTGGCTCTGAGTCTGCCCAGGTTTGCCTCTGCGTACATGTGAAAGGGTGTGACGCATGAATATCGAATTGGAGTCGCTGCACCGACCGGTGAGTAGACCCCTGTCACCTGGACCACACCAAATGCTGTGCTACAAACGGAAGTCTTCCAGCTTGTTGGTACGCACTTTGCGTGCATACCATTGAAAGAAGCACGCAAATTTGAAACCGACCAAGTCATTTAGCTGGTCTACTATAGATGATTTACTTCAAGCTTTATAGGTGATATTAATAGTGCATTTCTTTTGGAGCATTTCAAGTAGCATGCCAGGAGACTCCAAAAAGTTAACGGCGTGGGGGCACATTTTGCCGGTCTCAGACAGCGTGCCACCTAACAACCCCCTACCTGGACGCCTGTACACCTGTGCAATTTTCTTCCTACCTAAGTACCGAGGTGGGAAGGTAGGGGTGCAGGTTGCTTCTTGAAGGGGCTGTCTACTTAAGTAGGTACCTAGGTACCTAGGTAATTTTGCCCTGCTTGGACCAACCCTTCGCAGGTAGGCACCACCTTCGTCAGTGGCAGAACTTCCCTTGTAACTCCGTACCTCCCCCCAGCTCCTTTGTTTCGATCCAGTCGCTACGCCAACCGGTTACTGACACCCATACACTCTAAACCACCTCCCTTGATGCAACGCCATCTTTCCAGATTCCTTCTTCTGTTGTTCGCAATCTGCATCAGAATCCATCTCCACAGGTGCGCACCTGTTGGCAATGACTACGTTCGTCAATGGCTGACGGATGTGCAAACAGAATGGATCAATCCGCCTCCCGTCCGTTTGACCTGCGGGTCGTCACGGCCTCAGACCTCCAGGGACTTCTTCAGGATGGCAAAACCACGAGCGTCGAGCTGGTCGAGCTGCATTTGAAGCAAATCGAGACCTACAACGGATACCTCCACGCCGTCATCAGCACAGCACCAAAGGCATCCCTGCTCAAAGCGGCTGAGAAGCTCGACCAGGAGCGAAAGGAAGGAAAGGTTCGGTCGCCAATCCATGGAATTCCAGTGCTTGTCAAGGTATGGTTGATTTGAATCCACATTTCCGTCCATTGAACCACGAATTGACCAAATCCTGCCCAGGACAATATTGCGACGAGTCCTTCTTTGGGAATGGATACCACCGCAGGCTCTTTTGCCTTGAAAGGCTCTCGCCCGAGGAAGAGTGCTGACCTCATCGAGAAGGTAGTACCAGAATGCAATCACCCGTGTGACTTTGAAGGCTGATCACACTTCTCAGTTGACCGAAGCTGGCGCAATCATCTTGGGCAAAGCCAATCTCTCAGTAAGCCCACCTGTCGGCACAGCCCGATCAAGCAGAGCTGGACCCCCCTGCTGACATGGCGTTGATAGGAGCTTTCTTACTTCAAGTGCGTGAGATTAGTGCCACCAAACACCAAATTGCATGCTAAGGGAAAATAGGGCCGAAGACCAAATCTGCGGCTGGTCAGCCGTTGGGGGCCAGAGCCAGTCTGCCTACGTCCGAGGCGGCTTGCAGGAGGACGACACGCCTGGTGGTCACAGTGTACGAAACCATGTGTAAAAAGAGGTTTCGACTTGGCTGACTCACAGTTCCGCAGAATCCCGGAGGCTCCTCCTCAGGCCCTGCCATTGCAGTCAGTGCCGGCTTGGCTCCAGTGTCGATCGGCACCGAAACGGCGGCATCATTGATTTCACCGGCCTCGAAGGCGGGCCTCTACACAATCAAGCCAACAATTGGTCTGATATCTCAACAGGGAATCGTCCCGATATCATCTCTCGCGGATTCGGCTGGCCCAATGACAAAGAGCGTTTTAGACCAGGCCAATCTCCTGGATATCCTCGTTGACCCAACCAAGACATCAATTCCCCAGGGTGGCTACAAGACGGCCTTGACGGGCTCGTGGGCCGATTTGAAGATTGGAGTTCTTGACCCGGCTGATTGGGGCACTTCAGACTCATGGACCAAGCCAGACCCAGGCGCAACCAAACAAATGGTGAGGAAATTCACTTGACGGACTCTTGAAACACCGCCGGCCTGACCAGAAAGTAGAACGAAGCCTTCGAGAATGCGTACGCTACCATTGAATCCCAAGCGAAAGCATTCCACAAATTCGTTCCACTGCCACTCCCGAGTGTCTTGAAGATCGACGGAGAGCTTGCGCACAGGAAGCTTTTCAGTGAGTTTACAATCTGACGTCTCAAATGCCCGTGGGAGCTGCCGTGTGACTGACGTTTCTCTCAGCTGGTTATTTCAAGAGGGACTTCGAGGCCTATCTCGCTGATCTGGACTTTTCACCGGTCAAATCCCTCGAGGAACTGGTGCAGTACAATCGAGAACATGCGGACCAGGAACTTCCACCACGTTCGTACATATCCGAAAGAAATTATGCAGCTTCTTTGCTGACGGAGACTCTAGGCTATCCTTCGCAGGATCGCCTCGAGGGGGCCCTGGCAGACAAGTCTACCCCCGAGGAGCTCGATGCGGCACTCAAACACGCCAGACAAGTCACGAGAAACGAGGGAATCGACAAGATCATGAAGGAGTACGACATTGATGCCATTATTGGACCGGCGGAGAGTGCCATGCCTACAATTGCTTGCGCAAGCGGTGAGAGCACATCTTCGCTTTTGAATGACGGGGTAAGAAGACGTACTGATCATCTGCAATAATTTTTATAGGCTACCCGATTGCCGCAATGCCGTTGGGTTATCTCAAGTTCAACGGACGGCCCTTCGGAATGGCTGCCATTGCCGCAGGACACCAAGAGGCAACACTTGTCAAAGTACAGAGCGCGTGGGAGGCTACGTTTCCCTCTAGGCAACCGCCCCCTTATGAGGTCTTTGGAGGCAAAGGTCCTTCAGCTTGGTCCTCGGTTGCGCAATGGCTGTTTCGGAAGGCGGTGCGGTAAGCTCGGGAATGACGACCACTTCGTCTCACAGGATCTGTCGTAAGCGTCATGGACTTGCGACGTGTTTCGCAAAGGACAACGGCAGCCTTTTGCGGAGTCTCACTTGGTCTACAAAAAAGGCACCAGTGACGTCCTTGTGTTAGGGAAGACTTGTCTGACTTCCCAAGGGCTGGCTTTGAAGAGTTCCCCGCAATGGGTTAGGGCTTTGAAATTAGAGCGCGTAGCTTACATTCGACAGAGATCAGGCTCTGAATGATCATAATTCTACTCTAGGTCTCACGGAGTCTCCCACTGTGTGCCACCGAGTAGTTTACGGTGGTGGTCAGAGGGTTCGATGTAGAGGTGGGATCCATTCTGGCCCCAGCCTGCAGCTGAGTTCTTCGCTTCGTGTTAATAGCACTGCAGCAGTACTACGGTAACATGCTCATGCACAAGCTCCCGGGATTGGCGGACCTCGGGAAGAACTTATTGAATAGACGCACGCCCCCACCCACTCATGTCTCACCGATACGCCACTTGCCCATCTTTTCGTTGGCCCTGATGTCAGCTAGGTGTGCGCCGCCTTTGCATATCTGGCCATGCCCCCCAGATACTGGTCATTTTCCTAAATGTGTGGAACCGTTGGCGGTCCTTTTACCCGCAGTACCGTGAGCTTTACCGACCCGCCTCAACCCTGAAGTCGTATCGGAAAATATGGGCTCAAAAGACTGGCGAGAGGACATGTGAGCTGAACTTCCATTGTGATATAGATAGCTAATCTGAAACATCTCCAGGGAGAACATTTTCTCCAAACAATGGGAAGGCTCGGTGAGCAGCTGCCGAGAAAACTTGGAACCGGATGATTTGCGTCAAGTCAGCTTCTACGGTACATGGAACGATGTGGAGAGGCAGATTTGCACCCACCAGGAATTCGCCATGCTGGCACCCGGGTTGCTTCATCTCAAAGCCTTTCTCGAGTTCCTCGCTGATAAGTTCGAGCCGAATCTTGACACCTCGGTCGTCTGGGGAATGATTGTGCTCATCAACAAGGTAGTCCTCACCCCAGTCAAACCCCATGTCAGTGGAGGCCGTTCCTGAGTCCTCGACTGACGAGACCCCAGCTGGCACGAGAAGAGGAGGGGAACATCCCCCGGATTCCACGGATGCTGCGAGATCTCTGTCATAGACTGGAGGTTCTCAATAATTACGGCAGTCGACAATTATCAGGACTTGCTTCTCAAATGAAAGAGGCTGCCCTGGAGATTGCGGTCTCATTATTGTCTTTCTTCTCACACATTGTGAAATTCATGCGCAGTGACTTCAATTTCGCATATTCCGTTTCTGGTCAGTGATCGACCTCACAGCGCTGCGCTGAGAATGGGACGCTGAGTTTAACCTTCCTAGGACCGGGGCCGAATGACGAGCTCGCATGGCGCCCGCTGGAAAAGCAATACAGCTCGATCCTGAACGAAATTGATGATGCTGTATCCCGAATCAAGGACCTGTCAGAGCTCACGACCAGGACAGAGCGACACAAATCAGAGTCCGGGTCCGTATTCAACATGCAACCGGCAATTCAGTCACTTCCAACACAGACCGTCTCTTTACCATTGCCTATAGATGAAACTGCCAAGCTTCCATGCATCATTCACCCACCGAGATTGAATCGATTCTTTGATCGAACAGATGTCGTCCTCCAAATTACTGAATACTTCAGCAAAGTCGACTGGGAGTCATCTTTCCGATCCTTTGCTCTATACGGCCTCGGAGGAGTTGGTAAGAGCTCCATAGCTTTGAGATACGCTGAGACACTAGTTCAGAGGGGAGAATTGGACGCCTTGTTCTGGGTCCATAGTGAGAAGCCCGTGACCATTAGCCAAAGCTTCACTGATATTGCCTTGCGGCTCAGACTACCGGATGCTCGCATCAAGGACCATGATGAAAATCGTGCTATAGTACTAAGCTGGCTTCAGCAAACTAGTAAGTGATGTTGACACTTTGATTGCACCGCTAAGTTTCCTGACCTCTGGTTCAGAGTGTCGGTGGCTCATAGTGTACGACAACGCGGAGTCCATAGACCTTCTGTTGGACTATTGGCCAGCGGCGAGCCGTGGTCAGGCTCTAATAACCACTCGCAACCGGTCCTTTGCGTTCCACCCCGCAGACAGCGGGCTGGAGATTAGCTCCTGGGATGCTGAGACAGGATCCAGATTCCTTGCTCACCTCCTTTCGACAGACGTGGGCACTCAATTGACTACGCAGGAGTCCAAGTCCGCCCATGACCTCTCAGAAAAGCTATCTGGGCATGCTCTAGCTATTTCTACCATGGCTGGACTCATCCACCGACGCGCTTGGTCGATTAGTGAGTTTTTGAGTTTGTATAACAAACAGCCAGAGAAGATGCACGGTATTTCCGGAAACAGTTCGATCAATGCCCTCTGGGACATGTCTTTCCAATCACTTGATGAAAAGAGCTCGGCCATTCTGGGCGTCCTGTGCTTCCTCTCTCCTGATAATATTCCACAATCTCTATTTGAGATCCAATCCGCGGAGGTTCTTCCGTCAGAACTGAGCTTCTGTGCCGACCAATTCGCGTATGCTCCCGAAGTTGAAAAGCAAGAGTCTGTGGCCTGGTTTTGACTGACATATCTGATTAAGGTTCTGGGAGACAATTGAAAACCTGCTCACACTTGCACTGATAAAGAGGGACAAGGAGACGAGAACATTGTCTGTACACAGACTGGTACAGATGTCTTTCAACTTCTTCCTCACACCCGAACAGCGGCAAACTTGTTTCAACAATGCCACCATACTAGTGGCAAACGCGTTCCCCCGGCGTGACACTGCTTCGGCACAGCTATATCTCATGTGGGAACGATGCGCAGCCATACTGCAGCACGTGCTCAGCCTGAAGGATTGCTTTCGTAAAGAACTGGCTGGTAATCCGGCTTTTAAGGCACTCCAGGGCTACTGTGAACTCAACAACGCTTGTCAACGGGAAGTTTATAACTCTCAGATTACCAGTCAACAATGTTGAGTCTAACCGGCAGCAGGTACCTTCTTGAAATCAACGCATACTCGGAGTTGGAGGACTTAATCCAGGTGAATACGACGGCACTGGGAACTCTCTCAGAGGTGGACCGAACAATCAACTTGCAAGGGTCACTCACGTCGCATAGGGGACAGCTACTTGTGCGACTAGGATCGCCTCATGAGGGCGTGAACTGGCTAAGAAAGTCATACAAGGTGCGATCTCAGCTTAAGCCTCTGAACCTTAGGGAGTCAGCATGGGCGGCCGAGAATGCAGCAAACGGAATTGCTACTATCAATGAATTCCCGGAAGCCGTTCAATGGCACGAAAAGGCCCGTGACCACTGGCTCGAATGGTCAGAGAAGAACGGACAGCAGGGAACATGGCCTGCCGTGTTGAAGAAAAGCATGGGCACCACTCTGATCTGGGCCGGCCAGCTTGAAAACGCTCGAAACGTCCTCAATCAGGCGATGGAGCAAATTGAGACCACGGAGCCCTACAATTGGGCCATGGCTGCGTAGTATGTACCTTGGGTCTAACCTGAAAGCATATTCAATGGGCGCCAAAAACTAATGCTCTTCTAATAGCACACACTTCGCTCTTGGCACTCTCGACCGCCGTGATCGCTTATACGATTCTGCGGAAGCACATTTCATGGAAGCCCAGAATCTGTGGACGAAAGGAGATCAGTTGCGGACTGACCCGTTCAACGCGGCGTGCATGTACAAAATGGGATGTGTTGCCTTGGACCAATTCAAAGTCGAGGCTGCTGTGTGAGTCGTCCCAATATGCGACATGAACGCGATATCTCCTGCTGCTAACCTTTACGCTAGCAAGCATCTACGGGATGCTAAGGTGGTGACAGATATGCGCAAAGGGAACATGGTAGCGGAACACGCCAGATGCATCTTCAAGCTTTCGGAAGCCCTTCAACAGGAGCCAAGAGGAGAAGTAGAGGCTGCCATGCTTCACGAAGAAGCAGAACGCTTGCTGCGTGCCCGCAATCCGATGGCCACCGGCCCTGCATCGGAGGCCACCTACGACGACCTGGTGAACATTTTGTGGCGGTAATATGCAGATTCACATTGAGAGTAACGATGGTTGATAGGATCTAAAATAAGGTGACCGCAAGGGCAATTTCCTTTTTCAATTTGTCGATTTCACTTCGCAAAGCTCCCAATGACAGACTGAGACTATCTTGACTTTCACATGAAGAACGCAAAACATTGCCAAGTCCATCGTGACATCATCCTCGAGGGTTCAGGCACTTTTGTCTGCCTGCATGTGAGGTGTCGGAAATTCCTTCTTTACGGATAAATTGACCTGTCGGGGCTTTTGAGGGAAGCTCCCCTGATTGCCAAGACCTAAAGAGACAGGCCGCGAGAGAGGATTGAAATCATGCTTGATATCCGGCTGGTACCATGCCGTCCAAGGCTGCTTCAAGGGTGTAGTATCAGGCTGCGCCATGTTCCTGAAAAGTCCAGATGTCTTCTTGACTGAGGCCGTTGGTTAGAGGAAGGGTGCGAAATCAGTGTAATCGTGACGTACCAGAAAGGGATTTGAAATATGAGGCTGTAGATGAAGTCTTCAGGCTGCAGGACAGGCAACAAAATGTCGGAAATAATGGTACTAAGATAGTGCCTTGGAGGTGGATTTCTACCTAGGCAGTCTTGAACCAGGGAGCTTGATTTTGATCAGGCCTCAACAAGCCCTATTTCAATTCTGATAACCATGCTTTCTCAAGCCATGGGGCGGATGACAATTCAAACAATACCCAATGAATCGTTCTTCTCCAGAGACCCCCGGGGTAAGCAACGAGACGTGTGGATGGCTGGATGGGCCGCCTGCACACCACCTCTTGCAACTCTTCACCGAATGTATACCCGGTCGTGGCTCACCGGCGGCCCGACATGTGTGCATGGGTGCCACAAAGCGGGGCTGACCTCGAGAACCCGAGACTTGTACTGAACAGAGAATATGCCTTGACGCAGGCTGGCTGGCTGGCAGGAGAACCTGCACTTTCTTTGTGCTGCCCAAAGGTGACACAGGCTTAAGCACATGCAAAGATGGCCTCATGTTAGGGCGGGAGACGGCCGAATTCCTGCGGCCTATCAATAACATTCGAATGCAGATACCCTGAGGATGCATCCTCAAGTCATGAACACCCGTCATCTCGCCAAGGACTGGATGATGTAGCACGGGCTGTCCAGCTGGAGGCTGGACGTCTTCAAAACAGGGGCATAGTTGTACGCCCGCCTTGTGAGGAGCCATGGATGGATACGTATAATAAGAATTATGGTGGGCATCGCCATCTTGTGGTTGGAAATTGAACGCCGTAACCCTCTTGCTTCTTTCAATGTTGCTGCCATGACAACGGCCTGGATTTTAATAACCAGAGAGACCGCCACGCTGCATCCGTCCGTTCACCTGCCGGGCGCCGATCATCCGCACTACCTAGGTAGGCCGCATACAAACCGCTTGACGCGGGCCCTTGGTGGATTATTAAGTGCCTTGAGACCACATTGGCTCATGGTCAACGCTCACCGACACCATGTCTTTGCTTCGGGAGGACATCGAAATGCAACAACGTGCCACAACAAAGTCCGATTCCCCGCTCGATACAATCAAGCGAAGACACCGCAACACAGACTTAGCGTGCCTGTTTGGGGTGACATCTGATGTAGTGGCACGGTGGGTCGGGGCTGCGGCATATTGTCAGTTTTTGGAGGACCGGGAGTTCAAACCTTTGCTATCTGACGAGTATGCCTTCATATGGAAGGCAATTGGTGAACCAAGACCGACGGTGCCCGCTGAGTGCTGGCCATGGTTCAGGACGGTATGCTCTGCCTTGCATCTAGTGTCTGACACAGCCAGCATCGAGGACATATGTGATCAAGTAAGGTATTCCGCTCTTGTGGACACAACCACCACACCCCATCCAACAGATGCCGAAAAGTTGGCCTGCCTAATTGGGGTATTTTCCGTCTTGTGTTGGGGGTCCATGACCCTCACGCCGATATTGCACTGGAAAACCATCGCATCACCACCACGCCTCCTCATCCGACAATCCCTCCAATCGCAGAATGATCATCATCAGCAGGGCCTAAAGATAGACATTGTCCGCAGACCGGTCCACGCCATATTCCGAAATTTCAGGAAGATCATGACCACAAGTCGATGGCGGCAGCCCATAGGAGGCAGTATCTCCGGCGATAACCCAAAGTGCCCCCACTGTGCAGCCACAGGAGGCGTGGGGGGATCCACTGTGTTGTACAAATCGACTCTCAACTACGACTCATTGAAGACAATAGGCAAGATTCGTTTGAGATGGGTGCACGAACTAAGTAGTCATCTGGACTTTGACTCACAAAATCGATGTCTTTACATCTTCCGTTTCCCTAGTTTCTGCGCGCTAGGCGCCTTGGGAAAAAGCCGGGCACCTATTTTTGATGGGTGAGTTACACATCAGCACGCAGCCGCTGTTGTCATACACTTATTGTTCTGCTTAACAGCCTGGTACGAGCGCTATATTCAACACAACATGAGACTACGGCAGACAGTGCCAGTGAGGTCAGCGTACGGCAACTGAGCCAGGAAATTCTGATGTCGTACCGGATCCTATTCGCACAAACTAGAGGATCACGAAGGCTGGCAGGGATCGCTCTGGAAGGACTACAATCAGAGAACCCCCACCATTACGACTCGCTCCTAGAGCTTGTATGCACGGCGCCGCTCAAGGCTCTAGTGGAAGACGATCTTGGAAGGCACCCCATGCTGTGGCCCGTCTCGTGTCGGACATTTGAGGATGTTTTGCAGGAGCAGGATACATACAGCTCACAGGACGACTTCCCGCTCCTTGGGCAGCGGCTGGTCAAGCTGCAGGAATTCAATCTGCGGCAGCAGCCAAGCAGGCTGAGGGACCTGTGGAGGGACAGACGTAATGTGCTGCAATGGTACACATTCTGGGCCGTACTTGTGGTGGGGGGCTTCTCCTTGCTTCTAGCGCTGTTATCATTGGGTGTAGCTATCGCGCAGCTGATCACATCGGTCGCCTGATGTGGAATAGTACCTACCGCAGAGCCTCAGTGAATGTTTATGGTGGCGCAAGTTTACGAGCCAAGGGCCGATGTTTGGTCCCGTGCGGCACGGCTTTCTAAAGTTTGCATTTGTGGGTGTCCGGGTGCGGTACCCGACTCACACGGTACATACCTAAGCAGCCCGGTTCAAGTTGTACCATTGTAGCAAGTGGTACAATCTCTAAACAACGTTACCAGTACATGTTCAACCACTTGCAACTTGAACCATCCAGTTATGTAGTGCTTTGGCCATAACAACAGTCGTCATGGCTGTGGAGACAACTATGCAGTATCTCACCCGCTGTGAACTTTACAAGACAGAGAAGCCTTATTCCACCGATTTCGAGGTCAGCGATGCGTTCCCTACGGGTATAAAGTCAAATTATTCTCTTTCGGAAATCCCGGTATCTGTGGAAGCTATCGAGGACTCGAACGAATTCAGTCTAGATGTTCACGGCTTTTCTGTGGTGAAAGCACAGGTATCACTACTAGCAGAAGATGCTCTTCAACGGCCAAGGGAAGTGGAGGGTTCTTACTTTGCAGAGATCGAAGCCATCCTGCACAATAAGTTCCCAGAATACTCGAGATTTGAGGGCATGGAATTTGTAGTTAGGAAACGCGACGAGAGGTTTCCATGTGATGGGGTGGCCACCGTGGACTACGAGCAGCCTGCATGTGTTGCTCACAGTGATTATTCTGTTGGGGGTGCTTTCCTCCAGCTTAAAACCTCATTTCCAGGCCAGGAGTCCTATTTCGAGGACAAGGAATTTGATATGATCAAGTCAGTCGGGCACCAATCCTACCTATTCACTTCATCTCGCTATTCATGCTAAAGTGCTACCACAAACTAGTGTATGGAGACCATTGTACGGGCCAAACAACGATTGGCCTCTAGCAGTATGCGACTTCAGGTCGGTTGACCAGGAAAGCGACGTGGTGACCGCAGACCTGCTACATAGGGATCGAGTTGCTGAGAATCAGCTTCTTCAATCGAATAAAGCCCATCGCTGGTACTACGTGAGGGACCAGCAACCCGACGATCTTCTTATCATACGCAATATTGATTCTAGTGGAAAGCGCGCGCGTAAGTCTCCAAATTCCTGCTTGCGCCCAACAGCGTACTCACCTTTCACAGGGGCTTTTCATTGCGCGTTCTTCAATCCGTCATCACAAGGGCCTCCGAGGACCAGCTGCGAGGTGCGGTTTGTTGCGATTAGATGAAGTAATTAGACGCTCTTCCATTCAAATATTATGTGGTTTAATACATGTTGTGGTTCAAATTGTTGTGCAAGTGAGAGAAGAGCTAATATGGCAGTGAGAATCACACATACCTGGGTGTAATATCCCCCAGAGCCCTAGGACAACAGTTTGATACAAGTTAGAAGAACCAGCATAATTAAACGAGGCTTTAAGAAACTATAGGCAGACAAAGTATGATTTTGCCACCCTTTTGCTCAATCAATTTGTAAGTCTTGACGATCTTCCGTTAGTTGGGAGAGTGTACCTAAGTAGGCCTAAATAAAAAGGTACCAGTGTGAGACCCGAGCGTCATCATGTGAAATATTATGTAGGAATCGACTGCCTACTAGAGGCACCGCTATGAGTGTGTTTACTACGAGGATCAGGGAGAGCTGGGTTAATCGGAAAATGAAATTCGTGCACATGTATGTTGGATACTTGAGCACATCTATTTAGAAGTTGATCACATGAATAATGTTCAACCGTCTCTCCTTCATCCACCCAGAATTACGTCTTTTGCCACACGGGCCTGAATCTAATAGTCCCAGCACTGGTAGCTGGTGACCTTGTCGTTGGGGTTGACACCTGCGCAGGCGCCCGTTCCAGCCTGGTTGAGGTCGGACTTGCCTGGGTTCACCAGGTCGAAGTGCTTGCAGCCATCGTCATCAGTGCAGCCCGCGTCGCTGCAAATATAAAGTGTCAGCAAATCTCCAGTAACAACATCGACGAAATAACAAGACACTCACAAATAGAATCGGCAGTAAGCGCCAGCGTCAGGGCCGACAGAGCTGACTTTGTCGTTGAGGTCACTGGCCAGAGGAACTGCACCAGCATAATGTAATTAGAACTGTTCTCCATGGAGGCTCCACTAGGTACCGTGAAATATAGTTATCCAAATTGTGAGACTTACCACAGACGCCAGCACCTGCAGTAATGTAGGCGCAGTGTCCGCCCCAGTAGGCATCGACGCAGAGGTACACGCCGTGGTTGGCGCGCTTGGTGAGGTCTCCATCTCGGGCTTCGACGAAAGCAACAGCCGTCTCATTGAAGGCGGGCGCGGAACGGATGGACTCCGGGATGTCTGCGGCCGAAATTTGGGTGTACTCGACCCCGGCTGGAAGACCAGCAGGCAGAGCAGAGCAGGCCGCCGTGGTGGCGAGGGCGAGGATGGCGGTGAACTTCATTGTGTCAGGTGGTTTTAAATCTAGGCTAGAGAAGAGCGAGGAGGACAATGAAGTGCTTGGCTGTGCTTGGTCTCTGATGATGAGATGGGGATCTGAGAGCTTTCCATGAGGGGAGTTCGGTTCCTTTATATCTATTGTCTTGTAACTACAATCAAGGAGGCAGACGGTGGCAACCGTATGGTTCTTTGTGATCACTGATCACGGAGTCCTCCGAACCGAACCATCTTTCAAGTGCTTACGCCTTCACTTGAGTTGTGGGTGAGCCTCGGAGTGAAGTCGACGATGCCTTCAGTATGGTCGGACTTAGGAAATTATTAAGCGTTAGTTTATGAGACACTATTGGTCGATAACATATGAGACAGGCGGCCATGGGATAAGTATGAATCCTAAAGAAGCAATTGTTATTAAGCGACGTTTGAGCAGAGGGATTCGTATATGCAGATCTACATACAATGTCGTAGTTGGTGCGGCCTCGTGGAAACTTCAATGCTGCAAGGATCTTGGCATTTTGCTGCAGAAAGCGTCCTTTTGTCAATAATCAGAGATTTGCTAGGAGGAATGTGGCACTGTTTTGGTCCTAGTCTTCTGTTCCTGAGTCCAATCTGCAAATCATGATCTCCATATTCGGCATAGCCTTGCATGGATCCCACGCTGATGCATATTTGCCACTAACAAGGGATTCACATCGCCTGCAGAATGCGCTCAAGGGGTTGAATAGCGCATGGAATTATGGTCGCAAAAATACCCAGAACAATAAATTTTTACCACTGGCTGGCAGTAGTGCTGAGAGATCCAACTTAGAGAAGTTGAGGGCTGATCCACTTCCAAGGATTTTGGTTGACTGCCCAGGTATCACTGTAGTCGACTGGGCGCCAATTGGAAGTGGTTTCTTGGCATTGCCACAAGTTTACTAATCATGTGCAGTATGCTTTGATCTATGATTTTCCAAGACATCAAGGTAAGACATGCCACAAGGTCGTTGGAGACAATCTGAATGTCCTTGCGCTTTCGGTCCGCTGTTTTCCTTGCCGGTGCATGTGCGTGGAAGGCCATGAGTGACTAATCGACCAGAATGTCCTCAACATGTGTTAGGCGAACTTTCGAACAGGCAGCTAAAAGTGAATCCTTTCATTTCAAAAAAGTAATTTCCATGGAGTAGCGTCGGGGAAATGAGAGCCGGGGGGATGGCGAATCGTCAGTTTCCGATGCCCCGGCCACTTTGAGAGCGGCTAAACTGAGAACCTGCCTTTTGAGCCCATCTTCCTGCCTCCATAGCTCCGTGGCCTTTAGTTGAAGCTTGAAAAAAGAAAGACAGTACACGTCGTGAATAGAAAATGGGTGACCATGGTCGGTAGAAAGCTGGCATTGATTCATATGCTCTCGAAAAGGCACCCAGTCCTCTGGCTATTCTTAGTGCACTTGTTGAAGTGAAGCTTCTTTGTGCCCCCCTTTCCTCAAAACCTTCACCATGGCCCATTCACTCTTCCGAGATTCCCCATTAAGATTATCGTCAACCCTCATCATTCAGGGCTCCCTGCTCCCGACACCGCTCGATGCTGTCGAGTGAGCATCGTTTCCATGGCAAAGAGACGCGGCTCAACAGGCATTCAATATTAGCGCCCTCAGGTGATTTGTTGATCCGGTAACCCAAGTGTCAACTCTAATGCTGTTCTCTGGATTTATCTCCGCTTCTTTTTGGAGCGCCCATGGTGGGTGGCTCGCAGTCGATTCCAGAACCAGCCCTTGCTCTGAACTTCGTTGCTGGAGTTCTGACGAGCCTATTTCCAACTGATCTCCAAGTCAGGCGAAGATATTGCGTGAGATTATGTTTTCGCTTGAGACGGCCGCAAAGTACTACATGCTCACGCCAGTTGACCTCGCACGGCACCGGGGAGGGCCAGGCTGGAGTGAGTATCCGCGAAGAAGGCGGCTGGGTTCGCCTCGATTTGAGCCACGGTAAACCCGTTACCGGTGTCCGCGCCGTCCATCACGACACCGGTGGTAAATGGGCCCTTCATGCAGCCGACGCTGTTCCTGACACCGGCGGCAGGGTCTCCCACAGGCACGGGGTTGGGGAAAGCCATCCTCGGAGGACCTGACTGGCCCACCGCTGCCTCATGGATGTGTGTTGCGGTTGTTGCAGGCGAAGAGAAGTCTCCCTGGAAGTTGTTCAGCGTGATGTTGTAGCATATTGTGTCGGTGGCGCCGTTCAGGCCGAAGTTGAAGGTCCCGGATGCACCGGCGAGGCCACCAGTGGGTTCGGTGCCGTTGACAACCTGCTCCGGCGTGGCATTGGCGGGCATGGTCGACGTGAACGAGAATAGCCCGTTGGCGTCGCCGGCGGCCGCTGCTGGGGGGGCGCCCGCCGGAGGAACTGCCGGGAGAACACCTCCTGGAGGCGGAGCCGCTGGTGGAGCTCCAGGAGGGGCAGCGCCAAGCTGTACTTGAGAGATGGTGATCTGGATGGCCGAGTTGGCACCTCCTCCGAGTACGATGGGCTCAGTAGTCGTTTGCCGGACAGCGACAGGCGAGGCGCATACGCCGAGCGCCAGCAGAGCGATCGAAAAGAAAGTTGGGTTCATCATGTTTCACGGAAACGACGGCGAGAAAGTTTGAATAAAGGAGGGTATTTCAGACCATTAAACTTATTAAAATCGAAATGTCGTGAGTGTCGCTGTCAAAGCAATCCTGATTATTGTGAGCCCCATCTGACACTCGAGACCACGAGTCCCTCCCATTTCCTTTATACTGCATCTGTCACGACCCCGAAGACCCTCGAAGGATCGCGATAAAGCCCAAGACTTGCACAAGAACGACAAGATGTTTTCGCCCTTGATCGACCAGTCCAAAACGAGTGCGCCCAGCACGGGTCAAAGACTCCTGAGAGATTGGCGGCAGCGATCAAGACGTCGCTTGCATTTGTACCAAGACGTGCGAGTCTTGACTATTACGCAGGGGCCACTACGATGACCCGGGAACACGACCTGCCGCACTCATGCGTAACTTGGCGGTTGGCTTGGAGGCCAGGCAAGCCGTTTCGGGCGGAGGCACTGCCGGGGCTGAGGCTGAAACTCTGTTGCCTCCGTATTGGCGCCCAGTGCTTTGCACCTGACGTCGCTAAACTTTGAAACCAGCACCGCCCACATAACCTCCCATTCATATTCTTCTAGGCCGCTTGCTCAATTCTGCACTCTTTGGGCCAACATTCATATTTAACTTTGAATACGGCTGGCAAATATGGTATTCCGGTCCGCTAACTATACGAATGTCTTCAACGCTGGTTCAATGCAATAATACATTTAGGCTACTTGTTCGCAAACTTGCTTCTCCTCCGCAAAACGCTTCCATACCGCAACAACATCGGCGGTACAATGCAGAGAGCTGTAGCCAACGAAGCAAACAATGTAGATGCCAGGTTGAAATCGAGCTCGTCGAATAACTTCCTCCCGAACAGTGGAAACGAAGCGCAAAATAGAGAGCGCGTGAGTGCCAACGCGGCAAAGCTGCTGGCCGTGTAAGTGTCATAGCAGTCCGACAAGTACCCAGCCAAGACGTGGTCAAGCTCGTTGACTGCGTACCCCACCGGCACAAGGGCCAAAGTCGGGACAATCCAGTGGACTGACACGCGAGGAGGAATCGTCCACGCGAACCACCAAAGACCAATCGCTAGCGCAGGCGCCCCAATGAGGTAGCCGGTGAACTTGGACTCCGGACTGACTGGCTTTTCAGCCCTGGCCAGGACGCGGGCATCGTAGAACCTAGTAAGTATGCTGAGGAGCATTCCAATTACCAGAGCAAGGAATGGCATATTCTTCCAGCCATCGTTGAACCCCAACTCCTTGTACACCAAGGGTAAGACCTCTGTGAAAAGGTAGATGAGTCCGAACGCAATGGCGCTGATGGTCGCCACCAAGAACACGATAGGCTCCGTGAATAAGAGACGAACAGGTCGACTGAGGTCGAACTTTTCGTAGCTGACTGGAATGTGCCACTTGCCGGCTTTGGGATGGGAACCATGGTGGGCCAACGCAACTGATGGACGTGACTCTCTGATGGTGAGGAACAGAATTGCGACGAAAGCCGTCACAACGGCCGCGGTATAGAAAACCCAGGTCCTGCCATCAATCAGCATGTGCATCCATGACATGAGCCACAGAAACAGAGTCTTGTGCCTTACCAGTCAGCATGGTCGGTAATCAGTTCACCAAAAACGGGTCCCGCCAATATACCAAGATTGGCTAACAGGGCCCACCAGAATACCCACCACACTCGCTCATTTGTATCCCACAGGTCTTCAATACTTCCAGTAGCAATCACAGTGGGTATAGAAGAAAGGAAGCCGCTGCCAAAACGGCCAATCACTATTCCGGCGATAGTTGGCACTCTTCCAACAAGGATGCAGAACAAGCTGTAGAAGCCTGTACTGATGATGTAGAGATTCTTGCGTCCGAAGGACTCGGAAAAAGGGGGAAAGATGGCACCGCCAATCGTTTGGCCGATCAAATAGCTTTGCTCTATTTTAGTGAAGGTCATGTAGTCATTTTCGGGGTTCATACTTACGTTGAAACGAACATGCAAGTTGCCACGACTGGACTGACGCCAAGTTCATGATGCAGATGCGCAGCAACAGGTGTCTTTAAAACCAGTCAATAAGATCTCAATCACCGTGCTCCGATGGTAGGAACCAACCCCTGCGGTGCTAATCATCGTCCTAATGAGTGTCAGCGGTATTCAAATGAAGGAAGTGAAGGTTGTCCATACGTGAAGAATTCCAAGAAGATAATCAGGCCTGTGTCCCATGATTTTCGAACACGTCCCCACTCTCGAGGATGGACACCTTTAGGTGTGAGCGACTCTTCCGAGTTGGTTTGCGACCCTAGGGTGAGCGCAGCGTCGCATGGACTGGTTTGCATTGTGGATGGACGCGACATTTCAAGCACGGCGTAGGTGGTAAAGCGAGTGTAACGCAACAAGGTGGACGAACAGAGTCCTTTGACTGATTCTATAGCATTTATCCGTGAGATATCATGTTTATAAACACCACATGGCGGCACCCAGACAGTCGAGTACACAAGGAGCTTGGCAAACGAGACCTAAAACTGTCAGGTCCTTTACGGGAAAGCCTCAACTATCCCGGTCCTCCGAACAAGAATAAACATTTTTGGTGAGTTCTAGCCAGTATTCAAGGATATGTATCGGATTTATCACTACTCATGATCTGAAGCGCAGGTGGGTGTGGATTCCAGCGCCGGCCGATCTTGATCCTTCATATTCTGTTCTGCGTTATTTATAGCTCAGTAGAAAGATATCGCAACAAGCCTAGTCTATACCACCGCCAAGAGAGAGTATCTACAGTCTTTCCAATATTTCTCCCGGCAGGGTGTCTAAATTTTGAACGCCTAGGCGTATGTTCGGTACATTTACGGGTTACCTGTGTACTTAATGAGGATGGGGAAATCTCGGAAACAGTTTACGGCAACAGCTAATCTACGAACCACTTTTCTCGTACACATTTTGACACCAATCTTTCATATTTCTGGAAGGTTTATCATTTTCGAAAGGCATACCGTCTGCAATCCACATTCCAGAAGCTGTCTCCAATGAACGTTCCTGACATAAGAAACTCTGATGCTTAGAGGAAGCTACATACACACTCTAGAGTGCTACGCGCTGCATAGTGCATATCATGGATGGTTTTTATTGGGCAACAAAAGAAAGGGGTTTTTTGGGGGTGAAAACAAATAAACGGCCTTTTGGGGGCGAAAACTTAGAATAGTTGGGCCGCGGTACATTTTGGTACGTCGCAATTGGTCGTGATCTCACCTGCTCTGGGGTTCTGGGGTTCTGGGGTTCACAGGGAAAACATTCAACCATTTAAAGTTTCGCTTCAAGCCCTTGATCTTAGCGAGTCTCACCATCGCATCTCTACGATCCGATTTAGAAGCAGATCCTGTACCAGCTCATCCCAACCTTGACTCACATTGCTTGCTGCGACGGCTGCCCTGCCCAGGCCATGGTTCGGACGAGTCGGACTGGACATATATATAGCAAGCTGAACTGGTTAATCAACGATCGGCAACTTCGGAATGGCGATACCTCAGTGCACTGACTCAACCCTGAAAGCTGGGCTTCCCGATTGCTCAAGTTCGTCTGCCAGTGACAGGTATAAGGCGATGTGCCCCTTACCTTATCATCTTGGCTTGATTAGTACCGCCCATCGCATCCAGTCGGGTTCGCCGAACATGACCATTCCTGTGATGCCAAGCGTCGGATGAGCTATTTACTTCCACCGAGCTTGTTGCGAGATTTACGATGCGGGCACTTTGACGGCTTTCAATAGTCCTTGGTCGTAGACAGGGTTCATTTCTAATCCCTATACATGTGAAACGTATATGGCACCTTCATACAGTAGCAAACACTCGACCAAACGTTCATGTAAAAGCTCAACGGTAATATATTATTCATACTTACTATGCTCCCCTTGATCAATATGCTCAACGGGACATTGCTTGTCGTTTTTATTTGGGTGCATAGGTGGAATAATAGAAGATTGATCAGAATGAAATCGTAGAATAAATACACATGTACTAGATAATTAAATATAGTAGTGACAGATCTATCAAATTACCCTTGACTCTAGCATTCATCACAGGTGTGGCGGTTCACCTCAGGAAAGCGAGAACAGTGTTATATTATGTGTCCAGGGTGGGCCGGTATTTATCATATTGCGACTACGCCATCTTTTAGGTATTGTAATCGCCTTCAAGTCCGCTACCGCCTAGGCGACAGTCATCGTGTTGAAAAAGCTATGGTGCAACATTCGTCCAACCAATACCTGTCGTGCATTATAATATTTGATCTAAAAATCAATGAATACATTTCACGACCAGCGATGTGGTTACTCCTTCTATATCTACAGGTCGTTGCCGGGGGTCCAATACCTTCTCCTTCCCTCCGGTCGTGGTCCATACAAGGCTGGCCGTCCTTGACCTTGGGAGAGTGACTGCGCACTCAGCACTGTGTGGATACAGCTTACTCTGCTTGTCTACCTAGGTAAATGGCACTTCCATCTGGTCAGACACTACATTCTTTATCTCGGATTTGTGCATCGGCAAATCCGATTGTGGTCAGGAACACTGAACGCCGCAAAAGGACTAGATCCATGGCACAGTTTTGCCGCAAACAGCACCTCACGGGGTTACATTCAAATGTCTTGGAATCTCAGCCGCAGTCATTCCCAATCATTCTCAATTTGAGAACGCGTCTGTAGCTGTTGTCAAAATCTCTACGGAAACTAAGAGTTTAATGAATGGAACTGTGGCAGTCTTGGAAGTGTAATTTTTGGCTAAAAATAGGCATAATTTACATTTCTATGTTTCGAAATCAAGATTATATCTGAATCTCAAAATTGCCTTGTATTTCGTTGTCCTCCTAATAATTCTAATGAAGAGAGATCTTGAATTAAATGTAGCTATTCACGTGGGAAAAACATGTATGTCCTCGGACGTATGCGGAATAGAAGCGAAACTAGTTCAGTCCCTACTGTGCTAGTAGTGGATAAGTAGAACCGACACCTATAGGTAAGGCCTTCATGTCGTGTATGTCTAGCTTATATTACACGTCGTCCTGTATGCGCAATCAGTACAATGTGCTGTGAGTAGCCAATCGCGCTTATAATTAGCTTTGAAAGTAATACTGGTACGGCAACATTCGTTTCCAATTTACTTCGAGGCTTCGACAACTTTTAATTAAATCTGTGGTTGCGGGGCTGGCAGTCATAGACACTTTACAGTATGGCGAGTTTCCAGTCAGAGACCCATGAATGAAGCGTAAAGACAGTCGTATAAACCACTGGAACGATGGTACGGGAACTTGATGAACTTTCCATCGTGTACAAAGATGGAAGACGGATTTCTCATTGCACGTGGGCCTGTGATAACCCGTGCCCATTGTACTCGGACGGGACTAGAAGCCTGAAGTCATGGCCGGATCGGGCATTCCCTTTCAACATTTGGTACGTGTCACTGTACTAGAAAGACTGATTTTCCAATCCAAACCAAGTTGTCTTGAACTCATTTTATGACTCTGCATACGCAGTAAGTACTGCTGGTTATCCTGAAAGAAGTCAAGATGATGAGTAGAAGATACGCGGGCGGGAAGGGCTTCTATGCGCCGAGTAACACTCCTTCGGACCAACCTCAGTTCGTATCCTGCCAGAGGCTGCCAACGCCGTCGACGACAGCGGCCATTCGCCGCACAGCAATCGAGTTGTTTCAGGACGCTTGCTATTACATCTGCTATGTCTGCATCGTCGTATTCATCCTAGGACTGATGCTACAAGCAGTAATGTATGGCAGTTTGCAATCGCCCGGCGGTAGGTCAGCTGCCATCGGTCAAAGCCTCACACATTACGACATTCTTGGCGTTGAACCCGAGGCCGATCAAGATACTATAACAGCAGGCTGGCGTCTACAATCGGCTACCTTCCATCCAGATAAGGCAGCGGGAGGAAACACAGAAGAGACCCGCGAGAGATACTACTGGATCCAACTGGCATACGTCGAATTATCTGACCCTCTTGCACGATGCTACCACGACCAATACAACGGATTCTTGCCACGAGGGTGGGGCGGAGATGACCCATGCACTAAGATATTGATGCAGAGAGAGAAAAAATCGAGAGAATTGGCCGAAAACACACCAGATACCGTGAGGGAGGAAATGCTGGGAAAGCTGGTGAAGGACTATGGGGTGTCGGTTAACTGGCTGAAAGTCATGAGGAAAAAGCGAGATGGACGGGAGTGGAAGGATGCTGGATGGTTGAAACAGAAACAACTTGCCCTTTTGGCGGCTGTTGAAGATTACGGACAGCAAGTCATCGCTTGGAAATACGTCGGGGTGGGATTTATACTCACTATGATCGAGCACTACTGGAAATACTTCATCCCATTGGGGAACAAGTATGCTCGCGGGATTCGGCGACGGTATGCTCCGCTTATCGCAGCAGTGGCCGAGTTTTGGGAATCTTCCTTCACTTCGTAGCCATGCTCTACAGCTTTCATGGGTGGTAGGGGGGTTGAGGGAATTGAACTTTTGGCAGCATGCAACTTTTAGAATGAGTGATCCTTTGCGAATGCAGCAAATCAAGATTGAATTAGAAAAATAAAATAGTGGCTAGTTAGATTATACACTATTATATTATTTTATGAATTAATATATCATAAGGGAGAACGAATATTCAAATAAGTGAGTAAAGTATAAATCTTCATTTTTTACTTTTTTAAAATTATATATAATAAAGTTTAATCTTATAATAAAAGTAAAGAATTTTTACTTTAATACTTAAATTTCTTATTTAATTATAATCCTATTAACTACTATTATTATATTTAAATTATAAGTATGTTATACATTAGTAGACAAATTAATTAATAATATATTATCTTATAACTAAAAAACAATAACTAGTAAAATTATAAGGTTACTAGAGTGCTAGTGTAGCGCTGTGTAAGCAGCCTCACTCTCTTAGAGTCTCCTTCTCACCAGGCTTCTCGCCTATATCGAGCTGCCACAGCTTATAGCGACTGCGCATGGTATGCATATGAATGTAGCCCGTCTTGTGAAGGTACCAAGCCTTCGCATACTCCTCATTGCCGGCGAGGACATGCTCAATCCGCCGCACGCATGCGATCACATCTTCACTTGCCTCCTTGAGGGTCTCAACGAGGCTTTTCTGGCTGTAGCCAGCAATCTTGTTGGTATAATTATCTTTCTCGCCATTTAATTGCTCCTTGTAGAATCTTAAGTAACACTGTTAGTTATGTGACCACACAGGTTTAGTAGATGCAAACAGTCGCGGAGGCACTCTATATGGAGGAGTCCAGGCTGCTACTACCGTAGGCTTCAGATAAGGAATAGGAATGGTAACGGCGATTAAAGGAACCAGACTTACGAGAGCACGTCATTTGTGAACGCGAGGAAGCGGTTCATATCTTCAATGGCCTCGATGGGAACGTCAAGGTTAGGGAACATTGTCTTGGGAAAAGGAAACCAGGCATAGGCCTCGCCGACCCCGTCGCGGCTTCGCATGAACCAAGGAAACAGCTGCCCTCCTTTGGAAGGATTTGCGGTCTTTCCTTTGACTACAGGTGTCACAGTCAGTCATCACATGTCATGAATATCTGGTTTTGCAGGAACAGGACCACGGCAGACACCACCGCCATAACACTTCGCACAAGGTGCATCTAAGCAGAAGGCTCCGACAGCTAAAGTTCGAATTCTTGTCCTTCGACGACTGTCTTTTCGATACAGGTCAAATAGCGTCGAGAAGCCACTTACTGTCATCGCGAGCGCCCAGTGCTGTTGCCGTCACGAATCCAAATGAGGCAGTGACGATCATATTGGCCACCAGAGGGTGCCAGTACTCGTAGGTCAGACGGATCTGATCGGCGAAGGCTCCCAGGAGGACTGTAGGTTGTGGTAGGCCCTTCACCCAGCGCTCTTGGAACAGGGACATGTCCTCGAGAATCCCTGCTCGATCGGGTTCGTCACACAGCGTGGCCAGCCAGGTGTAGATGGCAACCCAGACCTTCACATCGAGTGGGAGGTAGGGAAGACAGTTCTGTTTCCCGAGTTAGAGCTATTTGGACTATTCTTGCCAGACATAGGAACTCTTGTCGCTTTGCGAAGAATAACTCACGTCTGCATAGGAGTAGCCGACAAGCAGGCCCTCATACGAACGTGAATTTAGTGGGTGTGGTACTCCGGTTGCCGCGGCTGCTTCGAGGACAGCTGTCATGAGCTTTTCACTCTCGAATCTCTCGAGGGGAGGTAGGTTCAAGTCCGAAAGGAACTTGGTGTAGATGGGGCGCAGAGAGGCAGCGAGCTCGGGATCCTCGATTGCGATGTCGCCCTCCATGACGTGGCCATTGACGCGATTGCTGCTGTTGGGCGTTGCAGTCTGAACCAGGATGGTCATATTGATGGTATAGTGCCACCTGTACAGGTTTTATGGAGGACACGCCCCTAACCCTAGTTTCAGACCTAGTCCAAAACGACTACAAAAGGTGTCATAAAATTAGAAGGACTATTACTAAAAGACTTAAACCTTAAATAACTTAATTTATACCCTATAAACTAAATTATTATTCCTCTATAATTATAAGCCTAATATATATTAAATAAATTTTTTTTATTAAAGCTTAAAATAAATAATATAAGGTATAACTTATCTTACTTTACTCTTTATAAACTATTTTATACTATTATAAAAATAACTTTAACTTCTAATTTAAATATTATTTATAAAAACTCTTACTCATTCCCTAAATAATATACCCTCCTTAAAGTATACTATTAACTTAAATAATACTAAACTCTTATAAACCTAAATAAACTTAAAAATAAAAATAAATATATCTTTTATATTAAAACTATTAAAATAAATTATTATATATAAAAAAACTTTATAAAATATATTTTAAAATAAAAATAGAAATATAAGGTTTACTTTATAAATAATATACTTAAAAATAAAGAAACTAAACTCTTATAAAATCCCCTATAATAAAGGCTTTAAAAGTTACCTATAATTATAAAATATATTAATAAATAGTATTTATTTTTAATTAAATATTAAAAATATTAAAACTTTAAAAATTTAAAACTAAATTTAAAAATAATATTAAATAATATTTTATTAACTTATATAATAAAACTAATAAATTTAAGTTTATTTTTAATTTATAAAGTTATTAAAAATTAAAAACAACCTTACTTTTTAAAATTTAATAAAGTTAATATTATATAATGCTTATATATAATATTTATAAAAGCTTAAAAACTAATATTAAATTTATTTAATAATATTAAAATTATAATAAAATCTATTTATAAACTTATACCTATAGAATATTTAAAATTAATAGTTTTTAAAATAAATAACTTTTATAAATAATTTCTTTATAAATTATATCTAAATAGACTTAAATAAAGTAATACCTTATTATTAAATAAAATACTTTTAAAAACTTATTAAAATACTTAAAAACTTATTTAAAATATTAAGTATTTTACTTTATATTAATAGATAATCTAACTAATTTAAAAACTTACTAATTTTTATTATACTAACTAAAAATATAATATTAATTTAAATTATAAAATTAGAAAACTTTAATTTAAGTAACTTAAATAAAAATTAAATTAAAAAGAATTTTAAATACCTTTATTAAACCTTTAAGTATTTTAAATATTATAAATAAAATCTAACTAATTATAGAACTTTAAAGTATATTTATATAAAAAAAAACCTACTTTTAAATAAAAGATTTTAAATATTTAATATAAAGAGATTAAAAGTATCTAAAAATAAATTTAAATACTTAATTTTTAAATTTAAAAATAAGAATATACTTAAAAAAGCTATATTAACTATAAAGATTAAAAATAATATTCCTTTTTATTTTATTTAAAGATATTTAAATCTAAATAGAATTTAACCTTTATTATACCTCTTTTATATAAGTAATATTAATATTTATATCTATTTTATTATAAATTTTATTTATTCTTTAATTTTAATTTATTTAAAAATACTTTAAATATATTTATTTTAACTATTAAATATAAAATATATACTTCTATTAACCCTTTATAAGTTTTTATTAATAAGGTTTTATTAGAGATATATATAACCCTAAATAAAGTATTATATCTATTTTATAAGAATATAGTTTTAAATAACTATAGTATAATCTACTTAGTTAACTTAATAGAGATTAAAACTAAAAGCTTCTACCTTAATTTAAAAATAATATTATTAAAGTAAATACTTTAACCCTTAAGATTAATAACTATAAAATATATTACTTAAAATAAATAATTTATAAAGAATAAAGAAAATATATAAAGAACTTATTATTAAAAATATAATAATTATAAAGAATTTTATATAAATATAATATTAAAAATACTTTTATAAAAGTAGATATTTAATATTATAAAAAATATAATTTTATATTATAAACCCTTTAAAAGTAATATTATTATAATAGAACTTATTTAAAAATATAATTTAATCTTTATTAAATATAAACTATTTTTTATTTCTAAGTTATTATTATTACTAAAAGTAAGGTTAAAATAGTAAACTATTTAATATTTACTATAATATAAAGATACCCTTTTACTTTTTTAAAATAAACTTTTAGAATATAAAGATTCTATTTAACTTTAATATTTATATTTAGATTATTTAAAAGTATAAGCTTTAAAGACCTTTATTAAATAAAGTAAAGATATAAAAATCTTTAAAATTAAATAGATTAATTATAAAGTCTACTTTAAAGTACTTATTATAAGGTATATATAAAAGCTTTATTAAAAATAAAAGTTTAAAACCCTTTTTAAAGTTTTTAAAATTTATTTATATATAATTAAACTTTAAATAGAATTTTATTTACTCTTATTATCTATAATAAATATAATAAAAGCTTTTATCTACCCTTTTATATTAAAATTTTAAAAAGGTATTTAAAATAATATAATACTTTAAAATATATATTAAAAGATAATTTAATTTTATAATTTATAAAATATAATAGAATATTAAGGTTATAATTATTAACTAATTTATAAATATTAATTATATTAAATAAACTAAATAAACTAATATTAACCTTAAAATTACCCTTTTAAGAATATTAAAAGTAAATAAAGGAAAAAAGAACTAGAAAGGCTCTAATTAAAAGACTTTTACTCTTTTACTTAAAATAAACCTTTTACTAAAACTATAATTAAAGACTATACTAATTATAACCTTATTATATAATATATCTCCTCTCTTAAAAAAATAAACTTTAAATATTATTTTATATAAATAATTTAACTACTATTTTAAATAATATTAACCTCTTTAAATAAAAATAAACTTTAAAGTTTACTTTTAATTAAAAATATTTATATCTATAGATATTAAATATATACCTTTATAAAAATATAAAAATAATATAAATAAATACTACCTAAAACCTATAAAAGGACCTATATAGAATATTTTATAGAATATATAGTATTAAATATATATAGAATATAAATTCCTATCTATAAATAAGTTATTTTTATAAAAATATAGTATTTAAAGAGAACCTTTTCTATATAAATAAAATAAATAAACTAAAAAACCTTTAAGTTTTAAAAGTAAAATAAGTTTTAATTAAAATAGCTACTCTTAAGAAAATACTAGATATAATATATATTATAATTAAACTAACTTTATAAAACCTAAATAAAATTTAAATTAATAATTAAAAGAAATAAAGTCTAATAATTTAAATAAAAATAATACTTTTATAAAAGTATAAATAAATATTAAAAAATAATAAACTAAACTTATTACTTATTTAAATTAATTTTAAAGGATAATATATAAACCTTTCTATCCTTAAAGAAATACTAAAACCCTTAAAAAGAGTATATTATCTTAAAAGGAATTAACCCTTAAAATAAAAGTTAATACTAAAAGTTTAGAAAACTTTAATTAAAAAGTATACTACCCTAATAATAAAGAGAAAGTTAATTTTAAATAAAAAAAAAACCTAAATTAAAATATAAAAATAAAGCCTATATAAAAGTTTATTTAAATTTAAAAAATAAAATTAAACTTAAAAATCTTTACTTTACTTTAAATTAATTTATATTATAAAACTTTAAAAATATATATATATAGAATTAATTTATATTAATATATATATTAAAATAACTTAAATACTATTATTAAAGTATAAAATAAAATAAATAAATAAAAACTATATATTATATCTTTATTATAACCTTTAAATACTATAAATTAAATAATAAAAGAATAATAACTTTAATAAAATTAAATAATATATTAATAATCTTTTATTAAAACTAACTTTATAAAAATAAGTTTAAAATAAATCTTTTAAAAATATATAGCTTAAAGCTATATATTATAAGCTTAAAATATTAATAAAACTAAATATATAAAAGATAGTTAAGTAAAAAAACTATTTTAAAATTACTCTCTTTAAAATAAGTATATAAATATAAACTTAATAAAGATAATTATTTAATTTTATTTAAAGTATATATATATATCTAAAAACCTGTAATTATTCTTTATAATTAAAAATATATATATAGTTATACTTATAATAAAAACTTTTAAATAATAATAACTATTATTACTTACTTTAATTTAAAGACTATATAGTTAAATATTACTACTATATTCCTAAATATTAAAAAAGAGATAGAAGCCTATTTTCTATAAATTATTAAATAGATTTAAAAGAATAAAAGTATACTAAACTTAAAAGCCTTATATAAATTAAAAGACTCTTTACTTTTTAATATAAAGAATTTATATTAACTTTAGTTAATTTTAATTTAAAACTATCTCTAAAAACTATATCTTTTATAAACTTAAAAATTAATCTTATAATACTCTTTTATATAGATAATATTCTTATTTTATATCTAAAAAGTAATAAATTAAATTTAAGTATATAAAAATAAAATTAAAGTATAATATAAAGTTAAAAATTAAAGGTTAATAGAGTAATTTTTAAATATATAGATACTTTAAAATAGAGTAAATAGATTATTATATTAATTTATAACTTATATATTAAAAGTTATTTAAAAGTTTAACTTATAAAATAACTTTAAAATCCTTCTATATACTAATAATACTTAAAAACTTTAAACTTTTTAAGGATAAATTTTAAAAGGAAATTAAAGTATATAAAAATAAATAAAGTTTATATTATATACTATAATTATATTATACTTAAATATAGCTTTTACCTATATTAAACTTTTAAAATACTTATAAACCTTAAATTAAAGTATTTTAAAATAGTAAACTATATAATTAAATATTTATATATAACTTAATTTTAAGGATTTAATATAGAGTATAAAGAAATATAAACTTTAATAATTACTAAAAATACTTTATTTATAAATAATTAATTAAATTATAAATCTTTATAAAAGTATATTATAACTTTATTTAAAGATTTAATTTAATAAAAGTAATAAAATAAATAACTATATTAACTTTAATTATAAAAATAAAACTATTAATTTTAAACTTATTATAAAAAATAATAACTTTAAAAACTATTTAAAAATATTTAATTAAACTTAAATAAACTATAAAGAATTTATTTAAATAACTAATAAACTATATAATTAGTAATATATAAGGTTAAAAGACTTAATATTAAACTATAATATATTAATATTTAATAAATATAACTTAAATAAAAATATAAATATAATAATTTTAATATAATATACTTAAAAATATTAAAAATACCTACTAATAAACTTATTAAAATACTTTTATATATTTATTTTAAGTAATTTAAAGCTTATTTAAACCTAAAGAATATATAGGAAATAATAGAATAATAATTAATTTAAAGAGAGCTATAAAACTATATTTTAAGTTTTAAAATACTTAAAAACCTAATTCTAAATTAAATTAAAATCTAATATATCTAAAAACCTATAATTAAAATACCTTTATTAAACTAAACTAACCTTTTAATATATTTAATCTATATAAAATACTAAAAGTATAAATAAAATTAAAAACTATATTTAAAATATATACCTTTAATAGTATTTAAAGATTAAAAAGGGATATTTACTCCTTAATAAGGCTCTTAAGATTATAAAAAAGCTTAATTATAAGAGTTTTAACCTTATTATTAACTTTAATACTATTAATATATTTAAAAGACTTTAATTTAAATATTTAAAAACTAAAAACCCTTCTAATTTTAAAACTAATTATACTCCTTTAAACTATATATAACTTTAAATATAATTTAAACCTTATTATAAATAGTTTTAAGTTTAATCCTTAAAACTATAATAATATTATTTTTATAATAGAAATAAGTATTTTATTAATCTTATTATAAACTTTAATAACTTAAAATATAAAGATCTTTATAAAAATATAAAAGATTTATATTTATTATTACCTTTAAAATAATATAAATAATATATACTATTATTAAAATACTTAAAGTAATTAATTAAATCTTTAAAGTAATTATAAAATAAAAAGTTTATATAATAAATATAAAAATCTTATATATATTACCTTTTATTATAATATTAAATTTAATATACTTTTATAATTAAACTTAATATATTTAATATAAATACTCTTAAACTATTTATTAAGTTTAATAATCTTAATTTATTAATTAACCTTAACTATAATAAAAGTATTAAATAAACTTAAAAATATACCTTTTAAATATATAAAATTATATATTTTAAAAATAACTAATATAAACTTATTAATAATCTTTTAATACACTTAATAATAAGGTATTTAAAAATAGCTTATTATTATTATTAATTATAATATACTTTTAAAGTATTTAAAGTAAAGAGTAATAAGGATTAAAGTAGATTTCTTATACTTACTATCTTTAATAAAAGCTATAATAAATAAGTTTAATAAAATTAATTTTAAAAGTATTTTAAAATAAAAATTAATATAAAATAACCTTAAAAATCTAAATTTAAGATTTATTTTAATAAAATAAAGTATACTATAATAATAAAAATACCTAAAAAAAGAGAATATAATAGTAAAAAAAGAAAGAAAGGTTAAAAATTAACCTATATAAATAACAAAAGGTAAAAAGGCTAATATAAAGCCTATACACATCCAGTAAATAAATAAGTAGAGTAGTAATAAACCTATAATAATAACTATTACTAAAAGGTATATAGAGAATACACCCCTAACCCTAGTTTTAAACCTAATCTAAAGTAACTATAAAAGGCGTTATAAGGTTAAAAGGACTATTATTAAGAGACTTAGACCTTAGACAACTCAATTTACACCCTATAGACCAAATCGTTATTCCTCCACAGGTTTCGGCGATAGATATCCCTGAATCAAGATTTCCGTGACTCCGCTGAAGATTTGGGATTATAAGGGGCTCAAAGCTAGTGGAATCCTCATGGTAAGAAAGCGAACATTTTATACATAGTACTGTGCCAATGGAGACGGAACTCACATACGCGAGGTGACTCACTGTGTTGGCAAGTCTACAGGTGGCTACAGGGTAGACGGCGCGGTTGGTCACCGATGCGGACAAGTTCAGGATGCGTATGAGCCTCCTTCTCACATCAGCATCCACTCAGTATGCGTATCGGTAGGGCTCTGCGCACCGCCCCTGCCCGAACGAGCCGGTTTGTGCGGATGCACACCGATAGCCAAAGTACCTTTGGACGGAGAACGATGGGAGAGGGTAATTGGGAGATTTCCTTTGCCGGAGAAGCAGCGCACACTACGGGTTCTGAAGGAATTCGAGCCTGGGTCACGTCAGCACAATGACAAGAAGGGGATGACTGTTGAATTGGGAAGTAGAGGACCCACATTGAGCCGTCTAAACCGAAGTCAACCACAGTAAAGGAAATCCGAAAACCAGTTTCTGGGATAGCTGAAATCTTGGTAGCATGCAACTTTGGGAATAAGTCATCCATTGCGGATGCAGCGGAAATCAAGAATGAATTACGTTTTCTATGTATGGGTATTATGAACAAGACCACTGAGTATGGCAGGTTTGATAAGGCTGGGGAATGTTTGCTATATGTTAAGCCCATCAAGGGATGGAACACATCACGGCCTCCCGTTTATAGCCATATGGAAGTCCTGGCCAGCCCGGTGATGGTCAGCGCAAGTGATGAGGTTACGAAGATTGTTATGTAACTGTAATCGGCTTCGCAGATGTCGTTCTTTTGTGTCCTCGATGCCTTTGTAGAGGCATTGGCGAAGGCCGTTGTCATCAATCTCCGGGACGTATTCTATCGCCTCCGCCGATAGAATGTGGGCCGGAATATGAAATATTCAGTAATCAACATAGTCAACACTGAAAAAATATGGCGGCTAATATGAAGACAAAGATACAGGTAAAGATTGCTAGTCGCAACGACTAGATGCATCGGGTAATCCATATAGCAAGATTTGTGACTTTAAGGATACAAGTTAATAATGGGCGGTCCCATCGAGACAATCGAAAAAGCGTACGTTAGGAAAAATGTAGTGATCGACAGTCATGACCTCGGTTCCATTATATGAGCCTAGGCCACAAAAGTCGATCTAGGTAAGTAGGTAGGACACTACGCGGTAATAGTAAAGGAGAAGTCCATCTGAGAAGAAGTTTCGAAGGGCTTTTCAGAGCAAGTTGAGTCGTAGTTGAGACGGCAGAGACCGCGAGACTGCAAGAGAGCGATGCAACGTGCCTGGTTGAAAGGAATGTTCTTGACTGCTTGATGAATCGATTTGCCAACTCAGTGAAGGAATTCATAAGGTCTCAAGCGCGGCTGTATACCTGACTAACATGCGGTGTTCAAACACCACGTTGCCAACCACAGCCACATCCTCAGTGAAGCTGGGCGACGCCAGGGCTTTTACTTTGATCATCAAGTTTCGCTCGATCAATGCCATATTCGCCAGGCGCGGCCTCAACATAAACTTGGGAGGCGTCAGAAAGTGCCTGAGATAGAAGCTCATCACATCGCTCAATGTAGAGAAAGAAGGCATAATATTTGAAGTGGATTATCAGAGGGTGGTGCAAAGCCACTACTTCTGGTAAATTGCAACATCCGCCACCATGCGAATCTTGTGAATGCCATCCTCAACCTTATGCCATTGCGACTGACTCAACTCATTCACGATGAAGTCGATTGCCTCGTCCCATTTGTCCTCGTCACGTTGCTGCCAACCACCAACAGGTGTGGCCAGAAATGTCCAGGCAATCGTAGCCCAGCGCTTCAGATCGGCGCCAAGATTCAACCATGCCGTCTTCTCCACGTACTTGACATCCTTCCAACCAGCATCCGTCGTCACCTGCTGAAGCCTTTCCTTCTTGTACCAGCTGTTGGTCAGGAATGGAGCCATCCGTTCTCCCGCTCCACGCGTCTTGTGGTGTGCGTTTTCCAACGCCAGGTGCCACGGCATCTCCTTCCACACAGCAACAGCGGCAGTTCCTCCGGACTGTAGGGTTCGTCGGATGTGCTTTGCAGCCGCAACACTATCGCTCAGCCCGACGAATACGAATGTCGACAAGGAGAGGTTGAAGGTGTTGTCTGGGAAGGTAAGGTTGCAAGCATCCATGTTTTCGATTTTGACAGGACAGGATGGGTTTTCAGCAAGTTTTGCCTGGAGCTGGGCTATAAACATGGGATTGACATCCGTAGCGTGTATTTGAATGTTCTCGGGCGGGTTGGAATTCATGACGGCCATGGTAACAGCACCGTAGCCGCAACCGTTGTCGTGAATGACAGACGATGGGACAATGGGTGGCAAGTCCTCGCGAAGCAGGTCCCGCGCAATGGTATCACTGACGTCGCCCTGGAGCTCCTGAAGAAGGGCGCCATCGAACTTGAGGGCCTGCTTCGGGATGAATGGGGTGGCCATGGTGGATAGTACTTGAGTGGATTGGATTGGACTTTCTGATGAAGAATGGCAGACAAGGCAAAGGGCAAGATTATCTCATGGAAGTGGTGTCCAGAATGTCCTTGATGAATATAGCTACGGCAAACTAAAGGGTTCCATCCTCAGCTTTAAATCCATCATCCCCCCCCCCTTGTGGATCCCGAGGCCTGCTGTGCGCGTAGCCTGTGCGCGTACCATGATATGCAAGGTACTTAAGTACATCCCACCTTTCTGCTTCTGGGTTAAATACACTCGCTTCGTCCGGAGGCCTCTCACTCATTGTTTTTCGGTGAACCACCTACTACCTATTTTTCTGAGTAGTTCCCATGCATTTATAAGTACCTTCTGAGTCAGCGCCAAGACATCTACTGGCTGTTTAACGTATGCGGAATAGAGGCGAAACCAGTTAAGGTATATGCCCCTCCTGGGGCTCCTTCTGCGGCTCCTTCTGGCCTTCAGGTATTCAGTTGGTACTTGAATGCGTACAGACGAGAAGGCCAGAAGGGGTGCCAGAAGGGCTTTGTATCTGAAGTCTCTGAAATTTGGAGAATTACAGTTAGGCTATAGGCTCTGTGCCTCAAAATCTTGTAGCTGGGTGTCTCACCGAAAAACGATGGGTGGGTGGACGCTGGCTCGCGGCGAGGGCCAGTAATGGTCGCTGCCACATCCAACTCCTCTCTGCTTGTTTCGTTCCTCCCCGAGGGTCATGTTGTTGCTGCTGCTGCTACTGCTTACACAAGATGCATAGTGGAAAATTCCTTTGACTCTCCATCCGTCCATGACCGACGGGAAGATACCACCTACAGCACTTACCTGGGTGCATTTATGTGTACCTACCTTCCATGGTGGGAGGCAGGTACATCGGTCATTTCCTTATGTCCTTGGGCAGATACCGAGGTGTCCGTGTTGGTTGCTCTTCGTTCGTCTTTTTGCGAAATTGCATTTCTCTCCTGTTGGTAGTACCAGCCTGTTGTTATCCTCTTTTTTTTTTTTTTTTTGGTTTTTTTTTTTTTCACTCTTCCCTCGCTTGTGCTCTCATTCTCGTTCTCTTGTGTTCCGGCATCGCGCTCTTCTCCGCCAAGCCTGCGTCGACAACTCTCCTCGTCAGTTGCTCAAGTGTTTCCACGACACCACACCACTATTACACCATGGCCAGCTCACCCGTCCCTGGAGATACCAGCTCCTCTCCCGGCGATGTTACCACCAAGGATGGACCATCTATAGCTGAGGAGACAGTCACGCCAGCTGCCACACCCGCCTCTGGGTCGCCACGGTTGGCCTTCTGGGTCATCATCAGCGTTCTATGCACCTGCAGCCTGGTCTCCTCCCTCGATGCCCTGATCATCACGACGGCACTGCCGTACATCACCAGTGCCATTGGAGGCCACGCGCAGTACGTGTGGGTTGCCAACAGCTTCGTGCTCGCCTCCACGGCCGTCCAGCCGCTCTACGCCCAGCTCTCTAACATTTTCGGCCGTCGCAACCCCATGCTCATAGCCATCACCCTCTTCACGCTGGGCAGCGGCATATGTGGCGGCGCCCGGAACATCGCCATGCTCATAGCCGGCCGCACCGTGCAGGGCCTGGGTTCGGCGGGCCTCTTTGTCCTCGCCGACCTGATCGTATGCGACCTGGTGCCGCTCCGGGACCGGGCCAAGTATATGGGGATCGTATCTCAACAGGCACCATCGGGACGACCCTGGGCCCCATCATCGGTGGCGCTATCGCCCAGGCCGACTGGCGCTGGTGCTTCTACATCAACCTGCCGCTCGCCATCCCGGCTCTGGCTACCATGGTGGTCTTCCTGCGTCTCAGGCACCAGCGCGAGCCCACGTGGAAGAACGCCGTGAAACGTGTCGATTTTCTCGGAGCCCTCATCTTCATCCCATCTATGACTGCCCTGCTGCTCGGTCTCGTCATGGGGGGCACTGTGTTCCCGTGGCATACATATCACATTATCGTCCCTATAGTGCTCGGCGTTGTCGGATGGGTTGTCTTCCACGTGCACCAGGCGTCTCCGATATGCAAGGAGCCCAGCGTGCCGCCACAGCTGTTCCAGAACCGCACCTCAGCCACGGGCTACGTCCTCACCTTCCTCTCGGCCCTCGTCCTTAACTGGGTTACGTATTTCCTCCCCTTCTACTTCATGGCGGTCAAACTGGAATCGCCGCTGATTGCCGGTGTCTATGTGCTGCCTTACAGCCTGTTCATGGTCCCATCCGCGATGGCTGCGGGAGTGCTCCTTTCGAAACTCGGGCAGTACAAACCACTCCACTGGGCGGGCTTTGCGCTCACGGCGATTGCGTGTGGCCTGCTCTCGATTCTTGATGCTGGTTCCTCCAAGGCCGCCTGGGTCTGCTTCCAGATCATTGTTGCCATCGGCCTGGGACTTATCTTGACCACAATCCTCCCCGCCATATGCGCGCCCCTCGGTGAGGAGTATGTCGCGACTGCCAATGGCACCTTTTCCTTCCTCAGAAGCTTCGGGTTTGTCTGGGGGATCACACTGCCTTCCATCATCTTCAACGACCGGTTCGACCACTTCGCTGGTCGTATCTCCGATGCAGGCGTCAGGTCGCAGTTGACGAATGGCGCGGCATATAGCTACGCAAGCTCGAGCTTGATCGGGTCGCTTACCGGAAGCCTCCGTAACGAGGTCATCTCCGTTTATACTGACGCTCTCAGAAGTGTATGGCTAGGTGCCGTGGGCTTTGCTGCCTTTGGCTTTTTTCTCGTCTTTGTCGAGAAGCACATCGCATTGCGAACGGATCTGGAGACCAATTTTGGCCTGGAAGAGAAACCTGCTGGTCAAAATGTTGCAAAGCAGGCTAAGGATGCTCAGACAATGTCAGATTCTGCCTAACCTATTCATCACATCACATAGTTTGGATTGGCCGTTGGTACATGTTGAGACGCAAAGTGGATTCTGAGGACATGTTTCCCTTCTTGTCACTATATCTTTCACTATAAATCAAGGAATGGCTACTTAGAACGAGCTAAAATGGCTTCTGACCCAAACCACCCAGTACCGCAAGATTGCACCCGTTGCTTCCAGCTCTTTCTTCATTTTTGGAATTATCCCATCCAAGTCTTCGGGGGATAATGCCGTAGGTACACCCCTCGCTACTTCCACCATCCCCTCGGTAGCGAGACAAAAGCTTGTCGTGCTTTTCTTTGCCAGTTCGATGTTTGGATTCAAGGCTCCCATCCGTACGTCAACGGCTTTCTCCTGAACTGCGACCAATCCATGCTGCTTGAAAATATTCTTCAAGTCGGCGGCATACGCGTCGCCTGGCGCCTTGTTCAAAATGCCTTTGATCAAACGCATGGATGCGCTCAGGGGATTTTCGGGCGCCGATTCAGGCCCCGTCAGATCTGAATCCACGAGCTGTATCCAGCCTCCCGGTTTGACCAACTCGACCAGGCCCGCCACAGCGGTGTGGAGCATATCTCCTGCAGCGAAGAGGCCCAAACGCTGATGGACCAAATCATAGCCACCCTTGTCGGCTGCCGGCCAAGGCTGCGTGTTGGACTGGATGCGGAGTTGCATCCCAGATGGCAGGGTCTCCTCGCTTGGAAAGTTGGCCTGTACTATATCCGTTCCCACTCGTAATCTCGGCGCACATCCTCCAGCCAGTAGCCTGGGCCAACGTTAGCCATAAGATTCATGGGGTGTGGTTGCACGATTTGAATTATTAAAATGAAATGGAGCCATTACCGTCAGCTGTTGCCGAATCCAGGATGCGAAGACCTGGACGCGACATGTCCACATTTGCAAAGATCAGGTGTCCGCCCATCGCATCTTTAATCACGTCGTGCTGCATCCGCAAGCGCTGCGTCTCGGACGGGTTGTCTTGAAGTACGTATTTCTCATTGCCGCTGCTGGATGAAAGCTGTGCCCCCTCCGCACCTGCCGGAGTAGCATTATGAGGATTGTTCATATTGGAAAGAGCGGCGCAGTGCATAGAGCCTGGGGTGGTGAGCAGCGCCTCTCGCCCCTCTTATGTATTCCTTCATCCTCCAGCTGACGGATTACGACACCAGGTGCGGGGTTTTCTAAATCCTTTCCTCCATCCTCCAGCTGGCGGACTATGTATTTAACGCGCCGGGTCGAATAGACTAGGCACGGCCCAGCGCACTAGCATAGGAAGGCATCTTCTAAGAATAAATAGTATTATAAATAATTATAAAATTATTATAAAAAGTCCTATATAGTAAACCTAACTAAATTAATTTTAAAAGATATATTATATATTATTTTTTAAAGACTTTAATTATTTATTTTTAGTTTAATAGTAAAATTAAAAATATATAAATAATTTAAATATTAATATTAATATTTTTAAAAATATTAAATTAAAGATTATAAATTTTATAAATTTTATTCTTTTTTAATATATATATATATATATTAAATTATATTAATTTAAAAAATTATTAAAAAAGTGATTTTAAATAAAACTTAATAATATTAATAAAAATAATATTATATATAATTTAATCCTCTTAAATATAAAGCTAAAAACTTATAATTATAATTTTTAACTAATTTTATTTAATTATTTTATTATATTATAACTTAATCTAACTTTATTTAAATTTCTCTTTAAATCTATTTAATATTTTTTTAAATAAATTAAATTTAAATTAAAACCCTTAAGTTTAAGTTTAAAATTCTTATAAATCTTAATATACTTTAAATTAAGCATAATCTCTTAACTTCTCTAAAAATATATTAACTATCTTAAATAATAATAACTTCTCTTTAAAATAAAAGTCTATCTTTATATAATTATAAGCTTAATTATTAATAACTATTTCTTCTTCTATAAAACTATTAAAACTATAAACCTAAATACTATATATAGTAATAGAGTATAGTTACCTTACCTAATTATCTCTTAGTTTATATAGTAAGCTAAGTAACTACTTTTAAGTAGTTTTACTTATAGAGCTAATAGTCTCTTAAATTTACTAGATAGGTATTTACTTATAGAGTAAAGTTAGAACCCTTAGGGAAATAATAGCTTTTATCTTCACCGATTTCAATTAACTTATATTCACCTAAATCACACAATAATATTATATATAATACTTAACAACATTAAAACTAACCTATAATTTATAATAACTTCAATCTTTAACAAACTAAGTACAACCTAGTATATTAATATAAGAAGGTATCTTCTAATAATAAATAATATTATAAATAATTATAAAGTTATTATAAAATCTTATATAATAAACTTAATTAAACTAATTTTTAAAAATATATTATATTTTATCCCTTTAAAATCTTAATTATTTATTTTTAACTTAATAATAAAATTAAAAAAATATAAATAATTTATATATAATTTAATTTATTTATTATATTATATATAAAAATAAATTTTAAAAGTTATTTATTATTATTATTATAGTTTATATTTTTCTTTTAAATATAAAGATAATAGATTTATAATTATAATTTAATTTAACTTTATTTAAACCTTTTTAAACTTATTTAATATTTTCTTTTAATTAAGTTAAAAGTTTAAGTATTTTAAGCTTAAATTTAAGATTTTTATAAATTTTAATTTACTTTAAATTAAACTTATAATTTCTTAACTTTTTTAAAAATATATTAATTATTTTAAAAATAAGAAATTCTCTTTAAAGTAAAGATCTACCTTTATATAATTATAAATCTAGTTATTAATAATTATTTCTTCTTTTATTTATAGATTATTAAAACTATAAACTTAAATATTATATATAATAATAAAGTATAGTTACCTTACCTAATTATCTTTTAATTTAATAGTATAATAAGTTAATTAACTACTTTTAAATAGTTTTACTTAATAGATATTTACTTAAGTAGAGTTAAAACTCTTAAAGGAAGAATAACTTTATTTTTACTTATTTTAACTAACTTATATTTATACTTAAGTTATATAATAATCTTATATATAATACTTAATAGTATTAAAATTAAATAGCTTATAGTTTATAATAACTTTAACTTTTAATAGATTAATTTATATTAAAGTTAATAATATTAACTTAAAATAATATAACTTTATCTATTAATATAAAAGATATCTTTTAATAATAGATAATATTATAGATATAATAGATTATAAAGTTTTATAAAAAGTTTTATATAATAAACTTAATTAAATTAATCTTTAAAAGATATATTATATTTTATCCTTTTAAAACTCTAACTATTTACTTTTAATTTAATAGTAGAATTAAAAAATATATAAATAGTTTATAGTTTATATTTTAAATTAAGGAATAACTTATTAAAATAAGGTAGAGGAGTTTCTAAACTTACACTATTTAATATTAAAAGACTATTATTTAATAAGGTCCTGTGTATTAATTGAGACCAACCTTAAAACTATCCTATAGTAACTTTGCTTCTTTAGGTATCTGGACAGTCGGGAAGTCAGTTTTCCGCGGGTGTCTTTTTTGTCCGCACGCGCAAGGCTCTCTCTTCGCAGATCGCCCCCAGGCTTCTGCCAATCTACACCCCCGTCATCCACACCAAGCTAAAGAGACTATTCGCCGAGCTTCTCACCATCAGCGAGGAAAGATTTGGTCAATGAAGAGTCTGGATAATAACTGTGGTCATACGGTTGTGATGCAGATGCCAATCGTGGTAAAAGAAGCTTTGCTCGGGGCATCCTTTGGGAAGGTGCTAGGTACTAGTAGTAGCTTATGAGAAATGTGGTCCAAACTGCCGTCCACTCAATCGCTGTACGGACATGTGATGTGTGAATGAGAGCGAAGCTCTGAGGCAGTAGGCAGCTACGGAGGCCCGTCTGCAAGGGAAAGGCTGTCGCAGCCTAGCTCATACCTCACACACACCCACTAACATATCGCCCGGTAGCGACGAGAGCCTCCCACACGCATATGCTCTCTCCTCACTGATATGGGATGCGGGTCATCATTGCCACTCTCCCATCGCGAGAGCCATGACTGCCTCCGCCAAAGCACGTCCGTCGAGCGCCATCGCGACTACTTGCCGTCCTTGGTCTCCTTCTTCCCAGGCCGCTTCAGCAATATCTCATCCACGATCCCCATCTCCTTCGCCTCGTGTGCCATCAGGTAGCGATCCCTCTCCATCATATCGTTGACAGTCTGGGCGTCGTACTTGTCAAACCCAAAGGACAGGTTGAGGTGGCGGCGCACGATGTCGTTGACCTGGGTGCGGATGCGCTGGATCTGGGTGGCGTAGATGACAATGTCGGAGGCCTGGCCCTTTGTGCCGCCCAGGGGCTGGTGGACCATGACGGAGCTGTGCGGCAGGGCGTAGCGCTTGCCGGCCTCGCCGCCCAGCAGCAGGATGGCGGCCATGGAGGCGGCGGCGCCGACGCAGACGGTGGACACGGGCGGCTGGATGTAGGACATGGTGTCGTAGATGGCCAGGCCGGAGCTGATCTCGCCGCCGGGCGAGTTGATGTACATGGTGATGGGCTTGTCGGGGGCGTCGGACTCGAGCCAGAGGAGCTGGGCCACGATGGCGGCGGAGACGGTGTCGTCTATGGGGCCGTTGAGGCAGACTATCCGTTCCTGGATTGGGGGGCAGTAGTTGTCAGCTGGGATGGGACATTCTCTTGCATGGTCGATGGCATGGGTGAGAGGGCTTGGAGCTGGCTGCGCACCTGTAGTAGCTTGGAGAAGATGTCGGCTGGTTCAAGTCCACGCGTCAGCAAGGGTCGTCGTCGAGCGAGCGAGGCGACGGCAAGGGGCGGGAGAGAGACGCACATGTCCTCCAGCCACCAGACTAAATGAATCAGCGGATGCCACGGGGGGATGCCGAGCTGGCTGGGGCGTGCTCAAGGCGTACTGTGACTTCTGTGATGTACGGCATTGGGATCGAGGCCGCGGGGCCCTGTCGGCTGGGCATCTGCGACAAGTTACGCCTCCGCGCAGCTGTGGGCGCAATACCCCTCAAGAGGCGCCATGCTGCCCGTTGGGTGTTCATGCCCGTTGAATGTGCCGTTTCGTAGCGCTGGACCACGTCGTGGAGGGTGGTGTCGTGGCCGAAAAGGGAGCGATTGATGCGGCTGACGAGGTCGGTAGCCAGAATGAGGAGGTGACGTCGGGTTCGGAGCCGCGGCGGGCAGCTCACCCATGCACAGGAGCTCCACCCAACTCTCCTTACCCGCGCCCGGCACCGATCTTTTAGTCCCCAAGCACAATCTTATCCATCGCAGACATCCATCTCATTCAACACCCACCCGGAGAACCAACCAGCTTGCCACGCCTCGAGTTGCAGGTCGGCCTCGAAGCAAGATTGCACTGCTCCACCACTTTGGAGCAATGAGAGGCTGTATTAGACTGCATCGCAGTCTTGGCCTGGCTGGACTCGACCTCTCCCGTCCCACAGCACAATTTTACTCCACAAAGCGTGCATCCGCTGATGCAAAGCCAGCGTCTCGAAAGAGAACGCCGCCCAGGGAGGCCTCGGGGAAGCCATATGCAAAGTCAACCAAGGCATTGCGCGGGAGCAGGCTGGACCGGGTGCCAGACGACAATGAGCTCGGCTATGACCAGTGGGCCTGGTCCGAGGTGAACCTCGACGACAAGACCATCCAGACGCCAGCGGGAAACCTCCCCATTTCACCACTTCTAGACCCGGCATGGCGGGAGGCCAGACAACGAAAAAAGACAAAGGCAACCCCAGACAAGAAATCCCATAACCGCTTCCAGCGGCAGCTGCGCCAGAATCCCTATGGTATGTGGTGAAGTTAGATTTTCATGTGTCTATCTCTCCTTTTCTTCTTGGCGCGATCTGGTTGCTGGTCATGCGGCTGACCAACCGCAGCCCAACTGCTGGCCACTCCTGTCCGATTGTGCTCTGCCACCCGGACACACCTGCCCAAGGCCATGCTGCAGGCTTTTGGTGTGGTCAGGCATCCCGAGACAAACCAAGTCTGGTGGCTCCCTGAGGGTCTGGACGCGCCGCGCAAGCCCTCGAGCAAGATGCCTGACGAAGCTGAAGAGACTGACGAGCCTTCACCAGAAGTTCCCGAGGATGGGCCTAGGGACAGATCAACTGGGACCCACAACAAAAATGGCCCAGCTGGCTCCTCTGACAAGCAGGCTGCGTATTCTTACCCGATGAATGCGCTCGGGCGTCAGGACCTAATAAAAGGCTTCTCCACGCCGGGCAACTTGTACTTCTCGGGTCATAAGAGAATAGCCGGCATGCCCAGCGCACCGCCCCAGGCCAAATCTGCCGTCTGGCGTGTGGATATGGACGGGGTGATTCTCGACCAGAGACGCCGGCAGATCATGGAGGATCTCCTCCACCTTTGCACACTCTGCGAGGAAAACGGCAGGAGATACATCATCAGGATCACTGACGCCAAGTACTCCGCTACTTACGTCCACCGCGCCGCCTTTCTCTGGCTGGGAGAGGACACCGCGTCAGGGTCTCAACAGAACGACCAGGGGCTCGACGGCAAGGCAGACAAGGCAGAGGTTGACCCTGAACAATACGCAACCCTTGACATTGACGGCGACCCAACCACCACACGTCCTGTGTACAACTTGCCAAGACTTCTGGGCCCGGCTAATGTCGCTCGATTACGAACAGAATCCAGCCTGCTCAGGGATGGGTCGCTTTTCTTGCTGAGGAGCCAGCGGAGCGGTCCTGTGAATAAGAAGCTGTGGAGTCTCCAGGGGTACATGGCCACTTACAGTTAGCTGCGACAATCGTCTGCTAGCTGGATAGATCTATCGGGGAACATACTTGACAGCGAAAGCCGGCCATGGTGAAACCAGCCGGAAAATCGCAGGGTGCTCAAGGATGCTCTCCGTCCCTCTTACTTTTCCTGGCCAGGCAGCCGTCCGATCCGAGGCTGATGCTTGCACCCGCCCCGCCCCGCGTGGCCTGATATGCATGATCCTACCTAGGTATGGCCATGCGGCAGACCACATTTAAATCTGATCAACCCGCCTGTCAGACTCGTTCCTGGCACTTTCACCTCAATCGCGGCTTCAATCATGACAGTCCCAAAACCAGTCATTGTCTTCGTGCCCGGCGCCTTCAGCCGGCCCTCCGACTTCGATCTCGTCTCAGGCCCGTTACGCGAGGCTGGCTATGAAGTCCACGTCGTCCACCACCCCTCGTCGCCCGACGTCCTCGTCCGGCCGACGCCTAGTATGTACGACGACGCAGAGAACATCCACCGCCTGGTGGAAAAGCTAGCCGACGAGGGCAAGGACATCATCATAGTCATGCACTCCTACGGCGGTCTCCCGGGAACACAAGCCTGTGAGGGCCTGAGCCGCCGCGAGCGGCGGAAAGCTGCCAAGCCGGGCGGCATCGTGCGTCTCCTCTACGTCGGGGCCGCAATCGCGCCGGTGGGCGCGTCGATGGCTGGGGTCCTGCGCACTACGATGCCGCTGCCTTCGGTCGAGGCTGCCGATGGAAAGCCGTCCCTATGGACGTCGGTCACCATTGCTATGGGGGGCCTGATCCCCTTGTCGTGGACGGCGTGGCTGTTCTCACACTCCTCACTGGCTGCGTCCGTAGAAGGACTCTGGGCATATAACCGCAACCCGGAGATCTTCACCGACTGGCTGCTCGCCGACATGCCGCGGGAGGAAGCCCTGGGGTATGCCTCGATGTCTTCCTCGGTCGCGCAGTCTGTCAAGTCCACTGTGACCCCCCTCACCTACGCTGGGTACAAGCACATCCCGTGCTCGTACTTTCTTACGCGGCTGGATCGTGTCAACCCCCCCGAGGCTCAGCGAGGGTTCATCGAGCTTGTGGAGAAGGAAAGCGGGGCTCGGGTTGACGTCCATGAGTACGAGGTGGGACATTGTCCTCAGCTGACCCGACCGCTCTGCGAGGTTGAGTGTGTGAGGCGGGTGGCTGAGAATATATAGGGTGTTATTTATTCACCGAGGTCATTACATCCCAATTCTTAGGCCTTGCCTTCGGGTCTATTATCCTCACGAGGGCCTGGACCGCGAGATGAGAGGAGAACAGCATGTTGAGACGAGCCTGGCTAGTTTTTGATAGCGAGTCAACTCCCTCGCAACGTTGAATCCCAGCCCTAACTTGAACATCATGTTCCTACCACCTGCGTTATTATTGGCAGCACATGCCCAATTCTGGAACCATTGCAGTAATTAATTATAGAGGCAGCACACAGAGACCCGACGTAAGGATAACGTGCAGCCCGCCATCCCAACCCCGCGTGCAAAGAAGCCCCCCCCCAAAAAAAAATATTGAAGAGAAAAAACAAAACAGGAAACCCCAAAATTGCCAAAATCCAAACTAGCACTTGTGCTTGCCCATAGAAATCAGGCCCGGCCCCACATACGCGCAGCAGAGGTCCTTCTCCCTCTGGGCGTGCGGCGACGCCTGCCACATGGCGTCGATGACACACCCCGAGTACCGGGGCGCGATAGCCCAGAAGGTCAGCACGACCCCGGAGCCCCAGTGCATGCACTCCCACTGCTCGATGGACCCGCAGTGGCCGCGCAGGTTGTCGAGGGCGCCCTTGCCGCACCCGTCGGCCTCCTGGCCCCACCCGTCGAGCCACAGGCCGTACCGGCCCGCGAGCATCACGTCGGACCCGGTGAAGCAGAGCGAGAGGCGGCCTTTTGCCCAGCGCTTTTCGGCCCCCGCGGCGGTGTCGTCGGTGGTGTCGGTGTCGTTGGGGGGGAGGAGGCGGTCGAGCTCCTCGCTGTAGAGCCGTGCGAACTCGCCGTCGTCCAGGGTGAGGGTCGGCTCCGGGGGGCAGTCGGTCGCGCTCGCGAAGGTCGTCACCGTCATCGTGTCCGGGATCACGGTCGGGGCGCCGGCCCCGCCTCGCAGGCCGCCGTACTGGTTCTCGGCCATGAGGCTCGCGGCGGCGGACGCTGCTTCTGACACGTCGGCGGCTGTGGCGAGGGCTCTGGCTATCGCGAGGGGGGTGGTGTCTCCGAGCGCGCCGCCGCCGCCCATGCAGGCCTGCTCTGTCACGGTGGCGGTGGCGGCTGCGGTGGTCGGGTCTCCTGCCTGGTCGGCCGCCGTGGCCATCGTGGCGATGGCCAGGAAGACGAGGAGTTTCTGGATTGCGGTTTTCATTTTCTTTTCTCCGTGACTGTGGATGATGGGTTGACTTCCAGGCTTCCGAGGTTGTTTTGGGAGGCCGGAAAGAAAGTATGTCTCTGCGAACGGTTTGAAAACAGGTCAGGGCTTCTGTTCCCGTGGCAGGAGAACTAACGCAGGCAGAAAGCGGGATTCGTCTTTTAATTGGGTGTGGTTGGGTGTTGGCCAGCACGTTGGTAATCCTACCAAAGAAAGAGCGAAGGAGTCATTGTGTCAGCTGGAGAGTCCTGGGGTTAAATAATGGTGATGCTGGCAGCCTGGAGCATTGAGGTGACTCAATACAGACATCTGGTCTGGGACTCTCTCAAGATCACTCTACTCCAGCATTTGGGTTACATTGTGAATCTGTGACAATACGTCCTTGCAGACAATTTTTGTGGAGTCGAGTTTTCAAGAATAGATTATTACATGTCGCTCACAGCCTCGGTTCCATCAAATAGCCGCCAACCAAGCCAACTTGCAGCCAACAGAGGCATCTACACCCCAGCAACCAATCACATTCACTTGCTTATCAGACCAGGGCATGGAACTGTTGCATCTATCAGGGCGCGGGCGTGTATTCAAAGCAAGGGTCCATTTAGAATGAATCGTCTCATCGTTGACCAAGCAGCTTCGTATGAGAAGGATGCCCTCTAATTTCTTTCACAGTGCTGGCGTTGCCGACCTTTGCCAATAGCTACCAGGGTTCAAGGCGTCCATTGATAGGGGCTTGACACACCTATGTAACTACACATCTGCACAGCGAAGTATACGGCATAGTGTTGAGACTGACATGAAAACAAAAAAAGGTAAATCTCGACTTGAAATCTAACATGAGGAAATGCTCCTTTAAGACCGTCATTGTCTCCGTCTTCGTGTGGTTCTCGGTTACTACCGTGATCTACAACGAACGAGCTCCACGCCAATCCGCGTACGTACGAGGCGGGAGCCTGTATTCAGCTGCGCACTGAGCAGACTGCTAGTCAAGTCGACCGCGTGCAAGCGCCGCGGGTGGCTTAGAATTTGTTGGTGTGGCTTTGACTGAGGCCGTCTTGTTATTGGTGCAAATATCATGGTGGCTGTGCCAAGGCACTCTCTCCTGTTGATGGGGTTTGTAAGAAGTGCAACTACCGGCTTATTCTACTTCGGTTATCGATATACACAGCCTCAATTGCGGCCAAAGGGCAGGTCACATTGACACCTGCGGTAATCTGTTGTCGCGATCTTGAAAGAGTACCAGTCCTGAAGGGGACCGGGCATCTTCCACAGCTCCTATTGAAAGGTCCGGCATTCAACGAGCCCACACTGTGAGAATCATTCAAAGATGCCCGATGAAACCGTGTCAGATCAGCTCTCCGCGCAGGGAGACACCCGCTCAACGCAACCTCCAGCAACGCATTTCCCAGCGCCGCTCCTACCACTTTCAATCTCATCGCGTCCGGTGGAACAACAGCCTCCCAAGACCTGCACCCGGTGCCGAAAGCGCCTGTGGGGCCAACGCCTTGACACAGCGGTCAAGGTCTTCGGCATCCTGGCCTTCCTGCTGTCGTGTGCGGCGCTGTGCCCCAGCATCTGCGGCCAGGAGGACACACACAGGGCGACGCAGTTGGCTGAGTGGGCGGCGCTAAAGGACTTCATTGAGTACTGCGAGAGCGTAGGTCCTGAGTCCTACTTCCCATTTTCTAGCCTCTATGATCACCCTCATCCGGGCGAAGATGCTAATTGGGCTCGACATCACAGCACGGTTGGCAGAGCGATGGATGTGATGGAGTTAGGAATGTGACTTTGCCTCGCCCGCCTGAAGGCCATGGGCATTTGCGGCGTTTCTTTGAAGGCGGCAAACGGATTTCAGTTCCATGATATATCCGAGTCACGGTCTTTCAGTTCTTGTATCAAGTGAGGAATGAGACTGTATTCAAATGTTGCAAGTGCAAACGCTGAGCAACGAATGTTTCAAGTGACTTTTTTGACCGTAAATTATTCACACTGATCGTTCCATATCATGCCCTAGGGCACTTTCGAGGGTGAGATTTGCCAATGGTATTGGTTCACCTGATCATGCAATTGTAACGTAATTGAGACGGAATTGCTCAAAGACATCCTGCGGGCGAATGACCCACCTTCCGAAGATGAACTGTTGAAACGTATGGTGGACATTTGTTGAGAAGGGTGACACGTTAGCTTTTGCACCTCTCTCATTATCTCTGTTATCAGACAGAATCCATGCGAGGCGAACAGCCTACCGTGGAGACATAGATGTCTCGTTGGTTCGCAAGATCCAGCAGCTCTCACACCCTATCCTCGTGGAAGCGAGAGAACGAGCCTCCCGCTAACCTCAGGCCATCGACGTGGCAAACCGACCTGACAGCCAATAATTTATGTAAGTGCCCCGAGGACCTTCTTGAATAGCGCATATTTTAGACATTCGTAAGAAAAGACAGCGACATTTTGCGTACCTCGCTATCTGACGAATAATTCTCTTAGGATGCCGAGCATCAGGGTTCCCGGATCTCATTCACACGATATTTTGGCTTTGGGTTTCAAGACATAGTGCTCATTGTATCCGACGAAGTCTAGAGCTCTAAACACCCTGGGATTTTGACATCTGGAATATGAGGCCTTGACTGGATGGTAGTCTATCCAGTGAGTGATCAAAAGTAACTTCTACATCTATCCCATTACCTACCACTGCCTCCCAAGATATTGTTCCGTTTGAAACAAAAACAGACACATGCAACAGAAAGTGGGCAAGGAACTACAGCCAGTCAGAAGGAGGTGGCAGTATGGGCCTGGAGCGGCAATGCGGAAGTAGCAGCCATCGCCGCTGCCGTCAACTGGTGCTGGGTAAACACCTACCACCAGGGAGATGACGGACTGTGTCTCTGCCATTCTACGATCCTAAACACACACACGCACACAAAGTGGTCCATTCTGTATTTCATTCTGAATTCAACAGTTTTGAGCGTTTTTTGCGGCCGCCATCTTAAAGCCCCGACAATAGCAAGGCAACTGATCAACTCGAGCATCATGGTAAAGGGATCCCTACGGCCTGCACGTTCACAGAACTTGAAGGAGAGAACCCGCAGCCGATCTAATATACCGATCACGGTACGTCATTTGATCTCCACAGCTACACATTTGCTCCCATGTATTTCCAACGCGGCACGAGCTCAACTGACCCTGCCATGCAGCCTCGAGAGGGCCACAGCAGGTGGACCAAGGCGGAGCGCGAGTACCTGGTGTCCGAGCGCATGAAAGATCCGCCTACCCCTTGGGATGACATTGTCAGGGTTGGTCACTTCTTTTCTTTCTCATCCCATCTTCTTGGAGAGACCTCGCTCCCTCCGGTATCCGGTATTCAGCGACTGGGTAAGGTGTGACAATCTCTGAAAAAGAACATTGATGGTAGAGATTCAAAGTCGACGGCTATGTGCGACACAACGTGTCTAACTGCCAGGAGGCGTGGGAAAAACACATCAGAGACTCCCAGCCCGTCAGGAGCTCTCCACGTCTCAACCGCCTGAAGGAGAAAGTCGACAAGGCCAAGTCTGAGTCTGTCGAGGCCAAGCCTGAGCCTGTCGAGGATGAGCCCAAGCCTGTGAAAGACGGGACTGATCCTGTCAAGCTTGTCAAAGAGTCAGAGTCTCCCAAGAAGGGCAAGCGTGCCGTCGAGGAGGATGACGACGGAGACTCCGAGCCTGCTTCGCCTGCAAAAAAGGCCCGGTCTGTCAGCAAGTCCAAGGCTGTATGAAAGTCCGAGGCTGCCATCAACCGGGCAAAGGACCACGACTCCTGATCACGGCTACTTTGGTCAAGCCATCCAGGAGCATATAAGTATGGCTGCATTAGCCGCTTCCTCGCCCCATTCGAGTTCAGTTGAAAAGGAGTTCTTGTCTTTGTTGGGCCAAAAGGAGGTTGATGGAAAGTGTTTACTCTTGCAGAGGAAACATGGATTGTTGGAAGACGCATAAGACCACATGGTAAGACGGAAATCACTGATAAGAGTCAGGCATAAGAGAATCACAATCCCACACTCAGAATACAAAATCAAGCCGATAACACTACACAATCTTGGCATGTGCCTCAAATGGGGTTGTAGGACTCCCGAGGTCGGAGTACTTGACGCCAACTCCAAGCAGGGTGGCATGCAGGGTCACATACACTCGACAATAACAGCCGAAATCCCCGCAGGGGTTACCCATTGCCGCTCCACTCCATTTCCCAGCATCTCTCAACATCCACACCGGCCGATAATATAATATTAGTGTTATAGGTTAGTTATACTAATATATATCTTACCCCATACCCACATATTAGAATACTAGAATTTATAAGGAATCTAATATTTAAAAGTATAGATAATTAAGTTATTAATTAAAAGAATTAACTATTAAAGGGTACCTATAGAAGTATAGTTTTAATTACTTATAGAGCCTATTTATATAATTAATTATAAATTTATATTATTTCTTTTTTTAAATAAACTATCCTTAATCTATTTATATAAATTATATCTTTTAATAATACTAATTAGAATACTTTTAAAATTTTATTTCTTTTAATTTATTAAATTTACTTTTATTAATTAAATTAAAATAATATAATAATAATATACTTTAAGGTTTAAATTTTAATTTAAATTAATTTAAAAGATTATTAAAATAAAAATATAAAGTATTTATATTTTAATAGAGATTTAGTTTTATTATAATAGAGAGTTTTAAGTTTAAATTTTAATTTAAATAATTTTTTTATTTTTTAAATTACTTTTATTTTAATTTAAAGCTTAATTATTAAATTTAATTAAATTATTTAAATTTAAAAGTTTTATATAATTAATAAAATATTAATAGATAAATAATAATAATTAATAATAGTTAATAAAACTTATTAATTAAAATAGTTATTTAATTTATTTTTAATTATATTAATTTAGTAATTTATCTTTTATTTCTTTTAAATATTATTTTATTAATATATTATAAACTTTTATAGAATATTTATTACTAATATATATTAAAAAAGGTTTATATTATTATATTTATTTTAAAAAATTTTATTAAAGTTTTAAAGAATATAAATATTTTTAATATAATAAATAATAATTATTTATAAGTTATTATAAAAGAGTTTATATTTATATATTTATTAATATATTTATAATATTTAATTATTTAAAGTAAAATATAAAAAAGTTTTATTTTTAAAAAAGATATAAATTTAATTTTTAATATTTTGCTTAATTATATAATTCTTATAATTAATACTTTATAATTAATTATTAATTATTTTATAAAACTTTTTTATTTTATAAATTTTTTATATAAGTAATATATAATTTATAAATTAAAAAATATTATTTTAAAAGAAAGTAAAGGTTATAATTATAAAACTTTAATATATAATTATATAGTATAATTATTTATTAAATTAAAACTTAAATATTATAATTAAAGTTAATTAATTATTTATAAAGAATTATTTTTTAAATTATTATTTATTTTTAATTTTATTATTTTTTTAATTTATTAAATATAATTAAGTATAAATAAAAACTATAATAATAATATTAATTTATAATAGCTTTATTTATAAAATAATTTATATTATTTAAAATTTATTTTTAAAGCTTTAAAGATATTAATAATTTTTATTAATATAAATATAGTTTTATAAGTTATATTAAATATAATTTTAACTTTAATTTAATTAATAATATATTTAATTATTATAAAATAAAATTTTATTTATAAATATAAAGTTAATTATTTAATAAGTTAAAGGTATTAATAGTATAATTAAATTAAAGTTAGAAAGTATTAAATAAAAGATTTTATTAATTAATATTTTTATATTTTATAATTATTTATTATATAATAAAGGTAATCTTTAAATATTAATATTTTTAAATATTTTATAAAGAGTATTTTTAATTATAGTATAATTATAATTAAAATAAAGTTTTTAATAATTATTAATAAGTTATTAAATTTAAAAATTAAAAGGAGGAGAGTTACTAAAGGAGTAACTTTTATTTTATAAAAGGGTCTTTTAAAGAGTATTAATAAAACTAAATTTTATATAAGTAATTATTTAAAAATAAAATATTTCTTTATTTATTTAAATTAAATAACTTTAAAAATTAATTTTTATAAAGATATTTATAAACTATTTATAGATTTATTTTATTAAGTTAATATAGTTTATAGATTTATTTTAATAAATTCTTTCTCTTTTTTATTTAAAAATAGAAAGTAATATTTTAAAACTATATTTTTAAGTAAATAAAATAAATAATTTATAAAAATATTAATTTTTAATATAATATATAATATAGATTCTATAATATTTTATAATATTTAAAAGTATATAATTTAAAGAGGTTAATTTATTTTAATATTAATAATTTTAAGAATTTATAATTTATTAAAATTATAATTTTAATATTTTAAATTTAATAGAATTAATATTATAAAGTTAATAGAATTTTAAATAGTTTTTATTTTTAAATAGAGTATTATATTTATATATTAATAAACTTTTAAAAAGTATAAAATTAAATATAAAATAGATTTTTAATTATAAAATAAAATTATAAAAATAATATTAATATAATATTTATTTATATTAAACTTAATTATAAAGAGTAATTATTAGTTAAAAGTTTTTATAATTAAAAGTTAATAATAATATTTTTAATTTTATATTATTATTTTTATACTTTTTTAAAAATATAATAACTTAATTTTTAAAGTTATTAATATAGTTTATAAAAGTATTAATTTATTTAAAATAGTTATTTATTAAATTATAAAGATATTTAATAGTATTAATAAAGTTATAAATTTTAATTATAATTATTAATATAAAATAGTTATAAATAATAATAACTTTTATTAAATTAATAATAATATTATTTTTAAAATAAAAAATTAAAAACTCTTTATTTAATAAATAAATTAATTTTAAATATATTTAAAATAAAATTATAAATTATTAATTAAGTAAATATAATTAATATATATTTATAAAGTTATTTTATAATATTTATTTAAATAATAATATTATTTATTAAATTATATATAAACTTATAAAGTTTATAAAAACTTTTAATAAGTTTTAAAATATAATTAAAATATTATAAAACTAAATAATATTATTAATTACTTATATAAATTAAATAATATAATAAAAGTAGTTTTTTATAATTTTAAAATTTAATTAAATATATTAAAATTATTTTTAAATTTATAAAGATATATTATTTATAATTTATTATATATTAAATTTAATTTATAATATTAAATATAAAATATATATATTTTTAATATAATTATTTAATTAATAATAATTATAATAAAAATATTAAATAGTTTATTTAAGTTAAGTTTTTATATATAATTATAAACTTTTTAAATATAAAATAAAAGGGTAAAATTAAAGATTTTTACTTTTATAGATAAATATACCTTTATAAATTTTAATAAAATTATATATAATTTACTTTTATAAAAATTAAATTATTTAAAAAGAAATAAAAGGTTTATAATTATTTATATTAATATAATAAATAATTTTTAATAAAATATTTATATAATATTATTTTTATTAAATAAACTAAAAACTTTAAAGTATATTTTTAATATAAATAATAACTTAAGGATTATTTATAAAAGTATTTAAATACTATTTTAAAGGTAGAAAGAAGAGTTTTAATATTTAAAATATAATTTTATAATTAAAAGCTTTAATTTATATATTTTAAAAATATTAATTTAAATTAATTAAAAATAAATAAATAAAATGTTTTATTTTATATATAGTATATTATTTATTAATAAAAATTATTCTTTTAAAAATAAGTTTATTTAAAAATATATTATTAAAAACTACTTTATAAAAATTATAAAATTCTTTAAAAGTTTATTAATTATAATAAATTTTATAATAATAAAAATATTTTTATAATTAAAAATTAATATTATTAATATTATTTATTTATATAAAATTTATAAAAGTATAATTTAAACTTTATTATTAAGAATTTAAAGTAATAATAAATTTAAAAGTTATAATTAAAAAAGTATAAAATTATAATTATTAATAAGTTAAATATAAAAAGATTATAAAGTATTTTTATATTTTTATAAAGTAGTTTATTATAAAAAATAAAGAATTATTAATATTTACTTTTATATAAAAGTATTTTAATAATTTTAATTTTTAAATAAATATTATTAAAGATTTTCTTTAAAAGGTTTTTAATTTTATTATTATTTTTATATAAAAGTAAAGTTATAATATTCCTTTTTTATTTAAAGTTATTTTTAATAAAATAAACTTAAATATTTCTTTTTAAAATTTACTTTAAAATAACTTTAACTAATTATTTTATTATACTAATTTATAATTATATTATATAATTAATTAAATAAATTAAGTTATTTATTATTATAAAGAACTCCTTTAAGGGTAATATTTTAATTAATTAATAAATTATAAATATTTTTAAAGAAAATAAATTTAACTTTATAATTTTTTATTTAATAATTTTATTTATTATAATTAAAATAAATATTATTTTTTTAAATTATAGTAATATAGGATTATTATTTATTATTTATATATTATAAGTTAAATCTTTAAAAATAAAGTAAATAATTTATTTATTAATTTATAAATTAAAATTATTAATTATATTAATATAATATTAATTAATTTAAGTTATATAATTTTAACTTTTAATAATACTTTAATTAATTTTATATAATAAAAGAATAATTATATTATAAAGTTAAACTATTATTTTAAAAGTAATAAAAATCTTTTATTTAATTACTTTATTAATATAAACTTTAATATATTTAATATATTTTTTATAATTATTATAGTTATTAATTAAAATAATTTATTAATAATTTTAATATAAATATTTAATTAATTAATAAAGATTTTCTTAAATAAAATAATATAAATTATTATAAATTACTACTATAAAAGTAAAAGCTTAAAGAAAGTATTTTAAAAATATTAAATAAAGTTAATATATAATTATTTTTATAAAATAAAAAATTAAAAGAGTATAACTTAAAAATAAAAGGTATTATATTAATTTAAAATCTATATAATTATTTTTATAAAAATAAATTAATTTAATTTATTAATAAATATTTATTTAATAAGATTATTAAAGTTATTTAATAGTTTTATAAAAATTTTATTTAATTATAATTTATAAAGATTATAAAATATAAAGTTAAACTTATATTTTTAAATTTATTAAGAATAAAAGTATTTATAATATTAAATTAAAGGTTTTTAAAAGGAAACCTTTTATATTAAAAGGCTTTAAGAGAGTTAAATTTATTAAATAGAATTATTATAAAAAAACCTTTTATAAATAAACTTTTATTAATATAATAAACTTATAAAAGATTATATAATTAATATTAAAATTAATTATATTATTTTTATATTAACTTTAAAAGTTTAAAGTTATTAAAAGTTTATTATTAAGAAGATATAAATTAATTAAAATAATAGTTTTATTTACTTTATTTAATATAATAGAGAATTATATTTTATTAAAGTATATAATAATTAAATTAAACCTTTAATTAATATAATTATTTTAAATAATATAAATTATTTTAATAACTTTAAACTTAATATTATATTTTTATTTAATTTTTAAGTTATTATTTATAGTTTTATTAAATTAAAAGAAATAAATATTTAAAGTATTAAAGGAGTTTATAAATTTAATATATTAATTAATAAGCTTTTAAAGTACTTTTTAATTATAAATTTATTAATATTAAATTTATAATTAATAAATATTTTTAAAAAGTTTTATTAAATTAATTTTATTAAATATTATAAAATATTAAATAAAAAAATTAATTAAAATAAAAAATTAATATAAAATAATAAAACTAATATTTATTAATATATTTTTAATTTAATTATAGATTAATTATATTAATAATAGTAATATAAAAGAAAAGTATAATACTTATTATTAAAACTTTTAATTAACTTAAGGACTATTTATTTATAAATAATAGTTATTAATAAATAAATATTATTATTATTTAATTTAATAAATAAAGTTCTTTTTATAATTATTATTATTATTAAAATAATTTAACTTTATATAATTAAAGTATAAATATTTATTTTAAGTTAAATAGTAATTAAATTAATAATTACTTAAAAGTATATTTAATAATATTAAAATTAATTATAATTATTCTTATTAAATATAAAGGTAAAATAAAGTTCTTTTAATAAAAATAATTATTTTTATATATCTTACTTTATACTTATATATTAAAATATTAGAATTTATAAAGAATCTAATATTTAAAGGTATAAGTAGTTAGGTTATTAATTAAAAGAATTAGCTATTAAAGGGTACCTATAGAAGCGTGGTTTTGGCTGCCTGCAGGGCCTGCTTACATAACTAACTACGGATCCACACTGATACTTGAGTACCTACCTAGGTACCTGGGTACCCACTCTTAGTCGGCCCCGAGGCCGGACAGGCTGCAGGCAGGCTGTTGTTGGCCCATCCTTGCAACTCCAGGCTCCTACTCACTTGGGCACTTATTTAAAGCTTCCTTACTGCTCACACATGGAAAAGGCGTGCAGCATAGAAAGGTTTTACTTGTTTCCTGATTCCGTCATCAATTTCAGCAAATACATACTGCGTCTTTCAAATGTAATCATTGGGAAAGTAATTTGTGGTTTGTGCGGAACAGCAAAGACGGAAGGTCCATGTGCATGAGACTTCAGTCACTGCATGCACCCGTGCTTGCCCAATGAGGGGTCAAACAAATTTGACCAAGATTTGCAACCTCTTACCGTGTGATTTTCTACATGCCTTTCGCTTAAAATTACAGGACTGACCACTGACGCTTTTCCGTTCTCCTCAACCGCATCCCCAACATTTTGAAAATCAGCAGACACAGACTTCAACCAGCCCTTGACCAAGATGGCCACATCCCCAAAGCCAGTCATCCTTGTCCTCTCCACTGGCGAGAAGTGGATGCAAGGCATGTGCGATGACCCCACCAGCTTCGGCGCCGGCCTGTTCGACCTCATGAAGCACGCAGACCTCAAGCGCGCCCGCACCGTCAGAGGCGCCCTCACCTGGCTCAACAACAACACCGCCTCCCCGCCCGACGGGATCCTCGTGACCGACCCGGGCATCGCCACCCCAGCCGCCAAGGAACTGCTCGACCGCGTGGTGGCGTACGCGCGTGCCGGCGGCGGCACCGTCGTCATGAGCTACTGCTTCTCGAGCAACATGCGCATGGACGACATGAAGAAATTTTGGAAGCAGGCATGGGACCTGCCCTGGGAGCCGGCGTCGTACCACCGGACGAAGCTCACGCTCAACGAGTCCTCCTCGACGCTCCGGGGGGAGCAAGTGGCGGAGCTGCAGAAGGTGTATAGCCAGAAGGCGCTGTGCCTGAAGAATGTGCGGCGCGAGCACTGTTGGTATCTGCCCACCGAGGACTCGCGCATTCAGTCGGCTGTTTTCCCACCCGATCCCGTGAAACAGAATGAGGCGGCTGTTGTCTTTGCGCCAGTTGGTCAGGGTCGTGTGGGCTACACGGGGGATGTGAACATGGAGGACGGAACGTACATGGTCGTGAAGAGGATGTTTGGGCTGTGAAAGGGAGGAATGGGCTGATTTGAGCTTTGCGTCGCGATGCCCAGCAATAATTATGACGTGTGATGTTCGGTACGCATCACTTCATGTTCTGTAGCGAGGATACAGGATAAATTTGGCTGGAGTGCGTGCCCCCATCTACGCCTGTGGTTGATCACAGACTTCAGTCTGAAACCACATTTTGTATTGCCTTCCCCTAGATCTGTCCTAGTTTATGGCATCCACTTTCACTTTCTCGACAATGCCCAGCCAGTCCATCGTAACCATGAGTCTGCCAAAAGTTTCTCAGAGCTACGGTTACGCAGGCACTAGATTTAGAATATGACCAGTGGTATGCGCTCACGCGACTGGAATAGGCAGATTTTAATCCGAGTGTGAAGTATCAAAGGCAGTCTCAAGGTATCGACAGATTACTAACCTCTGGCTCAGTACTATCCCACGACTCATTGATCTACATCAGAACGATAGTTTGCCTCTCACCAACATCCTTAAACGGCGCGTCCATTTCACTTCTTGAAACCTCAACCTCATCGAGAACCCCACCCGACTTGTCCAAGAAAATGCCCCCATATAGAGTCTCGTCACGAAAGGGTGTGTGTTCATTGTAGCATTCCAGAACGTGGTAGATGATCCCAACTCGTTCAAATACCCCCTGGCCCACCTGCCGGGCGAGGAGACAACCAATGGTTACCGAGCCGGTGATCTTGGCCGGATGTTTCTCCGCGAACACAAGGCCGACGGTGCGGTCGTGACTCTCTGGCTGCTGGTCTAGGTGGGCTCCGGCCGCGACGTAGACCTCATTCCAGATTGGTAACACAGGTGCAGGAGTCTCTGGTGGAGGACGCATTCGCATGATGTGGACAACATCGGCACCATTGCCAGACTGCCCGTCTGCGACGTGGATCTCAGTTCTCTTGCCACGCTGGTCTCTCGGAACCGACACCTTCTCAAAACTCACGGCAACAACCAGACAGGTGACCTTCATTTGGTGGTTTACAAGGGCTGGCTGCTGTAACGGGTAGCCTGTTTTCGAAGGCCACGACCTCCGCACGTGGTCCGCGAGATCCCATATGTTGCCAGGCGTGCGGTACTCAGGCTTTGTGTCCCAGGATAACTCCCATGTGAGATGACGTGGGACTAACGATTTCCTCCCAGGTCTTAGGAGCACGATTCCTGTCCCCTTAAACAGCAGGGGCCCACCCCACCCCGCCCACGTCCAGCTGGGAAATTGAGGCCGTCTTTGTGCAGGGGCTGGGTGGTGCCAGGTGAGATGAAGACGAAGCTCGTTCTGTCCGATATGTTGAGCGACCACACCCCATGGGATATGCAGAATCTGTGGTGTCGTTGAGGTTGAACTCTGCCAGTTGGTATGGAAATTGAGAATCCCAAGGAAAGCATTTAGCGAGTCGCCCTGATCTGTCAGGTCTCTTGCGCTGTACTCCATCAACTGGCGAATTATATCCGGGTGCTCGGTCATGATTCTGTGCCCAGGGTCGGATGAGACGATGATGAGATTGCGGAGAGGCGAAGTGTTGAAGTCCCGACTGTCCCTCCCAAGCAAGCAGTACAGAGACTCCTCTGCGTGATTCCAAGCACAGAGATAGAGGACCTGATTGGGGGTGAAGATGAGACGCCGTGGGGAAAGAATCCCCTCTTGGTAGGTCCAGCCTCGGGTTGCCCACTTGCTTCTCCTCAGGTCACGCGCACCGGAGGGTAATTCTAACAAGGTAGTGTTCCCAATGTGAAGTCGTCGTTGCGACCGAAACGCGAAGTTGGAAACTCCTGGTAGGCCACTTTGGGCGTCCTCTCCAGAGGCGTCGATAATTGTGATCGAAGCAGATGAATAAACCTGGTCCATTTGGCTTATCATGCGAGACCTCTCTTGAAAGTCATTCTGTGGGATACACTATTCGTGGTATTAGGCGAGGCTCACCCGAATATCATTATATGTATTATGTCAAGGACTTACATATTTATCAATCCAGAGATATCGATACCCCAATGACGAAGTGACTGAGACGGCATCTTCAATCAACGGAGGGGGCCGGTTTAAATCCATTTCTTGGCTGTGAACCTGCTGTTTGCCCCAGACATATGACAGTGCTACATATTGGCACCCGCCTGGCGCCTCGACCACGGCCCGTGACGAGATGTCGACTACCTTGAGGCCAGTCAGTTGGTTGAGCGCCTTACGATTGCAGTCTGAATTATGATGCTCCGAGCACTCTCGTATTAGTAGCTTCAGCCTATTGTAGTTGATTGATTTCGGTATGATCATTTTTGAGGCCGAGTCCTTTCGTTTGATGGCTACAATGCCATTCAATCTGTAGCCGTAGTGGGAAGTTTCGGCTCTGGGCCGTCCGAATAGTGCTGTGACCGTCTCACCACGTTTCCCCTTAAGCTCCGGCGCATAAAAACCACCAGACTCCAATAGTCTCTGAGCTAAAACAACCCATGGGGCCGTGCCAAGAGCCTCGGGCTGGAGGATCGAGAGAATGCGACAGGTTTTGCAGGTTGAGGTGCCAGAGGCTACTTGCTCATGATTTGTCTCTATGGTACGTATAGTAATGCTCTGCACCTCACCAAATCTTTTTTTTCGCGACTGACTTTCAGCCAAGACGGGAAGGCCTTCCCAATCCACCTGTCTGCACTCGTGGCAAATGGATCCCTCGTCAACCGTGTCATCGTCTATCGCGGGCGCGGTAGTGCTTGGCTGTCCGGAGAGGGAGCTGCGGCCTGACATCTTGGGTGTGGAAGAATTGTGACGGTTTCCAATAAGCGTAACGTTTTCGTGCTGGCTGTGATGAGTCCGACTTGGGTGCCTGTGCTGGGTCCGCTGGGCGACGGTAGGAGGGAAAGCGACACCTTCCAGGAGGGGCTGCAATGAGGCCTCCGGAGTGCCCAGGTGCCTTTGGCTGCAAGAACTGGCATATTCACGTAGGACAACTTCGAAGGTGATGTCATCTAACCTTAGAAGCCACACTTCGGGAGCTAACGTCCACTCACTCAACAATTGTGTCCACTCACTTAGTTCCCGCCAACCGCTCACTTAATATTAACTTTTCTAAGTAACTCCCTTATATCTATAAGTACCTTTTAAATAAGTATTAAGAGACCTTATAGTATAATTTTCTTCTCTAATCTTTAATACTTTAAATATAAGCTTCTTTTAACACCCCTTTTAGCACCTCTTTTAGTTCCTTTTTTAATACCTTTTTTAATACCCCTTCTAATATACCTTTTAACACTCCTTTTAATATACCTTCTAATACTCCTATTAATATACCTTTTAATACTCTTTTTCAACCTTTTAATTTATATATATTTAAGTATTAATTAAGTATTTAAATATTAATTAAATATTAAAAAGTTAGAAGTTTAAAAGTTAAAAGGTTAAAAGAAGAGTTAAAAGGTTAAAAAGAGTATAGTTTTTACTTTTATTTTTTTATTTTTTAATCTTTTAATAATTAAGTAATATTTAAATATTTAATTAATATAATAGTTAGGTGGAAGTTATGGAAAAGCACCCTAAAGGCGCTTTAGCACCTAGCTATACCCCTTACTTAAGCCTTTTAAAAAGTAGGTAATACTTACTTACCTCTTTTTTAAAAGAGGTAAGAATTAATTTTATATTAAACTTAAATTTAATAGACCTTTAAACCTCTTTTTATTTATATTATTATATTTAATATTATAATTTATTATAATTTTAATTCTTTCCTTTATATTATTTATAATATTATTAAGAATATGTAATTAGAGAGAGAGATTTTAAATAAGTTTAAATAATAATAAAGGGAGTTTAGATACTCTTTTAATAAGAAATACTTTTACTTAAAAATAAAAGTAAAACTAAATTCTTTAATAGAAAATAAATACTCTTAAAGTAATTAAAATTACTTTAAAATTAAACTAAAAGATTTAAAATTAATTAATATTACTTTATTATTTATAATTTATATTTTATAATAATATAATAATTAAATAATAAATTTTAAAAGATTTATATTTTTAATTATAATTCCTTTATAATAATAAAATAAAAGTAATTTATATATTTAACTATATTAATAAAGAATATTAAAATTATTAAAATATTTATATAAAATTTTAAAAAAGAAAATAAATCTATATTTAATTATTATAAATAAAATAAATTTAAAATCTTTAATAATAACTTTAAGAAAAACCTTTAAAATATTTTTAAAATTATTTAAAACTTAATTAATTTTATCTATTAATAAAACTAAAACTTTTAATTTTTATTAATACTTTAAAATCTTAAAGTTAAAATAAAAGTTAAAAGTAATAATTCTAAAGTTAAGTTTTTTTAAATTATAAAATTAAATTTTTTAAAATTAAACTAAATATACTTTAAATTTATTAAATATTAAAAATAAAATAATTAAAATTATTTAAATAATTTAAATTAATATATTTAAATAAATTAAAAAGAAATATAAAAACTAAAAATAAAATATAAGGAGATAATAAAACTTTTAATAAAAAAATAAAAAAACTTTTAAAGTAATATTATAGTTTTTAAAAGAATTTAAAATTTATTATATATAAAAGATTAAAGTTAAGAATTTTAAAGTAAGGGTTTATATATTTAATTTAATTAGAATATTTAAAGAAATAATTTTAAAATTATTTTAAAATTTAATTTTTAATAATAATAAAAGCTAATTATTTATTATTATTATAATAATATTTATTATTATATTTTAAACTATTTAATATTAATAAAAGCTATAATATTTATAAATTAAGTTTAAAGTTATAATAATTATTAATTAAAAAGTTATTAAAAGTAAAATTAAAATAAAGAAAGTTAAGGATTATTTTAGCTATTTATTAAAATAATATTTAAAATAAAGGAGTTAGATTAATAATTAAAATTAAAAGGAAAGGAAATAATAAAATCTATAATATTTTATAATTTTAAAAGAAATAATTATAATATAAAATTAAAAGTATATTAAAATTAATTTTAATATTTAAATTTAAATAAATTTAATTAATATTTTTTTATAAAAATTTAATTTAAAAAATTAAAAATCCTTAATATTTATTAAAAATTAATTATATTTTAATATTTATTTATAGAGTCTTTTAAATCCTTTTAATTAAAAACTATTTTAAAACTAAAAAAAAGACTTAAAATATTCTTATTATTAATTAAAAGTATTTTAAATTTATATTATTATTAAAACCTAAATTTATAATATTTTAAATAAAATTAAAAAGTTATTTAAAAACTTATAACTTTAATAAAATAACTTATATATTATTTAATAAATTATAAAATCCTTTATAAAAATTAAAGATAAAATACTTATTATTATATTATCCTTTTAATTTATAACTCTTTTAATTTAAATAATAAAAAAATAATAAAAATTAAAAGGAATAAATAAAAAGAAAAATTACCCTTTAATCCCTTTTAGTTATATTTATAATTAAAAAGTTTAAAAGAGTTTTTATAAAGGTTAAAATAAAAGAACTCCTTTTAAAGAAAGGTAGATTATATAATTAAATTAAAAAAATATCCCTACCTTTTCTATCTTTTACCTATTATTATTAAAAGAGTTAAAGATTTTAAAAGAATAGTTAAAAAGAGTTTAAAAATTAAATAAATTACTTTTAATAAAAGTCTAATAAAAACTTTAATATTATTTACCTTTAAAAAATAATACTTTTTAACTCTATATTAATTATTAAACCTTTAATAAAATAATAATTAAAATTATTATTTATTATTATTAATTTTAAAATCTTAAATTAATTATTAAATATAAAATATTTTTAAAAATTAATTTAATTAATACTTACTATTAAATTTATATTTAAAAAAGAATAAATAAAAACTATATTTTATATATATTATAATTATTATAAATTTAAAGTAATATTATTTAAATTAATTAATATTTTTATTATATTTTAATTATTTATTATAAAGGTTTTAAATAATTATATTAATATTTATATAATTATTTATTTAAATAATATTTTAATTTTTAAAAATAAAGAAGAATATAAAAATATATTTAAATAATTATAAATTAATTATTATTAATTAAATTTTATAGAATTTTAAGAAATATAGCTTTTTTAAAAGGAGATTAAATTTTAAGATTCCTAATTAAAAAAGGAATTTAAATAAATCCTAATTAAATTAAAACTATTTAAGAATAGTCTATCCTTACTATTTATTATAATATTTAGATTTTTAGGTTTTATAATTTTTATTAAAGGTTTATTAAGGAATATTTTAAGATTATTTAATTCTTTAATAAATAATTATTTAATATAAAATAAAGTTAAAAGTTTAATAAAGTTAATTTATTTATATTTAAAATTTAAAAACTTAAAAACTTTTAAAAACTTAAAGTTAAATTTTAATAAATACCTTTACTTTAATATTATAATTTAATACTTTATATTTAAATTAAATATAATATTTTTAATAAAATAGTTATTTTAATAATTTTTAAAATATATTATTAAAAATATATTTTAATAATATTTTATTATTTTTAATTAAAAAATTTATTAATATAGAACTTAATTAAATAATTTATAATAAGGAATTAAATATTATTATTAATAATTTTAAATATTAATAATAATATTTTAAAAAGTTTAAAAATTTATTATTATTTTTTAAATTATAATAACCTTTATAACTTTATAAAGTAAAAAATTAATTTAAAAATAAATTTAATAATTAATATATTTAATTAAATTTAATTTTATTATTAAATATTACTTTAATAAGATTAATTTAATTAATAGGTTTTTAAAAGTCTAATTATATATTAAAGGAAAAGCCTTTAAATATAAATTAGATTTTAACTTTAAAATTAAAGATAGTTATAGTTATTAAAAAGGACTTATAATTTTATTTAAAAGATTAATAATAAATTAGAATTTAAATTATAATTAGAAATATTATAATATATAAAGTCTTAAAAATAACTTTTTTAATAAAATATTAATTTAAGTTTATAATTTCTTTATAAAGGTAGTTTATAATAAGAGTTTAGATTTAAATATATATATTTAGTGTTAATATAATATATTTAGAGCTTTACTTTTATTTATAGACTTAATTTATAAAACTTAAAGAAAAGACTTTATAATTTAAGTTATAATTAAAAATATAATTTTAAATAATATTACTTTAAATAACTTTAATTATAAAATTTAAAATAAATTTCTTTATTAAAAATATATATATATATATTAAAATAAAAACTTTAAGATAAAAGATTTTATAAATTTATTATAATAATTTATTAAATAAATATTAAAAGTAAATAAAGATATAAACTTTCTTTAAAAATACTTTTAATAGTTTAAATTAAGGGTTTTATAATAGAATATATATACTTTTATATAATATATTAATATATATTTATATTATATTATTATTTATATAAAGAGTTTACTTTATTATTAATTTTATTAAAATTTATATAAAATTTAATATAGACTTTATAATTAGATTTTTAATTATTATTATAAATAATAAGAAAGTAGATTTAATTTTAATAATTATAAATTATTTTATTAAAATAAGTTTTTCTTTTAATTTATATAATAATAAATATTATAAAGTTTAATAAGATTTTTATAAAGAAATTAAATATAAATAAAAGATTTTATAGGAATTATTATTAATTAAAGTATAATTTTATAAATAATTTTTAAAAATATTATATAGATTTAATAATATTAAAATTATTATATTATTATTTATTATTTATAAAATAATAAATAAATTAAAAATAAATTAAATCTTAAAATAATACTTTAAATTATTTATAATTAAAAATATTTAAAACTAATTAAAATTATTATATATTATATTCTTTTTATATAATTTAATTTAAAATATAATAATTAAAATAAATCTATTTAAAGTATTATTAAAGTATAAACTTTTTTATAATTCTATATAATTAATAGTTTATTAAAAATAATATATTATAAAAAAGATATTAATAATAAAAAGTAATTAAAAGCTTTAATAAATTTATATAAAATATTAAGAGAATTAAATAAAGGTTATTAAAGTTTAAATTTAAAATTATAATATATATTATTAATTTAAATAATTTAAAATTAATAAATAAATATTTTTAATAATTAAATATTTTTATTTAAAAATAAAAATTAACTTTATAAAGGATTAATTTATTTAAAATTTTAATTTAAATTAATAAATAAATTTATAATTTAATTCTTTTAAGAAATACTTTTAAATATATAATATTTTTATATAAATTAATTAAAATTATAAATAGTTAGAATATTAAAGGGCTTATAAAAGGATATTATAAATCTATTAAATTTAAAAGATAAATAAATTAAATAAAAGTTAAAAAGATTTAAAATTATTAAGAAATTAAAAATACTTTATTATTTAATAAAATAAAAAATAATTAAATAAATATAACTTTTAAGTATTAAAAGATAAAATATTTATAAATAAAACTATTTAAAAATATTATAAAAAGAGAACTTTAATATTTTAAAAGAGAACTTAAAAATAAGTAAATAAAGGTTAAGAAAAAGGTTATTTAAACTATAATAAATAGAAGATAAATAAATAATAATTAAATAATAAAAGATAAATATTAAAAATAATTAATAAAATAAATAATAATATAATAAATAATTAATAAATAATTTATAAAAACTTTATAATAAATTAATAAAAGTAAAATATAATTAAAATATAGATTTAATAAAAATTAATAAAGTAAATAATAATTAAATAAATAAACTATAAAGACTTAATAAATTATTTAAAAATAAATATTAAAAATAAATATTATTAGTTAACTATTAAGAAAAGTTAACTAATTATAATATTAAAATTAGAGAGTTATAATAAAAAGTAATATAAAATATATTAAAAATAAATAATTTTTAAACTATTTAGACTTATAATAGGTTAAAACTTACTTTAAAAAGGTAATATAAGGGGTATTATTATCCTACTTTAAGAAACTTTAAAAATTTTATTTTTATAATTTTATTTATTAACTTATAATACTTTTAATTAGTTTTTAAAAAAGCTATTTATATTTTATAAGTTATCTTTTAAAAAAGAAAAGATAACTTTAAGGTTATAAATTAAAAACTTTATTTATTATATTTATTATTTTTAAAGAAACTTTTAAATTAAAGTATATTAAATAAAAAGTTATTATTTATTAAAATTAAATATAATATATTATAATGATTTTTAATTAAATTATAAAGGATTTTTTTAAATATTATTTAAATCTTTATTTAAATTAAACTTTATTAATTAAAGTATATAAATTAATTATAGTTTATAATTAAAAATATTAATTATTATAATCTTCTTTTTTAGAAAAAATTAATATTAAACTCTTAATAATAGTTAATTATTTATATTTAATATAGAAATTTATTATTTCTCTTTATTATTTAATAAATTATTTTAAAACTTAGTATTTTTAACCTTTTTAAAAACTAAATAATTACTAAAATTATTTATAAATATATTTATTAAAATATTAATAAATTAAATTTAGAATTATATTAATTTATCCTTTTATATAAATAAAAATAAAGGTTTTATATTATTTATAATTCTTTTTAAAAAATTTTATTAAATAAAGATTAATAATTAATTTAATAATAAAAATCCTTTAATTTAAAAAGTTAATAATAATAATAAAATAAATAAAAAAAAGTTTATTATAATATAAAAAATAATACTTTATAATATATTAATTATAATAAAACTATTTAATTAAAAATTATATAAAAATATTCTTATATAAAGAAGGAAGGATACTCTTTACTTATTTAAAAGGCCCTATATATATATTATAAGAAACTTATAATTTAATTACTTTATTTTATTTTTATAATTTTAATATAATTTAATATAATATAATTAAAGGAATTTAAATTTATAAAAATACTTTTTATATATTTTTAAAAAAGATATAATATACTTTTAATTTTATAAAGTTAGTTAAATATTAAATATATAGGAGTTAGAATTAAAGAATCTTTAAAAATTTAAAAGACTTTAAAGAGCCTTTTTACTTAAATTTTAAAATAAAAGATAACTTTTATAACTATTTTTAATAAATTTAAAAGTATATAAAGTAATTTTAAACTATTTATCTATTATTTTTAGGAATAACTATTAAAAATCTTAATAATATTAATATTTTTAATTAAATTATAAATAAATTTAATATAAAAAAGAGTTAAAGTTAATAGGAATAGAGTTAATATAATTACTATTAAAGCCTTTAAGGATTAAACTTAATAAATTAAGGTAATTTTTAAATAAATTATTTTTATTAGTTAAGATAATATATATAAAATAATATATAAAATTTTTAAAAGAAAACTATTTATAAGTCTTATAATTACTATTTATAAATAATATAATAATAAATAAAATATAATTATAAAATAAAAATATTTTAAATTACTTTAAATAATAAAATATAATAATAATATTTAAAAATTAATAAAATAATTAAAAAAATAGTTAAAGATTAAAAGAAGGAAGTTTATTAAAGATTTAATAAGGTTAATTATTAAAAAAGAAAAAGAAAGTAAAAATAAAAAGAAAAAAATAGTTATTTAAAAAAGGTTAATTAATCTATATTTTTATAAAATATAATAAAGATTATTAAAAGATTTAATAAATTATTAAAATTAATTAATAATAATAAATAAAAGATTTTTAAAAGTATAAATAAAAATAATTAATATTAATTAATAATAATAATTAAAAATAGCCTTTTAAAGAGAGATATAATTATAATAGTTAGATAAAAGCTATAGAAAAATACCTTAAAGGTACTCTAATATTTAGCTATACCCCTTCTTTAAGCCCCTTAAAAGGTAGATAATACCTATTTACCTCTTTTTTAAAAGAGATAAAAATTAATCTTATATTAAACTTAAACTTAATAGACCTTTAAACCTCTCTCTATCTATACTATTATACCTAGTACTATAGCCTACTATAATTAATATTTAAATATATATAGATTAAAAGGTTTAAAGCTTTAATTATATTATATTTTCCTTTTATATTATATAACTACTTATTTCTTCCTTTAAAGCTTATATATAAAGTTTTTAATAGCTTTATATATATCCTTATAATCCTCTTATAAAGGAACTTTAAATCTACTTTTTTATTTTTATTATACTTTTTATATTATTAAAAATTAATAATTATTAATAATAAAAGTATAAACTTAAAGGAGGATAAGCTTATTATACCCTTCTTTTATTTTTTATAAATTACTTTTAAAACTTTTTAAAAGTTTTAATACTTTATTATAAAATTTTAAAGATAATATATTATAAATTATTTCTTTATTTTAAATTCTTTTAAAGTTTATAACTATATATTTAAATAAAAGTTATAATATTAACTTTATAAACTTACTTAATAAAGGTTTTATTATAAGATATATATATATATAAAGAGATAATTTTAATTAAGTTTTTTTAATATAATTATAATATTTATATAGTAATTATTTTTAAACTTAGTTTTATTATATAACTCCTTTATAATATTAATATTATTATTAAAATAATACTTTTTAACTTTATTTATATATTATAAAGTTAAAACTATAAATATTTATTATATTATAATTATTATTATTAATATTATATTTTTTTTAAATATTAAATTTTAAATATTTATTATTATATAAAAGTGTTATATATATTCTTAAATATATATAAAATAGAAGTAAAACTATATAAAAGGTTTTAAAAGTATATTAAAAAGTGTGTTAGAAGGTATATTAGAAGGTGTATTAGAAGGGGTGTTAAAAGGGGTTTAGAAGGGGCTTATATTTAAAGTATTGAAAATTTGGAGAATCCTAGTTAGGTATATAGTTTAATATAGGTTGTGTATGTAAATTCTTGTACTGAGTGAGTGGTTGAAAAAAACTAGGTGAGTGGATAGAATTACTAGGTGAGTGGACGTTGGCTCACACTTCGGCATTAGAAAATATATGACCATCTCAACGTATCGACTAAAAATACGCAATGACACATTTGACATCTGACAATTCGCTGCTCTATGAGAATTTAGCTGTTATTGACCTTACCTGGAATAAGATGGACGGAGTGACTTCCGCTTTACTGTCACTGGCTTTAAGTACCGGGGTCTCATGCAGTGAAATGGTAGGGTCAGAGTGCTAGTGAGTAACCAACCTTGGAACATATTTTGCTGCAGACGTGGGTATCGATCGCGGTATGGCTCGAATATCAACGTCGGGGGGCTTCCCATGTGCAGAGAAAGCACACGCGGCATATGCACGCTAAAATGAAACAAACCACACCCACAGGAGATCGTCCAAGATACAGACCACAACCACCACACCCCAACTAATACAACCTCCTCACAATCTTCCTCGTGGGCCCATGATCCCTCAAGTCCCTAATAAGCTGCAGATGCCTCAGCTTCGACTTCTCAGGAAAGCACCGGTGCCAGATGAGGTCCTTGAGCCAGTGGTCCCGCCCAAACGACCGCTCCAGCTCGTCGGCGACGGTGCCCGAGCTCTCCTGCAGCAAGCCCCGCAGGCCGGCGACGCCCTCCTTCTGCACGACCTCGTACATGAGCTTGAACGCGTGGAAGAGCGGGTGGTTCGGGTGGCCGTGGTGGCTGTTGTGGTGGTGGGTGTGCCGGGCGCTCGCGTACGCGGCCAGGAACTTCCACACGGCCAGGGCGATGCGCGAGTCGTCCTGCCAGCACCGCGACTGGCGGTGGAAGAAGAAGTAGAAGGACGAGGTGGCGTCCATGGACGCAAAATACCCGCTGCCGCTGTTCATGGCCCAGAAGGCGCGGTTGAGGGCCGCGACGCCCCGCTGGGCGTCCCCCGACCGGATCAGGCGCGCCGACTCGATCAGGCTCGACAGGTGCGGGAAGTCGGTCACGCGCCACGTGAGGGCGGCCGCCTGCAGGCCGAACGCCGACTCCTGCTCCTCCTGGCGCCAGAGCAGGAAGGCCCGCTTGAAGCTCGCCACCAGCGAGTCCTGGAAGCGCAGGCGGTCCGGGAGGCGCAGGTCGCGGCCGGGGCCGGGGGGGTCGGGCGGCGGCGGGGTGCGGCACCGCACGTGCGCGAGTGAGGAGGAGGGGGTGTCTGCGCCTGCGCCTGCTCCTGTCGACAGGTCCACCAGGTCGTACTCGGTCATGCCCTTGCGCTGGAGGTAGTTCTGCAGGTTGACGTCCTTGCCGTTGCGGGTGAACTGCGAGAGCTTGCCGGCCGCGTCGCGCTGGAACTTTGTCTTTAGGATCTGCGAGACGACCTTCTCGGTGTTGTTCTTGACGAAGCCCCACTGCTTGAAGCGGGCCTTGTACATCCTCTGACTGCGCCCCGGGTGGTTAGGATATTTCATGATGGGCAAGAGGGGAAAACGGGGTGAGAAGGGCTGGGGACATACGTTGCCGGGAACTTGTGTTCCGTCTCCATGGTCCTGATGACCTCCCTCAGCGGCTTTCCCTCCTCGATGTACAGCTTCTGGATGGTGGGCTTGTGCCTCTCCCACACGTCGGACGCGTAGTGGCCTCGTTTCGAGTTGGCCGACTGGGTCTTGAAGACGGTCTGGGACCCCTGCGCTGCTTTCGCTGGAGAGCCACGGGGCAGAGTCGCGGGCCGCATGGCGGCAGGCGAGTCGGGAGGAGGGGGTGGCGGTGGTCCTATTGCCGACTGGGTTACGGGGACGGTATCAAGGAAGGGTGTTGCGTACTCCTCGAACTCGATCGTCGGGGTGGGTGCCCTCCGGCGCTTCTCGACGCGGACTGATACCGGTAATGGCGGGACACCATCGACTGGGGCGACATACTTGGGTAATCCGTCCGTGGGCGTAGGGGCCTGGTGCAGTCGGGGAGAGGCGGCGTGGTCCGGGGCTGGAATCGCGGCATGGATCGGTGCCGGAGCGTGTACTGGGGCGGGCTCGTGTCTCGTCACGTCGGGCATCGCTTCTACCGACGGCATGACCTCGGGGACTGCTCGCGCCGGAGGAATCTCGTCCACCCAGCCCGGGGTCCAGGCATTACTCCCAGGGTACCGCTGCTGATGCTGCTGCTGCTGCTGAAACTGCTGCGGCGGCGGGACAAAGGCGTTGTCGACCCTTGTCGGCGAAGGCGACTGTGCCTGGAACGACTGGGCATTCTGCAGGGTGGCGAAGCTGTGGTGGCCTTGGAAGTCCCAGGGCGGCGACGCATCCGCCTGCCAGTCGGCGTACACAGGCCCTGCTGTGTTGGCCACGCCGGTGGTGGGCCAGGGCTGGAGAGCCTCCATCCACATGGTGCTGTTGGGCTGGCACTGCCACTGGGCGGCGTGGAACTGCGAGTGCGCGGCAGGCATGTCGGGGGCGGGGATGGCAAAGTTCATGGAGGCGTAGTAGGGGTTGATCTGCTGTGCGACCTCCTCGTAGACCTCATCGTCGTGCTGTGTCGGCGGTGGACCCGTCATGGCGTGGGCGGGGTGGTGGTGCGGCCGTGACCTGGTCGCCATGTTTGTCGTGGCTTCATCTGTGGTCGTTGTGGTCGTCGTAGGCGTATATCGACTGTCTGACTGTCTAGCTAGACACACGCACAGACGAGCAGGAAACCACAAATGGAAAATGGCAGCCAGGGATTTGTAAGATTGGACCCCCCTTCAGCTCGTGTTACCGCTGTGCCGCTGCGGGCGAGACGCGATCGATCTCGGCGTCGAGTCTGTCTGCACGTACGATCTCTTGATGCCAGTCTCGCAGGGTCCTGATCGGTTGCAGATCACAGTCGCAGTCAGGGTGAAATAACACTTGACAGGTCCATCGCCATGCCGGGCCGCGGCACAGCAGCAGACGGGGCTCGATGTCATGTTGGGTGGGAGGAGAAGGATCGAGCATGGGCGAGCATGGGCGAGCATGGGTGTGTGTGCAAGTGGACTGGTGACTGCCTGTCCAAGCTGTCGTCGCGACTCGCGAGAGGTGAGAGACGGCACGGGTAGGGGACGGTTGGTAGGACGCTATGCCTGATGGGTGCTGGAGCTGAACCTACAAAAGGCCCGTTCATCAGGCTGGCGTGCACTTGGCGTCCACTGGGCGTCGTGTATCCCAGCACACTGGTAACAGCAACCCCCATTCCCCCCCGCCCCGCATGTGATTGGCCCCACTCTGGCGCCGTCCTGCCGGTTCGCCCACGAGGGAGATGTTGTACAGATCTCTCGTGCCCAAGACAACCAAGACACCACTTAACCACATAGTCTTCGTCTTCTCTGTTCCTTCGATGTGGAGATGAACAATATTGGTTACTGAACTACTTCAACCCTGGGATACATTCATCCTTCATTGCATTGCACATCACCCCCTGCTCAGGGGCTCGCTCGGGACCGAAGGATTGGGTGTCAACTTTGCTTTTTATTTCCACGCACACACGGTAACAATATTGCATCACATCAACCCCCTACTAGCAGATGAGTAAGCCCCTGCAGGTCAGACGTGCATCCGTCTCCCTCCTTCTCTCTCCCTCCGAGACCTCTTGAGACAACGTCTTGCCAGTCTCCCTGCCATTGCACCCCAATTCAAGACAGGTGCGTAACAAGCCGGCGAGTAAGTTCTGGGAAGTAACCTCGATGCTTTCGCATGCGGCCTTGGCTACCACCCTGACCTCCTCGCCGGAAATAAGCCATTGATCCAATGGTGGGCAGATCCCCACGGGTGTGACATCAGGAGCGTGGAAAACATCATCAGGATCAGGTCCTGCCCTGAGTCCTCCGCCCTACCGTCCCCGTTGGCCCTGGGAGGAATGCTGCTGCCTTCGGCAATCGCGGGTGAGCTCGCGTGGCCGACAGGGTTGATGATCCCCATGAGGTCACACTGCACCGTCGCGGGTCAGCGAGCGGGACCCTGTGCTTACTCCGTGCATCGATTGGGTCCACTCTACCGGACCTAACCCCCACTGGCATGCGTCCTCAATATTTCATTGTTGCTTTCCAACGTTGGCACTTACTACGTATTGGAAATCTCATCTTTCCAGTCACTGCTGACGTCAAATCGCAATCGACGTAGCACTTGAGTCTTCATGAACCACACGTGCTGTGCAGAATCAAGAGATTGGAATTCAGCCACTGGGATAACATTCAGATTGGACTGTGAGCATGTGAACGAAACCGGTGGCTACCAAAATAGGTGAAAGTTTGAAATCGGGCATGAAAACAAATGCCTCTGAATATCCATAGGCGGAGTCAGTCTTCATATCGCGTAAAGTCCGGCAATGTCAACGGCGAGACAGGCCTGAGTACTCCCAAACATTCCGCCTCCGAACCTCTGCGCATCCCCGTTGATGTGACTGGAAGGACAGTCCCTTCTTCAAATGAAGGATCCCGGTCCGTACTTTGCGTCCGTGGGCTATCATCGACAGTAGAATATGCTTCAGGGCTTATACCATGCAACTCCAGCGTAGAAACACCCAACCCATTCTCAGATGCCATTGGTTCTCGTGAAAGGCGCGGGTGGGCGGGCTCCTGCAGGTCCAGCGAGCATAATTGGGTCGTCGAGCCGGCGAGCACCGGGATGTCCTCGTCGCAGCGCGTCCACTCCCCCACCCCTGCGTTCTCGTGCGCAAAGCGCAGCAGCTGGAGCGTGTTGTTGGCCGTCCATTCCACGTCCTTGTATGTCCCCGGGTGGTGTTCGAGCCGCAGGTCTTTGTGCCGCCTGAGGTAGCGACGGTGACGCCATTGGATCAGCGGCTCGAGGGCATACGAGAGGATTATGATGAGTGCGCCGGCGACGTAGGTGAACGAGAGACCAAACACGGAGAAAGAGCCATGAGCTGTCGAAAGGACCTTCTGCAAACCAAAAGAATGCGTGTTAGTTTACAATGAAACTTGGAATCGAGACTGGTTTCATTTAGTAAGAACCGGATGAACTGGCCTGGTTTGAGCACATGTCGTGTTCGAATGGTAGCACGGGCTCTAGGTCCCGATAATCCTCGAGACCCTCGAAGTTGACGCCGCTTGCGGTCTGCACAAAGAACGTCTGCAAACCCGCAAGTGTAGCTGCCCACCATGCCGTCATCTCACGCTGCCACTGGTCGGTCGGCAGAGGGCCCTGCACGCCGAGATTGTTGAGCGTCTGTTTTACCAATAGTGACTCTGAGCCTAGTCCAAGATATAGCGTGCTGAAATGGAGGGGAAACTCTCGCAAGGTCAGAGCAAGACGCTGGAACCTGCCCGGTACAGGCTCGGTCAGCGTGGTCTCTACCAGCTTGTCGGTGGTCGTGCCGAACGCGGGTGCCGCCCCCGTGACAGCGTCTATGAAGCTTGCCAATGGCCCACAGTGGTCCTTGTCGGCACTGCAGAATTGGTACTGATTCGCACAGGCGAGGGGCGAGGCTGCGACATCGGGGCTGTAGGTACTGTAGTTATCCATAGCGTGAGTAAATACCAAGTCGCGGTAGAACCTTGTCATACGAAACCAAGGATCGTCGCTCGGGCCAATGGAAACTACTCCTGGGCTCGACAAGAAGTAGAGATATATGTCGGCATCTGATCGAGCCAGACGTTCATCTGGCTCGAATCCTTCGCTGGTGAATGCTGAGCCTGTATGACCGGCCACTGTAGCGGCGTGCAGGACTCTGCAAGGTGGCATGTTAGAAAGAAGAGTGAAAGTAATATATGCAGATAGACAACCCACATTAGCCGATAGTCTGCCTCATATACGCTTCCGGGAGGGGCAGCATCATACTGATCAGGAAGGTCCTCAACGCTGTAGGTGTAATTCTGGGGGAAGATTTCCCCCTGTTTATTAATTCCAGTAGCCGGTCCGTAATCAAATGCGACAGTGTTATTGGTAGTTATCATGTTACCCTCCGTGGCGAGAGGCGCGCAGTGAAGCACGTTTCGAATGAGAATCCGTTCATTTGGCGGCGAGTTCAGACCGAAGTCGAAGTGGCTGTCCAGGTATCCAGTGTCTAAAAGAAGATTTCCAGTTTGGTTCCGACACAGAGAGTCTTTGAATGGGCAAGAAGCTGCGGTGTTTTGTTTCCCAACCAATCTCGGGCGCACAAAGAGCTCACATGAGCTCCCCGAACTGCTCGACGACGAGGAATAGCATTGTTTTGCGTAGTTGGAAGCATCTACGACAGTCCGCTTACTCCAGGCGTTGGCGGCTGCCCAGGCGTCTGCAGTACTCGGATCCCCGCTCACATAATACTTCAAGGAACCGCACCCGCGGCCGCGGAGAAGGACCTCTGACCCGGTCGACGTTGAGATCCGGGACGAGAAGCCACCGGCAATAACAAACGAGGTAGTGCACAGAAAGGCGAGTAGAAAAAGATGGTATAAGCGGCGGAAAGCCCGCTCATTCGTGCGACGCCAGGCCCAGCAGATGTTAAGAAAGGTGATGAACGCGGAGTCTGCTGACGGGGAGTTCCGAAGTATCACTTGTCTCTGGTGATATAGCGCATCCTGTGGACATGACAAGGACAGGAAACGGTGGCAGGCCAAAGAGAGGATCCGCCAGAACCGTGCTCCAATAAATGTGATGAACACACCAGTGAAAGCGATGACGAGGTCGGCATTTTCTCGAGACACTGTCAAGGTGCGACCAAGGATGGGACCATGTGACCAGTTAGTCCACAGGCCCTGATAGATTTCGAGGGATGGGGCAGGATTCCCGGTGCTGAACGAAGTATCATCCATCACGGGCGGAAGCTGCGTTGATATTTTAGTCAAAGGAAAAGATACAAGAGCAACACAAATTCTCAAGTATTCTCTGAGGGCAAGGAAAAAGGCGCAGGTATATGCCTGGACCAAGCTGACACGGGCATGCAGCTGGGTGCCTGCACATGTCCGGTCGCAATTGCTACGATCAACAGTAACACGACATCGTCAGGGCAGACTTCATTGCTGCTTTTGCTTTCAGCCGAAGGCTCACCCTGAGTTGTTGGTGAAAGCCAGCTTCGCCTAGCTGTGCAACGAGATCGGGACTTGGCGGCTTACGATGTCGCCCAATACATACTTAGGTGGAATGACCGCGGAACTTTCTCAGCTAGATGAGACCTTTCGCGGCTCTGATAGCTGTGTGTCTCAAGCTTTTGCCTATCAGTGGGAGTCAACCTGGTGCCCAACATCTTGAAACGTGCCCAGACAGCTGAATTTAAAGGCCGCTCCTTCAGAGGTCTGCAACGCTACACCGCAGGTAATGCGGACAGACTTCTTCGATTTTCCATTGGATAGTGCCTGCGCGTCGCATCACGCCGTCGGCGGCCGCAAAGACAGCACTTTTGCGGGCTCCTAAAATCGCACTTGGATTAGGGCTGTGGTCACATCACAGGCGGGAGGCTCACTTTGAGGCCCCGCTGTTAAACTTAGGATAGTTAGCTTCTTGCTCCAGATACCGGGCAGATGCGAATACCACGAACAGCTCCAGGTCACGTTTACGTCTAGGTACAGTTTAAATGTAGGTAAACTACCTAGGTAACTAGGTAGGCATGGTTGTTAGGACTATTTACATCCTTTTGCTGCCATGCAAGAACACTTTTAACTCCAGGGTATCCCACGCTCAGAGCTTCTCTTCAGCACCAAACAAACCGGAGCCGGAACTTGTTGGGCCTCCGCGGTACGCGCCTTGGCGATGAGTGTGCCCCATCACAGACGATTACGGCGGCAGCGGTTACAGGCCTGCAGGCGACAGTGATTACACTCGAAGATGTAGTCCGGCAGCCTGTGGTGACACTCCTCGCACCGGTGGGCTCCTGGCACCCACCTCCAGCGGTGATCGGTGCACGCATGGTTGTCCAGGATCTGCTGACGGATGCGCGGAAGATCCACCCTCCTGCCAGCCTCGGCGTCCCGGGCGGCGACCACGTTCTCACGCCGGAGGAGCTGCGCCTCGGTGTAGACAACGCAGGTACATGTCTTCCAGGTCTCGCCGCAGAGGTAGCAGAACTGGGCACCGCAGGGGCAAGCTGGAGCGAAAGTGGTGGTTAATGATCGAGGTTAAAGAGAATGGAAAGACACCTGGGCAGGGGGCCATCTGGATACAGACTTACTGATGTGGTTGCACCCCGCCATCAGATCAACAATGCGCTGGCAGCCCTTACAGCGCATCCATCCATTCTCAGCGGCGACTTTGTCCAGGACCTTGGTGGCTGGATCCTCGGGGCACTCGCCGGCGTGGGCGGCGGCCTTGCAGACCGAACAAGTCTGGGCGTCGCAGGCGACACAGCGACCGATCTGGTGCTGGATATTCTGAGGGGCAATGAACTTGCTGCACTCGGGGGCGTGGCAGTAGGTGCGGTCTGGGGTCTCCATCTCGACCTTGCGGGCCTGGAAGTCGCCGTAGAGTTTGGAGGTCAGGAAGAAGCGGTTCTGGTCAGCGGGGATGGGCTGGCGGCAGCAGCGGGGCGGAAACAGCGTCTCGTCCGTCACGGAGAGCCTAAAGAGTTCCTGAAGGCAGCCACGGCAGTAGTCGTGGCCGCAGGGGGTGTGGGCAACATCGTAGAAAGGCACGTCGTCTCTGCAGGTACAGCACTGGAGATGAGCGACCGGGGCCTTCTTGCTGGGGTCGGCGAGGTAAGTTGGTGCAGAGTCCTCGTTGTAGATGTCCTCTTCCTCCTGCGCGAGGTTGCCATCTCCCATGTAGACAGCAGACATCTTCTCGAGCAGGCCGTCGTCAATGTCATCGTCGTTGGCGGGTGCGTTCTCCGGCGCCTCGGACAGGACTTCCTTGATGGCGGGGCCGTCGGCGCGGACTGCGTGGGCGATACTCCAGGCCATGTCGCGATCGGACACGGCCTTGAGATCGTTCTCGTACATGGTCAGGGCACATGCAAAGTCGCTATTCGCGTTGGGGCACACCTCCTTGACATCTTGGAGCTGCAACTGGACGATGAGACGAGCTGTCTGCTCGTCAACGTCGGCGAAGGGATCCATGTTAGATGAGTCCAGCAGTATTGCTTCAAGTGAAGATTGATCTCGCCGCTGAGGCAGCGACTCGAGCGAGAGTGCAGCTTGGTTGAAAGGTTGGGGCAGATGCAAGACAACCTTTTGTTGCTGTGATTGGATTGAATGAAAGTGGATACCTGGGATCCGTTTGCTGCCTGTCAACTGGGCAACTGCCCAGGTGGGCCGTCGCGTCGTTGGTCAGTTAACGCGCAGTCTGGTAGGCCTCATAGTTGTTTGATTTGGTATTTTACCAGTAACATTTGAAAAATGGTGTCCCCAAACAAAATTACTTAGGTAGTCTCTGCCCATTTAAATCCGAACTGGATTTTAATACCTGTAAACATTGAGGGCACACCATTGCAGTGCAACCTTGGAAGCATGAATCAATCCAACGTAGAGAAATACACCCCATCCAATACCCGCTCTCACTCCCATGACATTAATCTCACACTTCCTACATTTACTGTCCATAACTATAACATATATGTACTACCGCACCCACTGACTACCTGCACCTACAGCTTCCGGCTTCGCACGATGTGTAGTGTAGTGGTGTCCCCTCTGTCATTACTCGTATGAATATGTGTCTCCTTGAGATACTGGGTTTATCACCTTTTCGGAATCATAAATGTATCAGTGAGATGATAGACCTGAACACGAAGTAACGATTGAAAGGAACCTTGGCAGCGTCTGAACAACACCTGTGACAGGCTGCGCAACGCAGAGCTGTTGCAGCCTATCACGTGGCATGAGACAGCCGGCCAAGGCTGGAACGGATGCGAAATCAAAGAGTTCTACTAGTAGTGCCTAGATCACGTAAATATCAACAGATTAAGTGTATGCAGTAATGTAAAAAGCCAGTCGTGGCCTTCTACTGCCTGTAGTCACAATGAAGGTATAAAGTATCGCTTCATTCGTGGTCACCAATACCAGAGCTATCGCTTTCATAGAAGTAATATCTTTGATGCGTAGGTGTTGAATTCTCCCCTTCTTCCTTTTGTTACCGATCCCGTTCGAATTCTAACGAATCCCGATCGCGTCTTTAGTCCGACTTGCCATGTCATCCATCATATGGAAACGATTCCGCCCACCACGCGTGTCTCTTGTCAACAGGCGAAGATACAGTACACCAATCGAAAGCCTCGAATCAACTAATCTCAAAAATGTCGTACAGCGACCTAAAAGAAGTGGGAGGGTCATAGGGCTCGGTACTGCTCCCGCACGGCCTCCTCCACCATTGCCGATTCCACCGGGACCCGTGCCCCCCGGAATACCAGCACTCAATACGTTACCTGGGCTTCCCAAAGCGCTAAGGATGGCAATCCTCAAGGGTGTGTTCTAAGGGCAGCCCAGGATCCAGGGAGAAGGCCGCCTGCGGCCTGTCGCATTGGGGAGACTGTGCCTAGTCAGCCAGATGATCAATGCCGAAGCAACAGAGGCATATCTGAGGTTGACGCAGTTCCGAGTCACAATTGTCAGTGCCTTTCCGGATTTTGAATTCTACAGACGTTTGGTATCTTGGACCCAGGGACAGGCTCCTCCCCTCATAGGTTGGTGGGTGTACACACTCCCTGAATCCCGTTGGAGAGTCAGGACCCCCTAGCCCTTGATCCCTTCGCAAAGGAACAGGTATTGGGGGGCTCAAGGCAATATCAGGATGTCAGTGTTCCTTGTTCCCGATGCCAATCTCTAGCACCTTAGCCCCAAGTGGTATGTTCCAATTGCGTATCGACCGCTGGCGATGCTTTAGCGCTGCGATGTCATGGTTCCTATCTGGATTGTCGGGTAGCTCTAGCAAGCAAGCAACAAGCTCTTCCGCTGGATGCAGTGAACGGTGAGCGGGCATGATGATGATATGAATTTAGCGGGGAGTCTGTCTGCAGATCTGTTCCTATAGTACCTGGTCAGGGAACTCTGTAGTTGGTGTGAGCGCAGTTGAAATTGCAGACAAGTCATCACCATTTTATATTTCAGGGCTTCTTTGGTCGCCTTGGTTCCTCTGTCATGCCCTTTGAATGTCGAAAGACAATTTGACTGGCTATTAGGTATTCGTCAAAACAGGCAGGTCGTCAGCTTATGTGGGGCGCCTCTAGCTGTAGCTGTGTCGGGGATTCATCTATCGATGCTTCTATGTATCTAACGCTTGAAGCTTGGGTCCTGGGCTTTGCTTTAGCGGGCCTCCAGAACTATGCTTATGGACATAATACTGCATATGTAAGTACTTACGTACCTAGGTACGTAAGCTCTTATCTACCCTCCAGCACAGACCGGGCCATGGGTGTTATTGCGGACCCACCGACCTGCAGCCCCTCGCAACTGATAGCCCGGGGTGAGTAGGCGCCCCGGTCAGCGAGCCCATTACTACCTGTCTCATCCCTAAGCTGAACAGCTCGCCATACACAGGTATCTTGCCCGGAACAGAATACCCGTCGATTCTACACACATCCAAGTACTGCCTACACAACGACTGTTTCTGCGCTGGAGGAGTTGTTGTTTCTGGGACAGGCGTTGCCATGTCTTCTTGCAACGACAACACCTTTGGGCCTGTCGTCGCCGCGGGCTGCAGGGACTCGTTCGACTTCACCTTGCTGTTTCAGCAGAGCATTTTGTCGATTGGGCCCTCTGCCCTCTTTCTCATTTTGGCACCGCCTCGCATCCTGCGACTGCTCAGCCGCCCACAGCGCACTTTGACGACTACGATTAGCCCATCATATCTCGCTAGGGTTGCGATACCTCTGATCTACCTCGGCCTACAAATCACTCTGCTTGTCGCATGGCAAACTTCGGCGCACAGGTCCGCCACGGATGTCTCGCTGGCCGAATCTTGCATGAGGCTTGCCGATGGTCTGGTCATCTGCATCCTCTCTATTGCTGAATACCCACGGACGGTACGACCTTCCACGCTTCTCTGCGTTTACTTCGCTTTCAGCGCCGTGTTTGACGGTGTCCAAATTCGCACTCTATGGCTACTGAGTGGAGGATCTCAGCTGGTGGCCGCCTTGTCAACTGCGAGCCTTGCTACGAAGCTCATCATGCTAGTAGTCGAGTCTCAGGGGAAACGGAATCTGTTGAGAGACCCATACAGCGAACTTGGTCCCGAAGCCTTATCTGGAATATTCAGTCGAATTTCTTTTTGGTGGCTAAACAGCCTCTTGTGGCATGGTTTCAAGACCGTTCTTGTTCCTGAAAGTCTGTTCCAGGCGGATGCTTCGCTGGATACCCATGCACTGCATCAAAGATTCCAGCATGCCTGGAACACAGGGCTACGTAGCAATGGAAAGCGCAGGGGAAAGCTCTTGTTTTCGTGCTGTCGGGCAGTGAAGGGACCGATCATTGCAGCCATCCTTCCGCGTCTATGCCAGTCGGCCTTCAACTTCAGCCAACCACTGCTCATCTCCCGCGTAGTCACATACCTGCAAGAGGCCAACAGTGACCTAAACTTTGGGTACGGACTGATCGGTGCCACAGCGATTATATATATCGGCCTAGCTTTCAGCATGGCTGTATACAAGCACAAGACGTACAGGCTCATCACTATGGTACGAGGCGGCCTGATCTCCCTCATCTATGACAAGACAATAAAGCTAGAAACGGGCGCACTTAAAGATGGGGCAGGCGTTACGTTGATTGGGACGGACTGTGAGAGTATCGCGCAGGGGCTTGTCAACGTACACGAGATCTGGGCATCGCCCATCGACATTGGTCTGGCGTTGTACCTTCTCCAATACGAGGCAGGAGTTGCGTGCGTGGCGCCAGTTGTTATTGCCGTCCTTTCAACACTATGCAGCGTTCAGATCGCAAAGGTCACCAGGAAAAGGCAAAAGGCCTGGGTGGAGGCTGTACAAAAGCGGGTGACGAGCACGTCCAGCCTACTGAGCAACATCAAGGGTGCAAAGATGGCCAGCCTGGTAGGGGTAATGGCGGCTCGTATCGAATCGTTGCGGGGCATCGAGATCAACAAGGCCAAGGCGTTTCTGCGCATCGATGCTATCATGAACGTCTGCGCCAGCGCTCCAAATCTGGTCTCCCCGATGGCAACGCTGCTCATATTCGCATTCACAAACGGCACTTTGACGAGCGAGAAAGCCTTTCCCGCCCTTTCCATCGTGGCCATCATGAACCAGCCACTGACGCTTGCTTTGAGCGCAATTCCGACCTTCTGGGCCTCACTGGCCTGTTTCGAGCGGATCGAGAAGTATCTTCTTCTTGAAGAGCGCAAAAACTTCCGTTCGCCTCTTTCATCCGGCTCTGGTTCTCCAATTTTGCTTGGCACCCGGCTCTCCGTGGAGCCTGAGCAAGAAAAGCTCCCGAATAACACAATCGAGGTCGAACTGGAGGCCATGGCGCCTCTACGAAATGCGACCGATCGTCCACCTCTGGTGTCTATCAAACATGGCTCTTTTGGCTACGGGAACGATGGACAGTGTGTACTACAAGACGTCGACCTTGACTTGTACCCGGGCACATTCTACACCCTGATGGGCCAGATTGGTTCAGGAAAATCAACCCTCTTTCGGGCCATATTAGGGGAGACAAGATGTCTCACGGGCCAGGTCACCGTTTCCGTTCCATCTGTGGCGTACTGTGCTCAGGAGCCGTGGCTGCCCAACGTTTCTGTCAAAGCCAGCATCCTAGGTGACAATGGGCTGGATGAAGGATTCTACGACCAAGTTGTTAGGGCATGTGGGCTCGAAACTGATTTAATTCAATTACCAGGTGGACATGGGACGATTCTGGGATCCAAAGGAACGCGACTGTCCGGCGGCCAAATCAAACGTGTCGCCTTGGCTCGCGCCGTCTATTCGAGACTGCCTCTCGTCCTCCTAGACGACTGCTTCAGTAGTCTTGATTCAAAGACAGAGGCGCTCCTCTTCCGCCGACTACTGCAAAAGAACGAAGGTCTTTTGAGACAGCTTGGCTGCTGTGTTGTTCTTGTCACACAAAGTGAGCGGCATGCCATCCAGGCAGACAGGCTGCTCGTTGTGGAATCGGATGGGTCCATTAGCAGCCGAGAACCCACAAAAGACTCGACATGTTTGATTGATTCGGCCGATCAAATGCCTGTCAAAGCCAAATCTGGCGAGGATACTGACCCCGGCAGCGAGACCCAGAGTGCTGCAAATCAAGGCCGGGCAACAGATTCTGATCTTTCCTCGCCTGCTGCCCGCCAGACAGGTGACCTTTCTATATGGACATTCTATTTCGCGCGAATTGGGCTCCTTAACTGCGCGATTTATCTAATCTTGAACGCCTTGACGGCCTTCTTTCCACGCTTCGCACAGGTGTGGGTTTCTTTCTGGGTCGAGGCGTCTTCCCAAATTCGCAGGGAGAACGTCAATGGCATCTATGGTGCTACATATGTATTGCTCTCAGTCGGAGGCCTTCTGGCATTCTACTCCGTACTTTTGTACATGTTCCAGGTCATGGTGCCACGATCAGCGCGCAGACTGCATCACGAACAGCTACAGACGACGATACACGCTTCGCACAGCTTCTTGAGCCGGACAGATCCCGGCATGATCCTGAATCGCTTCAGCCAAGATATGACACTGGTCGATATCGAGCTGCCTTCATACGCGGTACAATCCTTCTTCTACGTCTTCAGCTGCCTTGCCCAGGGAATATTGGTAGCAACGGGGATCAAGTACATGGCCGCGCTAATCCCTGCGATCCTTGCGGTTGTCTACGTCCTCCAGAAATTTTACCTACGGACATCGCGCCAGCTGCGTTACCTGGAACTCGAAGCAAAGTCCCCGCTCTACAGCCACATGCTTGAGACATGCAGCGGCCTGCATACCATTCGGGCATTCGGGTGGGAGAGGCGTTTCCGTGAGGCCAACACGTCACTTGTCAATGCATCTCAGAGGCCACTGTACGCGTTGTACTGTGTCCAGCGCTGGCTCAATCTGGTCTTGGTTCTGGTGGTTGCTGCCATTGCCACTTTGCTGGTGGCGCTCGGCACGCAGCTGAAAGGCGAGACGAGCCCAAGTTCGATGGGTGTGGCGCTCGTCAATGTGGTGAACTTTGCGCAGACTTTGGCTAACCTGATCACGGCATGGACGTCGCTCGAGACAGCACTCGGCGCCATTGGCCGAATTAAAGGCTTTACGACAGATGTCAAGCACGAGGACGATCCCAGCCTAGGATTTGCTCCAAGTAGCGTCGGTGATCCTCCGTCAGGCCCGCTCACGAGTTCTCAGACACCAGGCAGGCTCGAGATCTCGCACGCGTCACTGGCATATGAGGACTCCCCTCCAGTACTAAAAGACATCTCGCTTGTCGTCGAGCCAGGCATGAGGGTCGGCATCTGCGGGCGGTCCGGAAGCGGTAAATCCTCCTTATTGTTAGCCATCCTCCGGATGCTACGCTGTACGGAGGGCAGCATCGCCCTGGATGAGCAGCCCATCCATACCATCCCCAGCGAGACCCTACGTGCTGCATTCATTGTTGTTCCGCAGACTCCACTCACTATTCCCGGGTCAGTCCGCGCCAATCTTGACCCGCACTCTATTTTCCACAACAACGACGATGCAATCGTCGCCGTGCTTCAAGAGTTTGGGCTCTGGGACACAGTCGCCAAACAAGGAGGCCTCGACACCGACGCGGATGCTCTTTCGCTAAGCCATGGCCAGACGCGGCTATTGGCCATTGCGCGTGCAGTCCTGGAGAGAGATGCCAGTTCCAAAAACAAGAGAATTGTGCTCGTCGACGAGGTGACCAATGGACTGGATGCCGAAAGCTCGTCCACGGTGATGCGCGCTTTGGAGAGAGCTTTCAAAGGCTACACAGTAGTTGCCATCGCGCATCAGCTCGAGACCATTATGGACTATGATTGCGTCGTCGTGCTAGATGCTGGCCGTATTGCTGAATGGGGCAATCCTGCCGCTTTGTTGGGCTACGAAAGAGGTTGGTTCAAAAGTCTCTGGGAGGAAGGCGGGTTCAGACAGAGACGCATGACGTCCTTGTAAACTGGTGATTTCTTTTTTGCAGATCGCCGATTTTCATGAACTTCACACGGCCGCAAAGACAACACTACACATTCCGTGACTAGATTCAACTGCAGTGGTGTGTAGGAGGAAACAGTTGGGGTTTCTTGTCCTTGTAATCACGACCTTTTCATGCATGGTCTCTTAATCACAGATGTATCCACTCTCTATAATAAGACTATGAACTCGCCGTGGCAGACGGCGCCTCTAACTACGGTATCCCACAACGATCAAAAGCTACCGTCAGCCGTGTGTAGTTGCGCGGCAGTACGTGCTCCACCAGGAGCTTCTCGCAGTGCGTGGAGTGCCCAAGATCCCAGATACGCTGATCGATCTCCCTCCACTCGTTCCACGCCCTCATCTGCGTCTCCCACATGTACGCACAGTGGACGTAATGGAACTCGGGCACGACGTAGACGCGGAAGTGGTCGCCCTGACGTACGACGTCGTCGGGTATCGGCGTTGTCAGGGCACTGTCTGCGTACCATTCGTACTTGTTGACAGCCAGGTACGACTCCATGAGCTGTTCGTCGAAGCAGTCCTCGTGGATCCACGCCGTGAGCATCAGGTCGAAGCGGCAGCCCGCTGCGCGTGCCGCTGTCGAGGTTGACCGCATTCTTTCCACACAATGGTCGTGGTATCTTTGCCACCACTTGCTCATGTGGCGTACACAACGATGAGTAGTGTGAATACGGCAGTGACGCCTCCCAGGACCGCGAGGACTGTGCGCAAGTTGATGGCCCACGCCTGGGTCTTGAGCGTTTACCACTCTATGAAGGCGCCACGTACATTTTACATGTATGGGGATTAAAAACGAAACTACCACTTGATGGCCCACGTACATCGTCGAGCAGACCTGGGGGCTCGCACCTTGTCTGTGTTATCGGTACTGGTGTGTGAGTCGTCGAAATCAGGGATATAAGTCAACAGCCCCTTGGCTGATTGGTCTTGAGATGCTGCCTGGAGTGACATGGTGCTGTGTGGTTTGAAGCGTTGATCAAAGAGGTGCTCGAGTCTCAATCAAAGGGAACTCATGACTAAAATAATCCTTTGCCGTCTGCGCAGCGAACCGATGTTGCTCTAAGTATCAAATCCAAAGAAAAGAGAGTAACAGGACCATTGACTCTAATGGCGAGCCGTGATGAGAAGAACTCAGTACCACAGTTGGGCATCGATTTGATACTCACACAGCCAAACGTCCTCTGGCACACGGAATGTGAGGCGTGGAAATGCCGGTCGAGGAGGATTCCTTGCGGTCACCTTGGAGATTAGGCAAGGCTGAGGCACAGTAGATGGCGCAAACCAAGCTTTATTAAATCAGGAAAGTGCTTATACGTTGGTGCGTTATCTGCCTGCACGTTGGTCTGTTCCCCGGCTGTATCCACGAGAGATGCGACCTGGATCTGCCGAAAGGATTCTAGATACGAAGGCTGACAAGGCAATTTCGCCGCCACGTGTTCCAACTGCCCTTGATGCAACTATTGTATGCTCAGAATGTTATCCCATTCGATTATCCATGCAATTAATCAGTCGATCACAGGTTTGCATACAAGCAGGAAGATTCAAATGATAGGTTGGGAATGTATAGTACTTGTAAATCACTACTAGATACATACCGGAAATAAGTATCTAAACCCTTGTAAGCCGCATCAACGAGATCGCTTATCAGCGACAAATGATCGCTTATCTTTCGACTCATAGACCGTGCCGCTCTTCTCCCTTCCTCTTCACTTAGACACAGCGTTCCAAAGAACACGACCAACGAAGTCGTTGGGCAGGAGAAGTGGAAGCCATGGCCAAGCCCCCTTCGAGCGAGCGCTATGCTCTGGTACTCCTCTGCCTTTGCATATTCCTGCTGGTTTTTGGCGAGACGATGCAGCCTGCTCCACGCACACAGATATATGAGACCATCATCTGCGACACCCTCCTCCCGTCCACCGACAAGGGCCCGGAACGATGCAAAGCCAATGTCGTACAGGAAGAGTTGGTGTTCCTCAAAGGAACAGAAAGACTGCTTGGGGCGTTCCCGAGTGAGTATTGTGCCTCTGCCTCGTTCAACAGTGTGTTTGCTGATCAGTGTTTGGGCAGCCATCCTTGCGATACCATACGGCCTGGCTGCCAATCGTTTCGGCCGGCGCAATGTCTTGACCTTGGCTCTTGTTGGACTCCTCCTAGAAGAAACATGGAATTTCTTTATATGTGAGACAATTTCCTCAAGTGTTGGCGATGCAATCGCGTGCTGACACACATGTTGGACTCTCAGGCTGGCTGTCCCCCGCGTTAAACATCCGCCTGGTACTTGTTGCTGTGGGCTTCGAGGTCATTGGCGGTGGCTTTGGTGTCGTCACGACCATGGTACACGTCATCGCCGCGGACATCGCGACCGGGGATGCGAGGACCAGCCTCTTCTTCGCCATCCATGCCATCGGCACGATTGCAGCAATACTCGGGCAGCTCATCAGTTCCGTGCTGATGCCCCTCAATGTGTGGCTGCCATGGGTGGCAGGCATCTGTTGTATTCTCATGGCAGGGACCGTTTCCCTGTTCATCCAGGATAGACACCAACACCAGGAAACAGAGACAGATGCCACGAGCGCTGAGCGAGAACCGCTACTGATACCAGAGACCGATACACATGGTCCAGCGTCCGAATTTGCGACGGCAGCGAACGGAGACTTGCTAGACGAAGCAGACGGTCCGGGCTCAATGCTTCAGACTGCCTGGAAGCGGTTCAAGACAGGGACACGCATTGCCGTTGGGCAGACGCGGCTCATCTTTCTATTGGGACTGGTCCTGCTATGCCAGATCAGCGAGGACTCACTCCCAATGATACTGTTAGTTTTCGCATCCAAGAGGTTTGGCTGGAGCTTTGCGAGGGCAAACTTGTTCTGGGCCCTGGGCGAGGGCGTCCAGCTGGTTATCCTCTTGGCTGTGCTCCCTCTCGTAGGCCGCCTGCTCAAGATCCGGCTGGGTCTGGATCCCTTCGCCAAAGATGCCACACTGGCCCGGTCCAGCGCCGCCCTTCTCGGCCTTGGGACGCTCTGTATTGGTCTTGGGCCAAACATCCCTGTTTTCGTGGTAGGAATTGTTCTCACGGCGTCAGCCGCGGGCATGCAATCCCTTCTACGAAGCCTCGTCACCGAGAGCATCGAGGCAGGAAGCCTCAGTCTCGTGTACTCGATCATAACCGTTCTGCATGTCGTCGGCGGCGCCTTGGCTGGTCCGCTTTACTCGGCGGCGTTTGTTGCTGGTATGCGGCGCGGAATCGGGTGGACTGGGCTTCCGTTCATTGTTGCTGGATCTTTGGGGTTGCTGTCATTCTGTTTATTGTTAGGGCTGCGAAAAGGGAGGAAAGATTCTATCCAATAAGGAGCTAAAGTCATTTCGAGTGTATTGGGTATTCTGCAGCAGGCCAGCCACCATTGCCAGCACCGTTCTGCTTAAGGCCTTTCTAGGAACAACGATCGAGTACCCTGTGGAACCTTAGAATGGAATTACCTCCAGACAGTTATCCCGAAGAGGGCTTTGCTGTACTTAAGTAAGAATCTCTAGCTTTGGAGGCTTAAGCACTGACAACCACTGACAACTTCGAACCTCTCTCACATAGATTAGATTCTAGGTTGTTCCGTTACATTTCAAACGTATGCGGCACCTTTACACAGTGATAAACGCCTAAGACTGAGATCTTTTAAAAGCATAGCACTAATAAAAGCATAGAGAGAATACAGCACGTCTGTGGGCACGTGGCCTTAGCCTCGGGCCGCGAAGAAAAGGCTAGGAGGCATTACTCCCGACGGCGACGCTGACTAGAATCGCCGACACAAGTAGCCCAGATTAGATGCTACAGCTATCTTTGGCCTAGTTAAACGCTAGCTCAAGGAGCGTCAAGTATCCTGGGGCAAAGATAGGTGTCCTAAAGCCGAGAGTCGGACTGTGCATGGCTATTCTGGGAAGTCCACAAAGCATCTTGACTTTGCCGATCACCCAGCGAGTCCTCGCCATTCACAATCAATTCTCTCACTGACGAAAAACAGGAATTCAGATAGATACTCAAGTACATTCGCTGTTTCATTGTACCACGTGCAATTGCCATGCAGTTTGGATTAGCTGCGAATCACGCTAGTAACGGATGGCGGGGCACAGGAACATCTGGTATTCTGCACACAGCGTCATTCCGCTAGCGAGTAAAAAGAAGGAGTGAACGTCTCATGCACGTCTGACGCGTTCTGATGTCTTGATCCACCTGCATCGTGAAAAGAAAAAACCGTACCTCTCACCTCCAGATTACCACAGTTCCTTTCCCCGTACAAACTCAAGCGTAGGCCATCTCATCCCGCAGCCAAACATGCCCAAGCACTGATGTCATCCGCAGCTGTTCAAAATGTCAACTCTACAGTACACAAGCCCTGCAGGCCATGGCCAACACCACCTGAAGAAATACGGGTACAGTCAAGTTGTACGCGTCGGTGACGTCATCCACATATCCGGCCAAGGTGCGTCCAATCTGGGTCGCGGTGGTGAGAAGCAAGTGGCTGGGCATTACTACCTACTGATCATACCTTGCTGCTCGCAGGCGGCTGGGTCTACGAGACCGGCGAGATGCGCGAGGACACCGAGGACCAGATCGACCAGGCCTTTGCCAACGTCGACCACATCCTCAGGGAGGCCGGCGGCAAAGGCTGGGACCAGGTGTACAAGGTCAACTCGTACCATGTCGCGCTGGACGACCGCGCGCTGGAGGCCATGACGCGGAACTTGGGGAAGTGGATGAAGAAGCACAAGCCCCTCTGGACCTGTGTCGGAGTGGCCAAGCTCGGCGGGGGCGATGCAATGAAGGTCGAGATCGAGGTGCAGGCTTTTGACAAGGGGGCGTGAGTGACTGTTGGGGTAGCAGCTGCGGTAACAGTAACAGTGAGAGTCTGAGGATTGAAGTCTCCGGAAGAATGAACTTTCAAGGGTAGGCTCATGTGGCAGTTGTGAAGAGCGTTATGATTCTCTGCCTAGGTATCCGGGAAACTCTCCTGGAAAATTACTCATAATCTGAGAGCTCGTGCTCTCAATGAAGCAGTGCCGGCTGATGATATTTTCCAATCTGCCAGTGAGCGTCTCGCTTTAGAAGCACACATCTTAAGGCCGGAATTAATATTCAACAACACATTCTTCTCCTCTACTTACTACATCAGTTTCAGCTGGTGCGAGGAAAGCGAAATGTGCTCTCCCTTCACCCTTTTAGGAAGAGCGGCATTCCCATGAAGGCCATAAGTGAGATGTCAAGTCTGCTATGCACCATCCTCAGAGCAATGCATACTGCCACACCGAAACCCTCCCAAGGACTTGACACCATGTCAAGCACGGCCTCACGACGGTCATTATTCAGCGCGTGAATGCTCCAATTCACCTGGGTAGCGGCAATCTTTTCAGACCTCACGGGGTATACTCCTCGTACTAGTAGTGATGATTCCCTGGTGTCGCCTCTGCTGACAGCTGGCCTTAGTCTACAGACTGTCACCAGCCTGAGGTGGTCAGCCGCGGCAACCGCCGGAGCCTTCTCAAATGCCGGCATGCGTTCATGCCAGGAGTCATCGTCCCACTGTGCCGGTATGCCAGGTACCGGTGTTCAGGTGATGCAATGTGCTGAGTAATTAGGGCCCTGAACCAGGGAAAGATGAAATGAGATGCCAAGGGTGTTGCCAAAGGAGAGATGTGAATAAGCAGCTAGCCAAGACGGATCACAGGCATAGCTGGATTGGGGAAGAGAATTTTGGTTGGTGTCCGCTTTGGGAGAATATTGGCTTGTCACACACTCACTAGTTACGTGATATGTGTGCGGCCCACTAAGAAGTGCCCATGACTCTTTTGGAATTATCACCTCCACACAGTTTTTGCCCGACCAAGTTCATGTATGCCCCTCTCCAAGGTCTCATACTCGACTCCTTTTCGCGCTATTACTTAGAGAGAATAATTTAGGTTTATAAGGTGGTGCAGTGGTATACTTAAAGTTTGTTATTAAAGGTAGCTCTGAAGGTGCAAATAAATTATCTTTGTGTCGGCTGCTTCAGCTAGATTAATGAAATACACAGATTTCTGCGCAATTCGTAGTAGACCAAAACAGCCAACCGTGCAGGGAACCTGAGCATCGCAACTGTAACGAAAGAAAGAACCATGCCTTGATAGGATATCGATGGCTGTGACCAACTTGGTCTCGGTCCCACTCGTCTGGCAACCATTTCCACACGAGAGAAATATGACCAAGCCGTCAAGACTAATCAGAAGACGTTCAAGTCAGCACTTGGTGCAAAGGTGGGAGAAGATCTGCGACATATTTTGCCTTGACATGACAGATATACGCTCTGGATGGTCGACGGATTGTCGAGAGCCTTGCCAGAACCATGCTTTACGTTACATCAACTCTGTACAGGGCATGGTCCTTATTCACAACACCATCTCCAACGCTGTTCTCACAATATCTCGAGGTCATTGCCGTCCCACTGTACTCACATGATAGTGCAACCATCGCAAAAACCTTCCACTCCATCTTCACTGCTGCTTATCCCCGACCAAAGTCTTCCTTATGTTGTAACCTAACGTACCATCCACATCACTGGGCTGAGTGAGCACATTCACCTCGAGCTGACAGTTCCTGAACAAGTCGTAGCTGAAGGCTACAATGGGAATACTTTGGATGTTAGAGTGGCAAGTCAGGGTTCTTGCCGCGGCATTTGGTCTCTGAAGAGAGCAGAAGACTCGAAGATCCATGGATGGTAGGGCGGAAGCGAAATATTTAAAGAGCCTCGCATCGCCCATCTCAAGGGATACTTCTCCGGCATCACGACATCATCAAGCCAATTACTACACAGCAAAGAAAGTCCTAACTACAATCTCTTCGTCCCCTCACAATGCTTTCCAAGGTCACCATCCTCGGCCTCCTGGCCGCCCTCCCCGTCGCCCTAGCGGCAGCTGTCCCCTCAAACCTCACTTTCAGGGCCGTCGAGGCCCTGCCCAAGAACGCCACCGAGGATGTGAACATCCTCGCTGCGCCGACCAGGTACTCTGGCCCGTGGCAGAACTTCCCGGCCATGAACACCTGGGTCGGCACATTTGACGCCCTATTCGAGATGAACAGGGGGTCAATGCTTTCTACTGGCAGCACCGCCGACGATGTCGGCAGGATCAATGTCGCCATCCGCGAGGCGGCCACCCTCGGTGTTGACGAGCGCGTCATCCTCGGGATCATCATGCAGGGTGAGTATTTATTCACCTTGCCTCCCACCCAATTACGGGGTCTTCTTCTCCCGTCGAGGAGGTCGCGGGATAGAATCACAGTCCACTGCTTTGGGACAGGAGCTGACATCCCGCCAGAGAGCCACGGATACGTCGGCGTCCGGACCACCTTCAGCCCCGGCGAGGGAATCCCCACCGCCGGACTCATGCAGTGCTCCAACTGCCCCGGCTTCCCCGGGCGCACTGGTCTCAGCCAGGTATTTGGAATCGTCTGAGCCTTCATAGGGATGAAAACACTGACACGATCCCCCCTCCCCAGGCCGACATCACTTCCATGGTTGTCGGGGGCACCCAGCACTACAAGGCAAACCTCAGGAACTGGGGTGACCAGTGGAGCGCCGAGTCCATCTACCCGGCCCTCCGCGAGTACAACTCTGGCAGCGTCAACCCCAACGACCTCAGCGACGGCAGGGGAGCTACCGCTGACTATGTCAGCGACATTGCCCAGCGTCTTCAGGGCTGGGTTGACTAAGCTGAGATATGGAGCACACTTGAGTATGTACCCTTGCTGAGAAAAGCCTGGCAAAAGGTTCGCTAGTGGATGGATGATTCGATGAAGCGGGTGAAGAGATTTCTTTTGGATCGTATCGCTCTCATTCTTCTTCGCTTGTCCTGGCTCGATGGAGAAATTTCTTTTCGATAGACTCCATGTTGAGGCGTGTTGGTTTGCGCACCCATGTATCCGCCTCACTTGGATAGATGGTTTTCTCACTTCTGTTGTTCCTATCGATAATTCCTTCAAGCAAATAAAGTTGTCGCGACACAAAATTTGCATTGCTTGCACCGTGATGATATTTAGGCCGTGGGATGCACTGCATATATTAAGGGCCTCAATTTCCGTCTTTATCGGTTTGTTATCGCGGGATATTGTAGAAATTGACCATGGCACAGCGCCATACCTCAACTAAAAGATTAAGCACATGAAATCTCTGGAAGATTGGCATAGACTTGGACCGTTCTTCGCAGTCGATGCTTCCAGTTTGGACCATTTCTTGATTTCTTGGTGATGGGCTTATTTATATCCACGTTTCCTAACCCACCTGGGCACCCATGATTGAGACATGAGGTGGCAGTAGTACCCATGAAAGGTGCCGCCAGGACAGCATAGACAGCCTGGGGGTCATGCTGGGCCTTGTGGGTCGAGCAGGATGCCACGGATCCTGATACACTTCTGCTGCGTGGCACGGAGTTGGATCGCCCAGTTGTCAACTCTGAGAAGCACCCTCCGGGTATCTGGGTGGCGCTGGCATCAATGATGTCCCGTTGTAAAAGAATGCGAACGAGCCCTGGAGACTCAAGGACCTATTAGGTCTTTGCATCAAAGTGGCCTGGATGGCCAGCCTGGGGCAATTGATGCGATTACATTGGGCGGCGCCGAGAATAACACCCATGAAGAACTGTGTAATTGGGAGTTTCCGCCGAGCGCTGGGAGTGGGGATGACAGTCGTTCCATTTCCTAGTACATGTGCTCTCCTTCGACCGGCTACCGGGATCCCGGTGTGAAATATATGATAGTAAAAGACGGCTTGAGAGTGCCGGTGAGGTTACGGCCGGGCTCTCGAAAAGACTCTCTCAATGAGAATTGGATATATTTTTCTCAGCCGCCATCAAGTGATTGACCTAGTAGATCTCGATTCGGCCTAGGTCTGCTACACTCGAGAAAACGCTTCTTTATTCGTGGTGTCATGAGTAATGCCAGTGCACTATTCGAGCAAAATCGATGCCGCTATCTGCCATAGGCACATAGCGAATAGTTATATCTTGAAGCGTAGACATTGGCTGCCAAGAATGATGTGGCCGACAGATAAATGAGCGAGTTTGAACTGCTGAAGTATTCGCTGATATGGCGAAAGTGTTAGCTCCTCGTCGATACCGTCACATACATCCCTCTCGAGGGCCCCTAGGCGTGAAAGGTACTAGGGTTGGCTGTGATGGTGAATAACGGAGGCTTCATGAGTATTGCTAAAATAAAGTGAAGGCAGCCCTGGCCACTCTGGGGCCATCATGGCAAGCTGAATCTCACCAAACCGGTCGAGACGGGTCTTCAACAAAATTCTGTTCCGGGTAAGATGCGTTCCGCGGCTTGGGGTGTGACCAGACTTAAGCTGCATGTCGCAGGTAGGTTGGTGAGCTGACGTGCGTACCTTAGAAGTGGCAGTGCTTTGGGGTTAATCGAGGTAATGACAAGAATAGACAGAGCTGAGGGGGCGCGACCCCCAACAATGTCACGGCTGTTTCGAACTGGCCTTTCGGCCGCAGATGTGAAATCAAATATCATTCATTTGGTTATCTGAAACTGGAATGCATTTCGTTCATGCGAGTAGGCTTGCAGATGGAGGCAACCGGGCGCTGTATAAGTCGGCAGATATCGGCACTTGAGAGACCTCGGGAGGTTTCAGGGTTCTCTAAAAACCAATTTCCAATCTTCTTCGAACAAACTTCTATACAATGACGAGAAACAAGAACAGACTCTATATTGCGGTCTACCCAAGTGGCCAGGGCACAGGAACGTAAGTAGGATAGAATTTAATTTCTTTTCTTCGTTTCATGAGGTTAATCATGTCTTGTGTCGCTAGATATCACTGGGCACTGCTAGTCGGACCAAAGAAGGAGACCGGGCCCGTCGCCGGACAACGGTTCCACGTCAAGAACCAACCCATCGTCCCTCGTTGGTATTACGACGCACACCCCACCCGAGATGTCCGTGCCACTGCACAGCTCTTGGCCCGCGTCACGATCGCGAAGATCGTAGACGAGGAGCGCTTGATCAACATACTGGAAAGCGTCCCTGTCGACCCGCCGGACTGGGACGGCAAGAAGAATGGCCGGGAGCCGAAGTGGACGTGCCGTGTTTGGGTCATCGCCGCGTTGAAGGCAATCCGGGCTAATGGCGGGGCTGTTGGCACCAATGTGCTTAATGATATTGAAGGTCCGAACGGTATTATTGAGAAGACGAAGGCGTTCGTTGCCCGCCAGATCCAGAATAGGCGTTACGATTCTGGTACGGATGCATTGGCGCCGAAGCCCTTGTTGGACTTGTTGAGTGGGAAGGAAAGCTATGTTTGAAGCGTGCTGCCGGAGCGAGGCAATTGTGGGGGAGAAATTGAGGTCGGGTAGATTGTGGAATATTACCTAGCTACTTCTTTCAGCATACGTTTCCCCACCAGCGAAATCGTACCCTTTCCATCTTCAGCTCTTCCGGCATGGGGTTGAGGAACTTTTCAACATTATCATGCCAAATCGGATTGACGAGGTCGCTCGCGATCTTCAAGGAGGTGTATTCCCAATAATGAGGATACCACCCCGCCATTTCCCAGTCAATGATGCCCACTATTTTGCCGTCGCGCACAAGGATGTTCGAAGGATTCAAGTCACCGTGCGTGAAGACCGATGGAGGCCAAGGGCCTTCCTGCCTCGCAATCATGTCGTTCAGTTCCTCCACATCCTTTGGATCCAGGTCCGTAGACTCCCCTGGTTTCAGACCTTCCCTCAGCCAGTTGTGGAAATCCTGGATGGTTCTGAAGGGTCCAAACCGGACTGGCGGCGGGGCGCAGCTTTGTCGAAAATCTTGGAGTGAACCACCAGTGCAGCTACCAACAGCAAATTCGGTTGGCGGTGGCAGTGCCCGGAGTTGGTCGAGGTGCTGTCGCAGTTGGTCCAGCAGACTTGCCCTGGTTTGTTCGGATGTTCGGCGCCAAATTTTGCCCAATTCTTCGCCTTGGATTTTTTCCATGACAATGTAAGCCGTACCCTTGCGTTCAAATGCACTCAGAACTTTAGGTGCGGGGATGGTCGTGTGTTCGGCAATGAACCTCATCGTGGCCGCCTCGTCCAAGCGGACATCGCGTCCGGTCTTGACTATCATGCGATGCGTTAGAGTGTACGCAGCGCCCACATGTGGTCGCTGTCGGTGTCGGAGAATAGAACTGATACGGCGAGACGTAGCGTTAAGTCGAAGAAGAGATATCGTGAGCAGCCGCCAGTAGAGTGTGTTATTGACTTCAAAATTTCCCACACCCGCTAACTCCCCTTTGCTGCCCGCGGCGTCTGGGAGGGCCATCAAGACAGAGGACTATGAAGAGTGTGTGGACATGGCGGCCGCTCGGTTTCGACCCTGGTCCTGCAAGGGTTTGACTCGAGGTTGTGAGATGAATGGTGGATGGAAATGATGAATGTGAACACGCAGCACCACAGATGATGAATGAGTGGAAGGTTGATGAATTGAGAATCAAGTAGTGCTCGTCACCGCGGAATGTGGATGTTATTTTAGGCTCATGGCTTACGTGAGGGCAGTCCTGCCGACGGCCGCGTCGTACGGAGAGCTGGTCGAATAGAGAAGGCGGTAGGGTGTGGCAGTATTCTGTCTCCCATGGGTCAAGTGTTGTTGTCTGCGACAACCGAAGCTCAGCCCCCCTCATATGCCACTCGGAATCAACCTGCAAACTCAACTGGACGATGTCGCACATACTGCATTCCCGCATCCTTGGCGCCCCTCGCGTTCTCTAGTGGAAGACGACGACAGAATGACTGGAGCTCCTTATAACTTAAATGATATTGTGAGAAATAGAGGAGAGAAATTTGCCCAATGGACGAGAGGCCGGGAAAGACAGAGAGAGCACTCAGATGAGACAGCATCGCAGTCTTCTGCGGCAAAGAATCCCATAGATCAACGAAAGAGAATCCGAACATGCCATAGGAGCTTCATTGTAGGTTTGGCTGTCTTGCTGTCATAATTCGAGTAGTGCAACATAATCAAGCATCTAGCCTGGAGTTGAAGCCGTCAATGTTGCTTCACAACGCACAATATCTTGAACTCACTTTGACCAGGCCCCAGGTCAAGGCGAGAACTATCTACCTAACTAGGTAAGATAAGATAAGTGTGGAAGGAAATATGCCTGTATAGCACTCCTTCCACTTCCTGTACGAATCCTAGGGGTTGCAACCCAGAACCGTGTGTGCAATGCTCGAAGAGAAAGGGTTTGAAGTAGCTCGGGGGTGATCGAATTTGAGTATATGAACATATGACCGCAATAATACGATGGAAACTCTCATAGAATACTTGCATCACCTCCTTGTGTAGCGATATGGAGAGGACACAGGTGAGTTTTTAGGGTGGAGATTTATTCGCGAAATTAGAGGCACGTAAATTCAGAGCCGAAGATCAAGACCTGACTCTAATTCCAATTTTTACTTGTGGTCGGGAAACTACATATTACACCAGTCGTATTTAATAGGGGATAGAACTGTCATAAGGTAGGTACGTCCTAAAGGGTACATAATTAGAACTCTCACCTCTTATAAAAGTGCACTTAGAACTTAAATAGAATATACTATACTAATAAACTATAATTATTTCTATAATATATATATATATTCTATTAATATTAATTAGTTGTTATTAAATAATAGATAGTAAAATAAAAAAAGCTATTAATATTAATTTCCCTTCACTATAATATCTTTAATATTAGCTAAGCGCTATATAGTAATTCATTATATAATAAACCTCTCTATATATAGACCTTAAATAATAGGTATAAAGATTATATAGTTTAATAACTTTCTTTATAATTATTATATATTTATTATTTTTATTATAATATATATTATTATATATAAAATTTATATTTAAAAATAATATTTTTATTAGTATTAATAATCTTAATAGTTTTAATTTAGTTTATTATAGTATTTATTTATAGAAATAAAATGAGCTTTATAATTATTAGTAGTAATAGTAATAAAAGGTATAAGGTTACCCTAAGTTATTAAATCTTTTTAGGTTAGGAAGAAAAAGGATTTAATAAGAAATACCTTTTCTAACTCCTTTTAAATAGTTTACTTTATTTAATTTCTTACTTAATAATATTATTTTTAACTTATTTATTTTATTAAAATCTCTTTATTATTTATTATTAATTACTTTTTTAGATATATAAATATTAAATTATTATTTAATTTAAATATTATTATATAACACTTATTTTAATAATATTTATTTAACTTTTAAAGGATACTTTTAAAATACTAATTATTATAATAGATATAGATAATAATAGTTAAAATAAAGAAAATAATATAATTTTTATAGGAGTATATAATATAAATAAACTATTAATTAAATATTTAATACTTAACTTTATATATTATAGATATATTAAAGTAAATTTATAGTTCTAACTATTATAAATAGTTTTATTTATAGAATATTTTATTATAATATTTATAAGTATATTAGTAAGCTATAATTAATAATAACTTTTAATAATAATTTTTATTACTTTTAAAAGATTTTTAATTTAAATATCTAGAATATTTACTTAATTATTAATACCTTACTAATAGATATTAAAGAACTTTCTTTAAATATAAAGAGTATATATTAAATATAATAATTAATTTATTATACTATAATTATAAACCTTAATATAGGTTAAGGAATAATTAGAATAGCTAAATAATAAGTTTTATAATATTACTTTAAACTTTAAGTTTTTAATAGATAAATATTATATATAATTATTTATAGCTATTATATTAGACTCTCTATTAAATCTATCTATAAATTCTAAAAATAGTTAGAAAATCTATTAAATCTATTTATAAATCCTTAAAAATAGCTTAAAGATCTATTATTAGATCTATTAATACCTCTATTAATAGATCTATTATTATAATTAGGACTTATATAAAACCTATTAAAATAAGGCTTATATTTAAGTAAATAATCTTACCTATTTAATATATTATTAGGATTTTTATAAATATTATTATTTATATAATAGTTATTAAAACCATTAGAATAATATAGTTTATTAAAATAAATTCTATATTCCTTTTATAAAATAAAATAGAATTTATATTAAAGGTATATACTTTATCTAGTATAGTTTTAATTATATATATTAATATATTTATAATATATAACTATTATTAAATATAATCTATATAAGATACTTTTTTATATTATATAGATAATAAAAATTAAAATTAATAAAGTTTATATAATTTATTAAAACCTTTAATTTTTTAAAAGTATTTAAAAACTATATAACTTATTAAATAATAAGATAAAAATATTTTTAATATTTATTATTATATAAAATTTAATTAAATTAATTTTATATAGTTTTTCTTAAATATTAAAAATTAAATAGAAGTATATTATTTATACTTTATAAACTATATTAATTTATTTATAATAGTATATTTAAAAATTAAAACATATTTTAATATAAATTTAAACTATTAGTATTATTATATAAACTAAATAATAATAACCTTTATAAAAATATAAATATAGTATTTAGAGTTAAATTTATATAAGGTATTTTATATAATATTTAATAAATTATAGCTATATTAATAGGTATTAAAGTTAGATTATATTAGAGAAGATAACTTTTATATAATAGTTATTAAGGTATATAGAAATTTTAAAGTTAAAAATAGTATTATTTAAATTAATATAACTATATAAAGAGTTGTTTTTAAATTTATATTTAATAGTTAAAATTAAATTTAATTATATAGTTATTATATATATAATAAATAAGCTTTAAGATTAATATTATATTGATTAATAGTATAATAAATAATTTAAGGGTTAGAGAGAATAACTATTGTAGGGCTTTTAATGAGGAAGTAGAGGATTTAGATGTAGTTATAGAAGTAGTTAAGGGATGTTTAGAAATTGTTTTAATGGTAGATAACTATAGAGAAAGAGGTATTTTATTTATAAAAAGGAAGGTTATTAGTTAATAAAGTATACTATTAATAAAAGATAGATAATATAAATAAGCTATATATTATAATATAAATATAAAGGTTATAAGAAAGAAGATTTTAAGATATTCTTTTAAATTTTAAGGATATAATATAGATAAAAAGAATATTATGATTATAAGGAAGAAGATATTAATAATAATATTTATAATAAAATATATAATTTTTAAAGTAAATATTAATTTCCTTATAAATTAATTCTTTATATATTAGTTAATAAAAGGAAATATTTTTAAGAATATAATAATTATATTAATTAGTTAGTTTATTTTTAAAGATAGATACTTTTAGATATACTTTTAAGGTATTTTTTTAATATAGGAGTATTAATAGTTTTTATAATTAGATAAGAATAGTTTCTTATATTATAAAAGAAGATTTAAAATATAAGATAGATATAATAGCTATAAGTATAGTAAAAATAAAGTTTAGTAATAAGATAATAATTAAGTTATTAAGGATAGTAGATATAGAAACTTTAATAGGATTTATAATATTTTATATTATAGATATATAGACTTTTTTATTTTATTTAACTAATATAGATTAATTTTAAGTCTATTATAATAATATTATAGATAAGCTAATTTATTATAATAGTATAATAGTTATATTAATCTTATATAAATAGAGATATTTATAGTTCTTTTAATAAGATTATAAATACTATTTATTTTTATTAAAGGTGGAACTAAAATAGCTATATTATAGATTTAGATATTTAATAATAAATTATCTATATTAAATATTTAAGAAGGCTAGGTACCTAGATATAGATAAGTAAATCCTAAAGGAAATTAAAAAGATATATTGATATTACTAACTAAATAGACCTATATTAAGGTGATTTAAGTTTACCTTTTATAATAATTATAAGTTTAACTATAAAATTCTAGTTAATATAATATACCTAAATAGATAGCTAGTTTTATATATAGTGGACTAGGCTATAAGTTTCTAAGAAGCTAGGTTTCTTAAATTAATAATAGTAAAATATATTTAATAAATACTTTATACTCTTTAAATTAATATTTACTAAAAACTATTAAATATTATTATATATAATATAGGTATAAACTTTATATTTTAAAGTTTTATATTAAAGTTTATATAATAAAAGTTTTATATAAATAAGTTCTAATTAAAATATATTAATTAATTAAAAGGTTAAAAATATTATTATTTATTATAATAGATATATAAGATTTTATATATAAAGCTTTATAATAATATAAACAATAATACTATCTTATAGATAGTTATAAAGATAGTAAATAATATAGTAAGGCTAGATAGTCTAATACTAACTCTTTTTATTTTTAATACTTACCTATAAGTATTATATAACTTACTCTCTTTATAGTTAACTTAAAAGTAATCTAAAATAGTTAATAAAGCTATAAAGATATTAAAGAAAACTATAATTAAATAATAGGTTTAAGATGTACTTAATATAAGGAA